ATCTGAAAACAAGAAATTACTCATTGAAGATTAGGGAACACTGGTAAATACGAACACTGAAGGATTCTTCTACCAAGTGGCCTCTATTTTAAATGTTTACATTTCAACATGTGGGTCATTTTAGTAGGTAGCCTACTAATAGTCTGTGTTTATAAAGTATAATAAAGACATAATGTGGTTAGAAAGATTTAAATTACTGTAGCAGAGAGGTGAAGTCTTGTTTGCACTGGAAGGTATTGAGAGCAGGATTTCACTGCAAGATGAGTTAGAAACAATTTTTTTCCAAGTAGAAGTCATCTTAGTCGTTGCTAACATGTATTGATTGAGAGTGTCAAAGACAGCTTACCTCCCTTGGTTGAAGAATAACGAGCCAATGCAACTATCTTTACCAAAAAAGTGACAAAATCAAAGAAATAAAACTTCCTACTAGCTATAGTGAGTTACTGAGGCTACATGTTTAATTATATTAAATGATTGGTAGAGATTAGTAGTGTTAATCCTGATTTTTAGATAACTTAATTTTATCGATCGTCAAGAGCAAGAGGTTAAACTTCTTGTTACCGTAATATATTTTAAAGTTCTGCTGAAAAGTGTTAAGGGAACTTTGAGCTTTGTGTATCTGTTCGACCGATCACCATAATGTTTTGGAAAAATGTAAGATTATTTAAATAAATATATACTGTACACCTGGTTTTCCTGAGGCTGACATTCTGATTTTATTGACAACGTGCACTAGCAAAAGATCATACGACCGGACTGTGAGTTTTTCAAGTGGTAAAGATACAGCTCCAGAGCACATCTGTGGCCTGAGTCTTCCCTGCAAAATTCACAATCTCAGTAAATTGTTTCTTGCAATTCATGCCAAAAAAAAACGTTGAATGCTTTCTATTTTAAGATACAGGAGTGAATCATTTTGAGCCAAAACAGTGTAAGTTTTATCAAAAACGAAGCCTGGAATTTCCATAAAATTTAAGAAATGTGTGTCAGCCATAGAGTTGGTCTTGACAGATGAAGATATGCACCACATATAATAATAATAAAAATAATAATAAATAATAATAATAATACAAAATTAAAAAATAAAAAATATATGTATGGTAGAAATACATGGGGTGAATTGATGGAAAAAAAGGTATGTTACTTTCAAAAGCAGTTGAAAGATTAAAAAAAAATCTTCAATATGTATCAACATTAATTTTGACATGATTTATACCACAGAATTTCTGATGGTCTTTGTTCATGTATAATTTGGTAGAGTTGATCCATACACTTGAATTTCTAAGGATTAAGATGAAGAAAATGAAACGTAAGAATGATTTGCTGTCGTACTGTTGCCAGGCATCTGCCAAAGAGTTCTAAAAGTGCTCAGATTCTGTTAGTATCTATTAGTGCATCATTTGAGTGATGTGAATTATTTATTTTTGTACTGTGAGGAAAAGTGATGGTATTCAGGAGCAAAGTCCATGTACAAGTATAATGACACTCTACAGTTCCTGATCTTGCCCAGATGTTAAGACTTACGATTTCAAAAATTTATTTTCATACCGTCAAATAAAACTCAAAAGCTCCTGTGCTGTATCTTTGGTGCATGCAAGTCCCAGTAGTGAAAGATTGTCCTGCAAAATATGAAGATGGCATTGGTGACAAAGGTGTGGAACTAAGAATTTGTGTCCTAAGAAATCTTGGGCTCTTAATTGCCCATTTTTTTCCTCTTCCACACAGATATCCTTGGCACTGATTGTTTCTGCTGCTGTTCAGGAATTTGTTTCTGTGGTCATTTCCCCTTTGTAGTATTGGGATACTAACAATTTGTCTTAAAAGCATGGAAAAATTTATGTTTGCATACCATTATGAAGACACAGTGCTATGCAAATGTTAAAGTTTCTGTTCTTGCAAGATTTGTCCAAATTGTCTAGTACAGCTTTTGAAATGAGAAAGTGTAAAGCTTGATCTTTTATGACAATTGTGTTTTAAATTCTCATGGTTGTGCCTAATTTTTGTGTTGATACCAAAATAAGAGCTATTCCAGTACTCGGGGAACTCCAGTGCCCTCTGCTTTGAGTGCTCTAAAGGGAGAGTCATCTAAAATATATGGCTGTAGAAATACTGCTGAAGATGATGAAAAAGCCTGGAGATAATCCGATAGTCACTAAGATTAAAGATCAAGATTAAGGGCCTAAATCGGCCTTTTGGAGATATGAGTGTAGAAATAGGAGACTTCAGCTGATCTCTGTATGCCATCAGGTCAGCAGGATTTAGCCTGGATTTTCTCTTCTGATTTTAACAAATTTGAATGAATTCAGTTTGGAAAGGAGTGTTCAGTTCTGCACATCTACAAAGCATAATAATTTTTAGCCCATTTAGTTCCTTTTGCAGCTACAGGTTGGCTGAATTAATAAATCCAAGGTGACATCTTAGTCACGTGGTTTTGGCTAATATATTCTAAAATGTACTTTAATTGTTTGTAGTATTTTTAGGAACGTGGTGATGAGCACTTAGGAATGAGGCAATTAAAGAATCTGTGTCCTAATTTTCCTAGATATGAGAAAAAAGATGCTGTGCTTACTGCTTTTCTTGTAAAAATGACTGTGTGTTGGAGCTGTGTTTTATATATGATCTGACATCCTTTCCCAGCAATGTTTTTGCTATGTTAATTCTATTCATCCTTACAACCCAGGAAATTCTGATAGCAATAAACTGAAGAAAAGACATAAATATATATTTAAAAATACTAACATGCTAAAACCAGACAGCTGTAAAAGGCAAATAAAAGTTTGTTTAGGTAACTTAAATTTAAATGAAAAATATTTAAATTTTGTCTATAGCAGTGCTCATGCAAAGAGCATGTGGAACTGCAAAAGTGATAAATTGCATCAAAATAAATCATGATACTACTGTGTTCATGTTCAGTGGAGTAGAGGGAATAGCTCCTTTTGGGGAGTTAGTTGTTTACACTTAGGCATTACAGTTGAATGGAGTATCTGTGTGAATCACATATATATTGATGATGTTGTAGACTAATTACATGTGGGTTTCTTCAATAAAATACCTATCTGTTCTGTATGATGCATATTTTTTTTTTCTGGCGCCCTCTGCACAGCCTTTGGTCTGTGTGCATCAGTAGCATCTGGTTTTCAGGTTGCAGGTCCTAGGTGTCCTGCCAAGACAATTCATGCTGACCTGTAACCTGCTCGTCCATCTCCTCCTAAGGAACCATGCAGGAATCTCTGTGTGATGGATACGCTTCTCAACAGGCAGTTCCCATTCCCCAGGAACAGATGTACCCGTATGTCACCCGGTAATACAGTACACCCAAGTAATTAAGGGAAGTCCTGTGATGAGCCTTTGCGTGCTGCTTAGAACCCAGGTGATTCACCTGTGGAAAAAGTCTGCACAAATGCTAGACCTTCCCTCAAGTGTGACTTGGTAGTAACCAAAGCATCGTATATACCATGCATAGAATAACTACCTGTTTTTTAGATAACACTTGTGCTAAAAAAATTGAAGAATTGGGGTCTTTTGGACAATGGCATTTCTTTTCCTGTGGTATTTGGTTGTGTCGACTACAATAATCAGGTCATTTTTGTATTATAGCAGGTTACTTCTCTTTCTGCATTTGATTCCCAAGTATAATCCTTTGCTGTATGTGTTGTTACTGAATTCCATTATACTGCTGTCACACCACTTTTGTACTTTACCAGGATTGTTCTCAATTGCCACGGTGTTCTCTGAAGGTTTTGTGGTTGGTTTGTTTTTTTTTTGTTTTGGTTTGTTTTTTTTTTTTTTTAAGTCCTATAATTTTTGCCAATGGCAGTTCTGTAAGTGTATTCTGTATTCCATTGTCTAAATCATTAATGACAATTAATAAAATACATTGAATAAAACCAGACCCGGAAGGCACACACCCATGCAGGAATCTCCAGTTTAGATGGTAGTTTCTTGTTTGAGTGCAGTATTCCAGCCAGGTGCACATTTATCTGACAATAATATAATTAAGCAATACAATAATATCATTAACTATCAAAAGTTGCATTGTGCAACTGTATCAAGTAACTTTGTAAAAGTTAGACTTGACATTGGCCATTCCTTATGAATTATCTAAGCCTTCTACAGGGTGTTGTGGGGGAGTTGCATTGATTCTGCATTGTTTTCCTTGAAAAATCTCAATGAATGGTTGTCACACTGTCTTGTATGTGGTTAATAACTTGGTATGTTATGAGGTATTGAAAAAGGGTGACTCATCTGCATTTCCTTGGATCCTTTCTACTTTGTGAAGGAAAAAGAGATTGATTTCTTCTGTGAAGCCAAGATAAACCACAGAAAAACCTGGTAGTATGTGAGAGTACATGACAAACTCTGATTAATTAATCCCTTTGTTGACAGATTTCAGTAATCTGTAAATAAAATTTAAATTAATTTAGGATGCGTTAACATGATGTATTTCATATTCCACATTGTTCTAAAAGTTAAAATGTATACTCTGCTTTTGTGCCTCATGATAGTAAAGTAGCATCTTATAGTTTTTCAGTATATTGACATTCATTAATGTAGCCAGACTGAATTCTGTTATTCGTAATTGTCTACATCAGTGAGAATGATTCCTGATGTCTGCTGCCTGTGTTGGAATATTTATGTTGTAGCTGTGTTCTGCTTTCTGTATCCTGTCAGGGATGGTGTTGCTTGTGAAGAAGTGCAGAGCCACAAAAATTTTCATTTTATATTCATTTTCCAGTAATTGTTCTGGGTGCTCCCAATTATATACTGTGTTAATAAAAAGAGTGCTAATCTGACGAGCTGTATCAGACAGATGTTTCAAGTGATTTCTTTCTGCCTTTGGCAGAGATCACTTACATGGCTCCTTATTTACTTGCGGAAGGAAAAAAAAAAGCATGGTTACCAAGACAAGAAGTTGTTATGCTGGCACATTAGCTATATAATTTGTGTTACTTAGAGAGGTTTAAAGATTAATGTTCAGTGTGTTTAATTTTTTTTTTTTTCAGTAATCCAAAGTCTGCTAATCAGAGGATAAACAAAAAAGTAAACAATGATGCATCATTAAGGATTCAAAATCTGTCCACTTTGGTGAAACAAATAAAAACTTACTATCAGGTCAGTAGTTGTTTCTTGTATTATGTTTTGTCCAAAATTGTTTCTAAGTATTCGTTTATAGTTACGCCTTTAAGGGTTACAAAAATAAGATTAATATTTTGTGATACTTGTATGGATGGTTGTTTATAAATGGTCAAACTTTGTATCATGCTTATTTTACAGCTATAGTAGTAGCCTGGAAACAGTTGGATGTGAATGATGGTCTGTTTAGGTAATGGATATTCCTCATGTTCAATTACTCACATAGTACGTTAAGCAGTATTGGTTGGTATTTTCTGAATTGAGTCAGGTTTTGTGCCTATGAGAGAAATTATTACATGCGCATTTAGTCTTATCAATGGAATCTGTATGAAAAATCTGATGAAATTGATTGGTTTTAGAATTAATTTGTTTTTCAGTAGGAAAAAATCAGGGGGGTGATAACAATCAAATGTGAATCTATAGTAAATGCAGTGGTGGTCTAATTTAGAGCTGTAAAATGGCCATTGAATTTCTGTGTGTTTTGTGTGATAGGTAAGATAGCCGTTGAATTTTTGTGTGCTTTGTGCAATAGGTAAGAACTGGTACTACGCCTTCTAGAGGCAGAGCCTGGATAGAGTGGTGTACACGCAGACATGTTGTAGTAGGACACTGCAGGTATCACCAGTGTCCCTTATAGTGTGTCTTTTAGTGCCCTTCCAGACTTCGTTGCTTGCTCTCTTCTACCAGGAGAGTCCAGCTCTGGGAGAAAGCCTTTGATCTGCCTTAGAGTGTATCATGGCAGAGCCTGTACTGATGTCTGCTTTTCCTCATGTGTACACATGTAGTATATGCTTTCAGAAACTCCAAAGTCCAGTGAAAATTCCCGGATGTCACTGAGGTGGTCCACCGGTGTACATCCTTCTAGCTAGCACTTTGTGCGTATGCATGCTTCACATCCGTCTTTTCTTGGCATCTATTATACGTGGGTATAAGTGCTTCTGGCTAAGACCCATATGCTTTTCCATTTCCTTATGGTAGTCATTTTCTACCAGGCATTAGTGTTTCACAACTGGTGTGACAGAAGGCAAAAACACTGATAAGATTGAACTCTATTTGAATACAAAGCATTCTCTCTGCTTCTTTGGCCTTGCAGTATCAGCCAGTCCTAGTGCAGCAGTATCAGGCAGAATTCTTTGCATTTAGGTAACTTATCTTTGAATGATTCAGGATTGTGAATGTTCCTTCAAACCTTTGTGTTGGAAATAATTGATTATAGCTTTTTAAAAATAAAAAAGTATTCTTTCTCAATAAACACTAAAATTGGTCGCCATGCCTTTAATGGTTCAAGCTTGTCCTGTGTAAGCATAAGATACAGAGAACTGTACACACTTTTTCCCCCTTTCCCTCTCCAGGGAACGGGCTTCTAGTCTTGTGAGATACCAGCCTCTTAAGATACAGTGCAAGTGAGGGAACTTGCAAACATTGCAAATCCAGTATTTTAGTAGGAGTAAAGACATTTAGTAGCCAAACTGGAACACTTGTTCAAATTTAAAATTGCTTTTTGCGTGTGTTGATGTTCACTTAGATGCGCCCACATGCATGCAGAGAGGTTTATGCATTGTGGTAGCTTATTGGGTTTGGGGGAAGTGCTAGGGGGTGGACTGTATGTTTCTTCTCCAGCTTGGTGCAACCAGGCAGCAGGTGTTTCTCCAGAGCCTGTGCATGGGTTAGCAAGGCAGCACAGCAAACTTTGTTTCAAGAAGGGGTCAGTTTAGTTTTGTTACCTGTAACATTATCCAAGGCAGAAAAGCAGGTGCTTGGAGGTCTCCGGCAGCTTGGGGTCTGCCCCGGCAGAGGTGCAAGCCCCCATCCCAGAGTGCTTCAGGCAGCTCTTTGTATAGGCATCAGGCTTGATGTATGTCCTGAACAGGGTGCCTGAAGTCTGAGAGGAATGAAATGTGGAAAATAATCACTGTATTGAGATATGAGATTAATTACTGTCTGGAATATTACAGTAGGAATAAGTTATGAACAGATATGGGGATTTTTAATTTTTAGCATTATGTTATCCTAACTCTTAAAATTTTTTATTGTGAACTTGTCCATGCTAGTTTATTCCATATGTTTTCATAATATCTGTGGAAAACATTGTCTTAATTTAGCAAATAATTGCATCAGTGTTGTGTATGTACTTGTCCAAATACCTGCACCGATAGAATCTAACATTCAAAATTAAAACGCTAATGTTAGATTATTCAAGTTTCTTGGTTCCTGTGTTATCTTTGTTTTTCTCTGTAATTACAATTGCATCTTTTTTTCCAGTGAAGCTACTTTACTTTCTTACAGCATCACCAAACTCTTACTGGGTCCCAAACCAGTCTTTTGAGCCTACGTATTTCCTGGCAGCATAAGAGTGTGGAATTGTTCTCAGCAGCTGATTCAGGGGAACCGATCCCCCTATAAGTTTTGGTGGGTTTGGGAGGTTTAATACGGTGCACTTCCATGGGTGCTCTGTCAGCCTCATTTGACAGACGATGTGTGAGTCTTTAATAACGTAAATGCTAATGAACTCTAAAAGTTTGTACAAGCAAGGCAGAATTTTGTAAATAGGCTTAGTTTATTTTTGCAGGTTAAACAACAGTTAAGTAGTATGTGAATTTTGGGACACACAGGTTCCAATTTCAGGTTTTTAAATGAAACAGTCACTTCAAAAAGCAAACACAGATTGAGAGCAGTTACACCGGGCTTGCTGATGAAGTTAACGCTGTGTGACAGAAAAGGTGGTAGACATTGAAGCAAGGTAGAGGTATTATAAGAAAAGAGGTGATAATGTCATTAGTCCATAGACGATACATTTCTTGGTTATCCCTGATTGTACTCTGCTTCACAGTAAGAAAAGCTTTATAATAGTGTCATGGAATTATTTGAGCTATTATTAAAAAAACCCCAAACAACAAAAAAGCCACCAAGCCCCCACTTTTTAAAGTATATGATTTTCTTTTGTGTAGCTATAAATACTCATTGAATTACTTATATTTTATTTATTCTTGATTGATTTCAAACTTCCTGTGATGCACTTTGTTTTGTTGTTTTTCATTTTGTTTTGTTTTTTTAATTTGAAAATTGTCTTTATCAAGATCTCAGAAGTACGAGAGTCACGGTTGGTTGAAATTCATGATATTTAAGTAGGTCAAAACTATTTTCTCCTTATAATTTGTCTTAGACATGTGCAATAAGAGCACACATTTTTCAGTCTAGTATTAATTCATATATCATTTTTTATGTCCTATATTAACTGGTGACAACTTTGAAGTACAGCTATAGCTAATATCTTCTAGAGACGTTTTTAAAGAATACTGTTTTTCAAATGTAACATTGACTTATGTTGAGTTTTTAACTTACTGTATGACCCATAATACTTGCCTTTTGGAGGTAAAGCAGTGATGGTTCTGTAATATGTTACTTTGGAATATGAACATTTTACGTACTAATGAATCTGTCACTGTGGAAAAACAAAAAGCATGACTCCGGAGCTGCTGATAGGATGGCATCTGCTGTGAATAAACATCTGGGGACAGGAGGAAGACTATTCTGCTTCGGAAGAATTAGGCTCTGTCTAGACTGGGGATTTGACCTGATTACAGCCATTACTGGCTGACAGAAACTATCCATTGATACAGTCTATAGAATAGGTTGGCAAAGCTGCTGCTTGAGTGTGTGGGACTTAGAAATCAAAACTCCACCTGATCATGCAAATAGGATTTTGTACTTTTATATTCGACATTGTCCCAGCATAACTGCAAGGGGAAAATCCTGTAATTCTTATATCTGCATTTTGGTGAGACCACTGAGACTACGGACGTGAAATAGAGGAAATTGATCTTTTGTAGATTAAATGCAATAAAATAAACATCTATCAATAAGCTAGTCAGAGAAACATAACTAATAATTTAAAGGAATTTTGCTGCATTTTGAGGCACAGGATCTTGTTGGTTTAAGATCCATAAGCCAGCTCGCTGCCATGAGAGGATTCTACTATGTTGAGATGATCTCTCAAACCTATAAACCAGGGTTTTCGTAGAAGTAATTCATACTTGTAAGTTTGGTTGTTTTGTTTGTTTGTTGTTTTGTTTTTTTTTAACTAGAGCCCAAATAATTAAGTATTGAACATATATGTATGAAGACATGAAAAGTTTTAAACTACTTAAATAACACTAATTTCTCTTTAGTGGTGGTTAGTATTTGATGTTTGCTTTCATTCAATATGCATACATATGATTTAAATAATATTTTAATTAATTTTTATAGGAGAGTTTGCAGCAGTTGATCATGATGTCTTTGCCAAATGTATTAATAATTGGCAAAAATCCTTTTTCTGGTAAGTTTACTTTTAAGAAACTTTATTTTTAATAAACTTAATTTTAATTTTTTTCTTTTCATTTCAAAATTTATATTGGTGTAATATTTTGTATTCTTTCACTGGAGATACAATTCGTATAGGATTAAGCCTTTCAACAGAAGATTGTGTAAATACTTTTAGCAAATAAGTGGTTTAATAATGATGAGTAACATTTCTTTGTTCACACCGAAGGTCTTTGCTTTACAAAAATGTGTTCTGTCCAAACTTTAGCACTGGCTGTCGTTAGGATTTATACTGAAATGAAGTGCATTTCACAGCAACCAGCAAGCCACTGATATGACAAAGTATAAGTTTCATGTATTCCCAGCTACTATGCTTTCAACTTCCTTTACCTATTCCACCACTGAGAAAAGTGGCAGTTCAATGCATCTCACTTGATCCAGCTTCTAATTCTTGTTTTTCCTTCTCCAAAACTCTCCTGCTTTTCTTGCATCGTTACCTGAAAAATATTGCAATTACCTTCTTGCTTTCTCCCCTGAACTGACACTGTCTTCTCCATGCTCCCACCTTCTCTGCTTCCAGCTCTGAGAGTTACAATTTTCAGACCAAGAAAATTAGCCTGTATGGACCCAGCTGACCTACCCACAGCCACTTGGGAATCTCTGCACCATGCTCTCAATTCCAGAAGCACGGAGCAGACACACCTGGCCTGCATGGAGCCACTATGGATTGGGCAGAATTTATTTGCTTGGGTCTAATGTGTCCCAGGCATTCTACTTCTGATGTTCTAGCATCTCAGCAGAGAGGTTAGGAACTACTCTAACAGGCTGTGTAGCTTCCCCGGCTTTTTTATTTATTTAAGATGTCTTATATGCCATGCTTCAGTGTATGTGAGACAAGATTTTTCTCATGAGCAAGAAGAACCATTTGTGTTACCTCACTTTTCAATTGCAGGGTTCATAACATTGATACTTTCCATATCCCATCTGCATATATCCCATTTATGTAGGTATCTTGATTTTAATTTTTTTGATTTTTACTTTCTGCTTTTGAATATTGCTGCTTTTGCTTCTGAGGTCACAGCCTTTTAAGTTTTTATATGTGTAGATGCTATATTCCATCATATGCACCAAGAAGTGTGAATGTGGCCTCTTCTTTTCCAGAAGAATAGAATGCTTCATGCTTTTATGTTTTGATTCCAGACTTTCTTAAGGTTTCTGAAAGACTCCATGGATTTGCCTAGAGACCAGATTTAGTTGAAAAATAGATCAAAAACAACTGGTCATGGTATTGTTTTTGTAGTAACATTTTTTATTCTCTTTAAGATATTGAGACAAAATACATCTTAACAATATTGTGTAGTATAAGATGAGATTTTATTAAAAATGCACTACAGAAACCCACAAAGATAATTTAGTATTCAGTTGTATACATAAAAAACTATGCTTTAGTCATTAATAAGAAAGCTTCTTCCTGTTTTGGGACCTCAGCTAAGTCAATGCAGCTTTTGTGGTTTGGCAACTGGAACTTATGGTGCTGTATGCATTGCTCTTCCATGGGGACATTACTGGGTTTGTGAGAAAATACAGACTTTACTGTAGCATAGCCCACATACTAATTCATTATGTATGGACAATATTCTTGAATATGTTTCAGATTCCTGCTTGAGTTCATTATGGAGTTTGATCTGAATCAGAATAGACCTGTTCTTTGGGGTTCCATCTAGAACCTTTCCCCTTTGAAAGTTAAGACTGCTCTTGGTGTGTTAACTTGAAGAGGACCTCATCCCTAGAGGGATATTTAAGCTTTTTTTCTCTGGTGGGCAAGTGTAGCGAAATCAAACCTCAGTGACCTTTTGAGAGACTTGCTGCATAAATCTGATCGCATCAAGGCAAGCCTCCATAGTAAGTCAAGTCTCTGATAGCAATTAGCACCTTAGGCTGTCTCTGTGATTTTTCACAGGAACGTCTCCCAGTTTTTCCCCTTTGTACTACTTTGCACCTAAGGAATGATTAGTAGAGAAACACCAGAAGATGATAAGTTGCAGAAGTCAAGGACAGATATGATTTCATGAAGAGAGATGTGTTTCTATCAGAGGCAGCTGGCTAATAAAGGCAAATTCAGATAGAATGCTGGTAAAAAGAGGTCATCAGAGATTTTATCAAGTAACATTTCAGTTGAGCTAATTGTCATGAAGCCAGTTTGAGGAGAAAAGTGGAGGAGAAGAGTAACAGGCTGTGATTGTAAATGTTAAATTACTGAGGAGAAGGAAAAAAGAGATAATGATGAGGCAAGTGCTCTTTTAATAGGGGAAGAGGAAAGATTAAAACCAGTTCATATTTCTAAGTGAGCAAGCCAGGGGAGGATGGAAGGCTACAGAGGATATGAAAATCAGGGATAAGACTGAGCGCAGGGAAGATCAAATGATAGGATAGGGTTGGGACAAAGTTCAATCAGCGGGTTGGAGAGTGTAGAAGGGAATGATCTATGTCTGTATTTGTGATGCAGAAAAAGGGAGAAAAACATAAAAGATGGTTGGTAGCAGTGAGAAACTGAGTTTGTTCTGTATTTTGCCACATTCCTTCAGGGAATGTGGGGGGGAGACATGAAAACAAAATTCAGGTAGGCTTCTAAAAGCTGGTCAAGAGATGCTGAAGCAGTGTGCAAATGAATGTCTGAAGAGAAGTTCAGGGATTGCTTTTTTTTTTTTTAAGTGTGATGAATTTATTGGGTTAAGTGAATGGAGAATGTGAGATGTTGGCATGGATTCCTTTTACAATATTCTGGTTAACCTTTATTGATAGGCAGCCAGGTGGAATTCCCATTCTTTAGCTGAAGTAGCGTGTTTCTGATGAAACATGTTCATTGATGTTTTCTATGTAAAAGACTTTACAACTCGAGTGTTGGGGATACAGGAAGTCTGTATACATGATTAAAGATCTCCCATTTGAGTTCATGTTCTTTCTAACATATCTCCTTGATAAACCTCTTCTGAAAAATTGAAACATTACATGTTCACTGGGATTCTACAAATCTCCCTCTAAAACAAGCAGGCTGAGTCAGTGTTGAAAAAAGATTCTCTTAACATTATAATGCATGGGGAACTCCTGAAGCCAGGAGGAGGATGGAGAAGCTTAGCAGCTGTCTTTCATCTGATTTATGGCAGCATGCTTGACTCTTTACTGAAAGCTAGTCAAAATCATTAAGAGATCTGTATCCTTTTAGAATTTTCTTGATTTCTTTTCAATTTACTCTTTTGATCAAGATTACCTCATATCTGTAACTTTTTGAGAAGGATTTTACACTTGCTTCACTTACAAAACACTGTAGTGAATCAAATCAAAGGACAATTTTTCAACTGCTTATAAGGGAATGGTTACATCTTTCTTATGCGGGGCTTTAGCCAAAACAGACTTAGTTGCCCAATGTAGATGATTGTAAACTGCTGTTTCAGAAAGAAGGTTCTGGCTGAGTTTTCTTTTAGATGCTTATAATCATCTGGTGATCATTGGATATCATCTGTGGTTACCAAGTCCTTTAAAAAACTGGACTTGAGTAACTTAGGTCAGATTCAAGAATGCCTGTGCTTTCTTTAGTACGTGCTAGGCATCCACTGTTTGCTATTTGAACTGAGAGTGGATCTGTTGGTATCGGTAGTAGTTACACCAGCTGTGTCGCAGAGTACAGTTGTGTAGAATAAAGGTCAGATTTCTATCCAGGCCCAGCATTATTATGTTTGATAGCATAGCTTTTGTCAGGATAGCTAACAATGAAATAATCTCTTGGCTGAAATCCAAAGTATATAGTAGAAAGGATGCTATTAGGACACTCTTATTCCTAGATAGCCCAATGGATAGTGTTTTCTGTTTCAGTAGAGCAAAACAATATATGACCATATACAGTTTAATTCCAACTAGCCTAAGCTATTTTACCATCCTTAGAGCATTTGCTGTATGGCATTTATATTCTAGATACAGCATACATTTAGTAGTAAAACAAGGACATTTTGAATGTAAAAAGTAAAACATCTTTATTTATCTGTAAACAGAGTTCTTTAAGCTTCTTTAGAAGATTAAGATTTAGAAATACATTTTTATTTTTTTAGATGTACAGATAAATACCTAATATAGGTTTATAAAATAATTTAAATGAACTTGTAATCTAAGTGTTACAGCCTGGGGGTGGTAAATAATTTAGGCATTCTTGTAACTATCTCAAGACACTTGAGACTACAGTTGGAAACTCAACTGTCGGTCTCCAAAGCACTTTTGAAATTGTCACTCTGAAGTTTTGCTTTATGAAGGGCTGAAATGGGTTTTCCATTTGAAACTATTATGGATGTTAAGCTATTTGTAAAAACTGAAAGTTGGCAGTTGGCGAAAGTTGGCAAAAGGACTAAGCTGAAAGCTGGAAAGATGGGGTTTTCTTAATCTTTTTGTTTTCTAAACTAGGTTAACATGAATTAAATGAAAATAATGAGGAAACCTGATGTTTTCTGAGGGGTGGGGAAAGAAACTCAAATTACCATTTCACACCTACCATTTTTTTTATTCTTATTTTCCTCTTAGAGCCAGGTACAGAAGAAGTAAAAAAACTCCTCCTGCTTTTACTTGGTTGTGCGGTTCAGGTAAGTTTAACTATGTTTATATCTGTATGAAAAGGTTTAAGTGTTTCTGATCTCTCTTCTTATTATTTTAATACCTGAGGTGAACTTTTACCTTCCTTCCTCTAGTGGTACTGTTGCATTCCTTGAAAATCTGGATATTCTTACAGTTAAAATGACTACAACTGTACATCTCTTGTGTTTTTATTGTACAAATATGGCAAACTGTGTATGTAGGATTCTAATAGTTCATTAATTGCAATATTGTTAATTTATCTGATACTGTAAAGAAGGGAAGAAAACGGTAAAGTACTGAAGAATTATTTTACTGATATATCTTACTGAAACTGTTTCACATATTTAATAAAGTTTTTTGATGGACTTCTGTTCTTATTAGGACAGTTTGTACCATTCAGCTAATTAAACTTAAAAAATAGAATCAGTTATATGTTCGTAACAACATAGATAAGCAACTTTGGTTTTAGAGGAGGACACTTTAAAAATACCTGTGGAACTCACTGTCATAAAATTTTAATAAATAGCTATTTTAAGAAACATCTTCCTTGCCCCATTTCAATACCTACTTTATCATTTTATTAGTGTTGAAAGTTACAATGACTGTAATATGGCATAAACCAAGTATATATTGGTCAACAAAATTACGGGATAATAATTTAGTAATGTGATCATCGTAATGTTAGCTTTATCATTTTTAGGTCTTAGAAATACAAAAGAAGAATGAAAATACTTGTGATTACATATATAAATGTATATAAAATAGATCCCTTTATTTTTAGTGTCAGAAAAAAGAAGAATTTATTGAAAGAATCCAAGGTCTGGATTTTGACACTAGAGCAGCTGTCGCAGCCCATATTCAAGAGGTATATTGGGGTTTTTGTGCTTTTAATTTTTTTGGAGGTGGAATAGTGTGTAATAAAAGCTTAATTACTTTTGTTCAAAAACAAGTAAATCAAATATGTGATTTGTATATCTGGTGTTTTTAGTAAGCAGAAAATGTCTTTATTTTCAAACTTCATTCACAGAAAAGATTTCATGATCAAGCTCTTTTGGATACATTGTTAAAGCAGTACGGGGGGCAAGTTTGTTGCTCCAAGAATTTCTTAAATTACAGCAGATTTAGTTTAATGAAACTTTCATGTGCAAATTTATTTATAAAATATAATTCAAATCCCATGTATTATGCATTATGATATGTAATATATACTATGTCATAGTCACCTTTTGCTTTTTATTTTGCCAGAAGTCAAGGTGGTACTTTCAGATAGACAAGAAGCTGTTCCACTACATACAATTTAGTCTATTTTAAATGTTTTTCATACCTTGTCTAGAGAATTTAACCCACCAAGTTTCAGCTTTATTTTCTTTATGATTTCTTACTACTCTTATAATTTAAAAAGGATGTTTTTTCCCTTCCATTTAACTCGGTTTAGGTAACTCATAATCAGGAAAATGTGTTTGATCTGCAGTGGATGGATGTTATTGTACTGACACAAGAATATGTTGAGCCTCTCTTGAAAAATATGGCGTTACATTTAAAAAGACTTATAGATGAAAGAGATGAGCACTCAGAGGTATGGACATGGTTTGTTGCTTAAGAGAAATATAAAAAATAATTTTTTTAAGATGCTACAGCTTACACTATTAGTTACAAAAATAGCTTGTTGTGTTAGCATATTTAAGCAAGGATTCCTTACTGCTGAAAAGTTGTTTAAGGTAGTTACAGTGTGCATACTAGTTGTTGAATACTGTGACAGACTAGAGAGGATAATAAATGATCTTCTTCACATAACCAGAGCCTGAAACAAGTTTAACATTCGTCTGTAGTTGAAAACATAAAATCCAAAGCTGTATCAGCTCAAGTTTCCAGGAATCAGTAACCTGTCGGTTTGCAAGCCAGTCACTGAAAGATGTCTGTTACATTACTATATCCTGTTGTACAGGTTTGAGTGAACTGGAGCAGAATCCATACTAGGAGAGGAGGTTATACAAGCTTATCGCGAGGCACAATCATTGTACTGTGTGAGAATCAAGAAACAGAAATGTATTTAATAAAAATTGCAAGTTACGAATCATCTTGGTGGTTTCAGATTTGCCCCTCAATGGTGTGCGTATTTTAATATTGCAGTTATTCCAAATATTCCTTTCATAGCTACCAACTGTCTTTCCAGTTCATAGCCTTGATAAGAGTAAAACAGAAATCTAGCAGTGAGGGGAGAGGTTGTGTGTTAATGCTTTGTTGCAATGCAAAGGAAAAGTAATTTAAAGTACAAGAGATCTTCATGTTAAAATAACACCTTTATTTATGTGATGAAAAAGGAATATTCCTCTATGTCAGATGCTTTATTCGGTTGGCCAAGGATGCTGCTCTCACTGAAGAACACCAGATTCTTTCGAGATCTATATTTATCCTCATGTTTAAGGATTTCACGGCATTTCATGACCCAATCCATTCTGAACACTGATAATTTTGTGGACTTAAAAGTCAAAATCTGAGTAGTTTAAGAATAGCCAAATGGTACTGTTAAGTATCTGTGACTATTTGCTTTGGGTATAGAGGTGTATGTAGGGCTTCTAACTTCTTTTATGGCAAAATTTTTTCATTATTCTTGCTTCATTTCAGTCTTTGATTAATTAAAGCAGTGAATTGTATTAGTTTCTGACAGAAGTGGCTCTCTGAATGCAATTCTATACTTCTTTTCTCTCTCTCTTTATTTCTTAGACTATCATAGAACTCTCAGAAGAACGGGACTGTCTTCGTTTTCTACCTCACGCATCAGCAGCACAATCACCTTGTGGATCTCCTGGCATGAAGCGCACTGAGAGCAGACAGCACCTGTCAGTAGAGCTGGCGGATGCCAAAGCCAAGATAAGAAGACTTCGGCAAGAGCTGTGAGTACATGTAGATTGCAGAAGTGTGTCGAGAGTTGTAGGGTTTTAAAATGTTGTTGATTGTGTACAGTAGTAGTACTCGCTAGACAAATTAGTCATTCTTTCAAATGTTAAATTACAGTTTTAAATGCTTTTTTTATTGTACCCAGAGAAGCATATTTTTATATTGTAAGCATATTTGTGGACCAGTGTGACAAATACAACTTTTCATCGGTGTTTGTCTTAATTTGTGTTATGAATTATATTGATGTTTTAACCATAAACATACTGAAATCAGTGAACTGCTGCTGTGGTAATTTTGTATCTCCTGTACTCTGAACTTTCTGAAAAACTAACTGTGTTTGAGCAATCTCTGAGAATGTTGCAATACAGTCATGGGCTCTTGGATCTATATAAGTTGTCTTTTAGAAATACAGCTAATCCAATGTAGTATTGCCTGTTTTTTACATATTGCTGTTTCAAAGGCAAGTTCTTTGTGTTTTCTCTGTTGTTCATTATTACTAATGAATACTCAACTATAGTTTCAATATATCTGTATTCATATATGTTTCTAAGTTTTGCAGTGGAAAAGAAAATTATGCACACCAAACTCCACTAAATCTCTTGACCCGTTGCTAACCTGGATGCAGTGAAAGAGACATTGAGTTTGCTGGCAGGGGGTGGTTGTATATGTCTAAGGAATAATGTAATTTGTAAGATTAGTACCTTCTATGGCTTGGGTCAGTTACAGTTTCTTACAGTTTCCAACTTGCTACATTCATCCAGTTAAAGGAGTGCTCTCTTTTCCCCCTGGTGCTGACCTCTTAGCTCAGGGGTATGTTCCCCTCCTTCACCTCATCCAAGTACTGTGAAAATTCAGTCCCATTGTAACAAAGATCTTTGTTCTTTTGTTTTTCATATTCTAATGAAAAACTTTTTTATCCTTTCTGTTTTATGAAGAAAACTGATTCAGTATCAGTGGGTACTCAGTCTGTCTACATAGTCAAGGAGCACATCTGAGCAGTAGTGAAGATTTATTTAAAGAGAACAGTAATAGTGCACTGCAGAATCTGTTTCTCCCTATAGCAATGTGTAATGTTTTTGCAGAGTGAAGCATGTGCAGTCTGAATTTAAAATACAAATGTTAAATCTGAAGAGATTAAATCGGTATAGTAACTTGACTATAGGTTAGAAACAACATAAAGATTTTTTTTTTTTTTTTTTTTTAATCCAGCATATTTTGTGGAGAGAGGAGACAGGTAAAATTAAATTAGAAGTTGAAGGTAGCATAAGTCATGGTTATCAGCTCGCTGGTCTGCTCTTAACAGGGTTTGTTGATCAGATCTAGCTAGCTGGATTAAGTATCTGGTTGATTTACTCTGAGGATTCCCTTCCCCCACTACATCTTGGTCTTCATGAAGAGTGGAGGACAAAAAGATACGGCTCTCTTTTTCTGGTGTCTGTATTATTATGTGTCTACTGAAATGAGCCCGCCCAGGATATTCTATAAACAGCTGCACCAAGAAAATTAGTGAAAAAATTGCTGTTATTAGTTTGATTGACAGTTAATAGATAGCCTAAACAGTGAAAACTGGTATGTTCTGTATAATTTAGTACAATCCCCTCTAGTCTGTAGCTGAAGCATGCAATTAGGGCAACAGTGATGGCTCGGAACATTTCACATTTTGCACTCTATTTGAATTCAATTTGTAAATAAATTTCCTTTACATGTAGCAGCATATTTAAAATACTCGACTTTGATAAATTAACTTCTTTCTGTAGCATTTGGTATTAAATATCGCATGTATTTGATAAATTTAAAATTAGATTAATTCCAGAGTTGAAAATATTCTGCTTAAAATTTATTTATAATCTGTTTTTGGCAATGAACCTTCATAGCTGGTTTAATATGCACTGCAGCTAATATAATTTCATACAAAAGGTCTGTAAAGATTGTTTTTCAGTTGGATGCAAAACAGTGATTTGAGGCTTTTAACAAGAAACCCCAAAACTGGAAATTGCACACCTAATTTTCTATATTAAGTTCTGTGTGTTTCTATGTAGAACAATGATACAGGAATATGAATGTTAATAGAAAAGTTACAGTAACCTAACATCATACAGAATCCATTTGTATTTCTGTATGGTTTCTGAACCCCTGTGTAGGGGGAAGGCTTTGATACCTGCCATGGACAGTGATGTTGCAGTGAGGTGTAAGTAGATGAACCTTGGTTTACCTGTAGGCTGTTACAACCTTTTTGAAATAACATGTGGTTGCAGAAAGGTCATTCATTGTGAGATTGGCTCATTTTTAAAAACAACTGTTCTAGATTTGTTTAAAACAAATATATTTTTGTTAGTATGATTACTTTTAGATTGTGTTATACATTTCAGTCCATTAAAGTATCATGTTTCCCCCTTTTCTACTTTTGTATTGTTTCATACTTTTATTCCAAAATATGAAATAATATAGTAACATGTCTGAATATGCAATATATCTCTTCAGGGTATATAATACTGCATATGGCAGGTGTTTTTCAGCAGTGCACACTTTGTTCTGAGGTGCGATTGAATTTTGAATGTTAGGTATTCTGTGTCTTTGAGAGAATTAAATATGTCCATTGCACGAGCTCATTGTTTAAAGAGCTCATTGTTTAATGAACTCACTTTTTGAGCATTGAGAAATAAGTGTTAGCTGGAAGATAAGTATGAGAACTGTAAGAATTGTAGTATTCTGTGTCACATTGGTTTTATTACAAATTTCTGAGTAGACTAAAACACTGTGTTGTTTCCATAAAATTAAAATTCATTACGCATTTCATAAAATTATTAAGTGGTATCTTCTTTTAATGAGTAAAGGCACCTGGAAACCTTAATACTTCTCTGTAAGAAAACTAAAAATTACAGAAGTATAAAAATGCTTTTAAAATTGTCTTTACCTGATCTGTGACAGGGTGCATCAGTAGTCATTGTCTGGTTTTCCTGGAAACTATTTGGACCTTTTGAATGGGTATTTTGAAAATATTCTGAGTTTACTTTTGGATGTGATTCTCCTGATACACATTCATGTTTATTGTCTGGGCTTTTTTACCAAAAAAAATTCCTTACCCCTTATTACAAAAAAATCCCTTATTTACACCCTAATGTGTTCTGCCCCACAGAAGTAGGAAATCTTAGTGAACAACAATTTAAAAGACTACAAAAAATCTGACTAAACTTAAAAGATTAAGTACAGACTAAAACCTAAACAATATCTAAACCATGAATGCATACGTAAGTTTTACACTCTGATGTCCATGAAATTCTGGATTAAAAGAGGGAAGTTTCATGAATCTTATTACTTTTATTCTCAAACAAGATAATATTTACCAAGTTTTGCAGTCATGTTTAACTGTTCTGTGTTTTCTCTTTTAAGCGAGGAAAAGACTGAGCAGTTACTTGACTGTAAACAAGAACTTGAACAGATGGAAGCTGAACTAAAGAGACTTCAGCAAGAGGTATGGGGTTTGTAAATCTATTGTATAAAAAAAGTTGCCACCACCAGAATGATCTCCACCCCCCCACACAACCCACCACTTTTTTTTTTTGTATTGGGAAATAAGTTTTCATCCATTTTTTTTTTTATTTTGCACTCTGAACACCATATTGTATAATTTATTGCTTTATTGGGTTCAGTATGCTGGAAGAATATTCTGAGTTAGGTTAGTGTTTCTTTAATTGTTTTTGTTTTCCCTTATAAGCAGTTATCACCAGTGTATCTTGTGAGGGTACATGTGCTGAATATTTGTCAAAAAAAATGCACCCAAATTTTGTCTGCTTTTCTTTATACGTTGAGTCTGTGTGTTGATAATGAGGGAAAATATCTGATTAATTTATTATTAGGATGTGAATGTATAAAATTATTGGGAGTCATTTGAGAATATTACCTGTAAAATAAATGTGCTGTTCTGAAATCTACACATGTGTACATACGTCTCCTTGAAAAAGGCCAGTGAAGTTTTCTTGGAAATACATCATCTGCACTGGGCCTCTAAAATACTTATTTTTTTTGCTTTACCTTTCTCTGAATTAATTTACATCCCTCTGCATTACCCCACTTTATATAATGAAGCAGCTATGTTATCTTTCAGTGTGTGTTGTCCAGTATTCTTGTCTTTAATTTCTGTACTTTCATTTTTTCTAGAATATGAATTTACTTTCAGATGCCCGTTCTGCCAGGGTGTATAGAGATGAATTAGATGCTCTTCGTGAGAAGGCAATTCGAGTCGACAAGCTTGAAAGTGAAGTCAGCCGGTATAAAGAAAGGCTGCATGATATTGAATTCTACAAAGCTAGAGTGGAGGTATATTAAGGAAAAAAAGTACTGAATAACCATCAATTTTGTTTGCTGTGGCTTTTTTAAAAGTTATTTTGATGACTTAAACAGTGGGATGTGAAAACAGTGTTAAGCGTTGTGCTCTGGGATAGTCAGTCTTTTGTGATAAATTACAGTTTTTAGATAAAAGTCCCTGTGTCTAATGGCATGCAGTATCATTTGAAGTCAGCCATATTCACCATAGCTCTAAGCTAGCAAGATCTGTAGGAGCCTCTGTTTAGGGTATATACTATGTAATGAGAAACCCAAGGAGGAATTCATTAGAAATGTTCTATAATTTCTTTCTCCTCTTGTGGTTCTCCTAAGAGAAGGTAATTTTCCAGGTAAACTGTTGAGGATATAGTGGCTGTACACATAAATGAGTATAGGATAGTGGCATTCCATGGATAGAATATACTAAAAACATATGCACTGACACCAGGCAAGAGAGTCTTACAGTTCTTTCATGAATTAGTAGTGTAGCAAACAAATCATCACATGCAGGATTTGATTAGGCCATCATTCTGTCTGTAAATGGCAAATTTGTTGGGCAGATGCCAAGGTGGTAGAGTTTGTGAAAGAAACAATTACTTGTAGGAGTCAAAACTAATGAAAGTTTAAAGAAATTTTGAATGTGGTCATTAAAAAAAGAGGATTCCTGGAAAAGCAGGAAGAACTCGAAATGGACGCTGGTTGGAAAAAATATTATGTTGCCTAGATGTAGTTGTTGAGATGCTGGTATGAAGCCATTTCTTTATGATAAAAATAACCAAAAAGCAAAAGAAGATACTAGGTTAAACTATGACACATGATATTTTTATGTAACTTCTTCATTTACTGTGGCCTCTTGGATTTCCAGGCCTGGATGCTGTCTCGGGAACTCATTCAGTCCTTCTGCTTTAAGCATGGTATTTTTTATGTACTCATACCACTCCAGATGAATGCTTGACAGTAATTGGTGCTTTAAGACCTGAGTGAAGTGTCCACAGCTTTTTTCTTCTCTGAAGACTGACACGTCATGTGGCCTCTCTTCTAGCTCTTTGTGCTCTGCAGCCCCACAGTGTTCTGCCTTACAAAGTTGTTTTGTTTTGTTTTGTTTTTTTTTCCTGTTCTTTGAGTTCTGTCTAAATTCTTATTTTTATTAAAACTGAGTTCCTAAAACTAGATGTCATACTCTACTTCTGGCTTTAGCAGTTCTGAATACAGTGGGAAGATGACCTTTCTGTACACCTTCTACTATAGTAACTCCTAAGCAACCTCTCAACATTGTGATCTGTGGTAACCTCCAGATTTTCTTCCCACTGAACTGCTGCCTAGACATGAAAGAATATCCCCAATATTATAGTTCCCAGAGCTGAAAAATGTCATGATACTGATGACCAATGATGAAGCATCCTGGGGAAGGAGACTTTTTTCTCTGAATGTTTAAAAGTTAAAACCTCTTAATGAATATATACTTCATACGTCACAGCATAAAATAGCTACTACTGATAAAAGCTACTGTTCATGAGAGGGGAAAAACTGCAAGGCAAAACCCAAAATTTTAATGTTCAGTTGTAGATCCTTCATCCAAAATTTCTAATAATAGCTCTAGGCAGAAATAAAGCATATCAACTGACATGAGAGTTACTAGCTTTTTAATGGAAAATGAGATGGATAGTTTTTCCAAGTGAACTGCAGTATAAAGAAGTTAACAACAACCTGCAGTGAGAATTAGGGTGCATGTTGCAGATTAAAACACTGTTAAAAGGGCTTTAGATACTTCTGAAATTTTGAACAAAGTCATGGTTCCCAAGACTTTTTTGTTTTTTTTGTTTAAGATTATTTGTTCTTATCCTTGCTTGTGGAAATTAATTTTATCATCTTACTGTGTAATGTGAAATAATCTGGTGAAATGGGAAGAGACTTTCTCAAGATACGCTGAAGACAGACCTTAATAACTGTCATTGAAACATCCATTCTTGGGGAGGCTCCAAAGCTGCCTTTGCATGCCACTTAAAGGCTGGTAACTACATTCCAATGCTGGATCTTTTCTCAGTGTTTGACATATTTTAAACAAGATACTGCTATTCAGCTTGAGCTCAGTGATAGAGGTCCAGTGCTGTGATTTATGTTCTCAGATTTCCTCAGAGTTGTTGGCTGTTACCTGTGTATCATGTAATAGGTTAGCATACATTGGTCTGTTGGAAAATCAGGTACTGTGAGTGGTGAGGGTTGTCATCAGCCTGCCTGTGTATGAGCAAACTTTTGTATGTGAGCTATTTGAAAACCATCTTGCATGAATGACTTTATAAACTCTGTATATCTACTATAATTGTAAAAGGGACTGAAAGCATATCGTTTAAAAAAATTGGTAAATTAAAAGATGTGTACAGCATTTGAAAGCAGTGGAAATTTAATTTTCATAAAATATTTAATAAAAAACCTAATATTTGTTTACATGTTCCATAGCTTGTAAACTATCTGCTTTTGCAAGCATGCTTGAATGGAAACAGATGTTAATTAGTTGGCTTTGCTTCATAATAATAATAATATGTTAATATTTGTGTAGGGAGGAGTATGAAGGATAAATATTTATGTAATATTCACTGATCTTTTTTCAGATTTTGCAGCTGACTGCATATTGAACTTCGAAAAGTTTTGTTTTTATACCATGAGTAACATTGCCAATTATATGTTTTTACATATTATTTTCATCAGATGCCATTAAAAAAAATTCTGTATGTACATAAATTAAAGCTTTTTAGGACCTTTGAATATGGCAGGTTACATTTTAAGAATGTGGTTGCATTTTCAGTATCATGTTCTGACTGGGTTTAAGTAAATATTGCCCAGTGGCCTGCAAACCTAATTATGGCCTGTGGAAAATTATTCTCTTAAGTTTTGTTCTCCATTTGCTGCAACACAAAGATTAGGGAGTTAACTCTAATACTAAGATAAATTATGGACTGAAAGGAACACCTACATCCATCCCCAGTCTTTGACGTTGGCCACGAGTAGATGCTTAGGGGAGAGTAAAAGAACAGGGCAAGCACTTGGTGATACTTTTTTGTTGTGTTCTCCCAGACTCCAGCAGTCTCAGCTCAGGAAAATCATATTCAGAAGTGGTACTTTTGAGCTTTTTGGTCTGCTCTTGCATGAATTAGATAACTTCTCAACATATGTAGGCCTTTTCATCTACACAATCATGTAACAATAAGATCCACAGTTCAATTACATGTTGTGTGAAGAACTTCTTTTTGTTTGTTTTGAGCTCGACACCTGTAATTTTTATTTGAAGTCAGCCTTTTGCTTATCTGTAGTCCATATACATGCAATACATCTTTCCAGATCACATGGCTTGATTGTGATTATGAACACCTTATGTGTTCTTAATGGTTTAGGGACTATTTATCTTTAAGTTATGTAAAATTTTTTTCTGATAAATTTTAGTAAGTTGTAGTTACGTGAAATTGCTGTAAATTTGTTTTTTATAAAAAGTCTGTTACAGCTTCCAAATTTATGTTTTAGCATTAGAGCAGTGTTTCTAAGACTAGGTATGATGTGTATCAAAGTTTATATTAATAAGGAAATAGGGGTTTTGTGAGGTTTTTATTTGTTGCTTAATTCTTGCAGGAGTTAAAGGAAGACAATCAAGTGTTACTAGAAACAAAGACAATGTTGGAAGATCAATTAGAGGGGACCCGAGCCCGTTCTGATAAATTACATGAGTTAGAAAAAGAGAATCTACAATTAAAAGCTAAATTACATGATATGGAGATGGTAAGTGTAAATGGAGGATGACAGAGACAACTGAAATGCATTGAATTTAATTTCCATCTTTAATAGAACTTCCAGTGAAAATGGTGTGGGAGAGAAGGAAGGTATGTCTTGATTTACTAACACCTTTCACGTACGGCTTCCTATAGTAGCTCTTGTTCTGCCTAAGGAGGAGGAATCGCAAAGGCAGTACTCTTCTTAAAGGCAGTACAGTGTTTAATTTGATAGCTAAAATATGATAATAAGAAATAGAGACCTATTCTAAGAACTATAGGATCGAGGTTTTTTTATATGAAGATAGTCTCTTAAATACTTAGATGAAAGAGGTTATTCATATTTCAAACTCTGGCAATACAGTGATATAATTATCAGAAGGTGATTCCCAAAATAATTTCTGCTTTTAACTGATTCTCCTCCAAAAAGTAAATACTCTAAAACATAAAGTCATAATTTGTCTGGGTGGGTTTTTTTTTCCATAAAGGGTGACAGATTATTACCTTTTATTTACTTTCATTTCCTGTAACACGTTGAGAGTTGCAGCTGCAACTTACTCCTGTTAAAGTAGCTTATGTGGGGAGAGGAGTTTATGAAGAGCCAGGTGAGATGCTTTCATCATGGTCCCAGTCCTGTTAAGCTTTTTGCATTAAAGTAGTCTTAGAGAAGGTAAAATTTTGCTTCTATGTTAGTTTGGTTTTTTTGTGTGCTATTAAGCTGTGCTTATCATGTCTACTTTTCTGATATTTGGGGAGAAGTGAGCTTTGAAAAAGAGTAAGTAGTCATTGGTGTAGGCGATGAGAAAAAGTTCTTCACTGCATATTTTTTCTTTACTGGTTGTTACAGTTCTCTTCAAGCTCTCCATACTTTTGTCAGTTCCTCCCTGTCTCACTGTGTACTAGCAAATCAGAAAATGCACTTTGCATTTCTCTGTGGCATATGAGATACTAAAATATTTTGTTCATGTTGAGACATAGTTTTTTTAAAGCTACATGTGAAATTTTTAAGGAGCGTGATATGGACAGAAAGAAGATTGAAGAACTCATGGAGGAAAATATGACTCTAGAAATGGCTCAGAAACAAAGTATGGATGAATCATTGCATCTTGGCTGGGAACTTGAACAGATTAATAGGACTACTGAACTTTCTGAAGGTAAACACAGTAATACTTGCAAACTGATAAAATAGAAAACTTGAAAGCTCAGAGACTGGACAGCATTATGATATTACAGGTCCTGAGATCTAATGTATAGAGCTTTTGTCCTCTGGAGAGGTGTGACAGTTTGGGGGTTGCTTTTTTGTTTGTTTGCTTTTGTTGTGGTTTCTTAGTTTTTTTCACTCAATCCCATGTATCCTTGGAGATACAGGCTACATGAAAAGTCTCTGTTCTTGTGATTCTTGTTCAGTTTTAACCCATTAATACCTTGGGGTTACATTATGTTGCCATTTGAACTTACATACTCTGTAGCACAGATCATGAGTCTTTGTGCTTTACTGTTCTCTAAAATGCAAACTCAACTCCAGGAAATAAGTATTTTTTTTTTAATGGTGATTTTCTCTTACAGTGCCACAGAAATCACTTGGTCATGAGGTAAATGAACTGACATCAAGCAGGTTACTGAAGTTGGAAATGGAAAACCAAAGTTTGCTGAAGACAGTGGAAGAACTACAAAGTGCAGTGGGTTCTGTAGAAGGCAGTACTTCAAGGATTCTGAAAATGGAAAAAGAAAACCAAAGACTTAACAAGAAGGTAATCACCCATATATGTTTGAAGGGTGTATGAGTTGCCTAATATTGCTTGCCATTTTTTTTCCTAAAGGGTAATTTTATGGATTGCTGTTGTTTTGGGTAAAGTGTTACTAAGGTCTGAATGGTGTTCTGGTGTTTGTTAGCTTATGGTAAAAAAAGAAAACAACCTCAGAGAGGTTTTTCTCCTCTTTAATAATGCTTTTTTATTAAAGATGCAAAAATGTGACCATTTTATTCAGAAAGCTCTTTTATCAGCAAGGGGGAAAAAATCAGTGTGTTAATGTTGGGGACATAATAAGTAATCAAAATACTTTATGAAACTTGAGAATATGATTTTAATTTTTGTAATTATTAACCAGTGGACAGTATGTGCACATAGACACATGAGACGGTCTTCACCTAAGCAGAAAACTTGTTCATGTGTCCTCATTCATAACTGAGAGAAGATGGGCCAAGGAATTGATGAGGAAGTGAATGGGCGGAGTTTGTCAGATATAGCTGTGCTGATCTACAATATTCTGCTCTACAAATTATGTATATCAAGTAATCTAGTCAGTGGTATTTATAGAGAATAAAAATCGGAAAAAAACAGGGACTAATTACAGTGGAGTGAAATGACTGAAAGTTTCTGAAATAGCTTTTACTTCAGCAGATGTTTCAGATGTTAGACGATTCTTAGAGAAGAGTGGGTAAGAGATAATTACAAAAAAAAATGGAAACAAATTTCTAGTGTATCCCATAGTTCCATGCCTTCTCTAATTTCTTAAAAGTACGGTATTTTTTGCAGCAGCCCATGTGCTGCTTTGAGTTTCTGTACAGTACCAGAAAGACAGGTAGGAGAGCACAAAAGAAAGGAATAAGTATAAGAAGCAAGCAGTAGTGGGTCCTTGTGGTTGTCTGATGTTCTTACCACTCTGGATGTCTGGCGACATGTCCTTTTTCTCACTTGCCCCTAAAAACAATGTTCTAAACAGTGATCACTTCAGTAAAAAGCATGAAGTTGAACAAAATGTTACGAATCCTCTATACCCAGACCACTTCTATCTGGACACACTTTCTCTTAAAACAAACTGCTAATATATAGTCTTACAAATATGAGATACAGTGACCACAGGCACTCCACTCCCAGTGCCCAGGTGGCAGTTGGGCAAGGGATGGATAAATTTGGTTCCTAGATGGTGTCTGACTGCATCCCTGGTGGAGTAACAGAGCCAGTTACTTCTCTGCAAAAACCAATGAACGTGTCAGTATTCCTGTAAAGCAGGTGTTGGTCTGCTAAGCAAGGGACCAGAAAAATCTGAATTTGAGAGGGAGAGGGAAGCAAAAAACAGGTCAAACATTAGTGTTCTCATACAAAGAAAAAGATTTCATTCAGGTTCTGGCCTAATTGATGCCATTCCTTTTGCATATTTCAGATGAACAAAATGCTTAATGGAGGAACATATTCCATTCTACTGCCTTTTTATGATTTTTATTTCTCAGTATTTAGCAGCAAATTAATGTATAATTCAAATAACTTGGACCCCAGGCAGGGGCAATACTTTAAGAAACAAGTTATGTCTGGACTCTTCTAGGATTGGGTAATGTAGATGATGGACTTGACAGAATAGAGGCCTACCAGCAGATGATTGTTTAAAAATACAATGTGTATGTTGCTTCTTAGTAAGTAATTATAACTTACATGTGACAGAAAAATCACACTTGGTTATTTGCACTTGTACACAGTTCTGCTGTCTGGTGACGTTGCAAGTTGGAACCATTTAACAAAATAAACCTGTATACTTAATTCTCAAGGAATCATCATAAGTATCTCTTGAAAAAGTCTTGAAAGAACAAACAACATCCAACCCTTATAAATTAAAGGGAGTTGGAGAAGCAGTATAAATCTCACTAAAATGGAATTTTGAGATAAAAAAACATGCTTGGGGAAATATCCAGAGCATAATAAAATCTGACCATTTTTTTTTTTTATGCAAAAGTACTTTATAGATAGAGTTTTCTGAGCCAGAGAGAAAAGTCTGGCAGAAGTAAATTTATTCCTAGAAGAGATTAATTGTTGCAGATGAAGAGTAGAAAACTCCAGTTTATTTTTTCCTTTAACCTTCTTTATTCATTTCTATAAAGGTACCTTCAACTCAGCTAAGACTAAAGCTATTGTCATTTTTTAAAATACATTTTAAAAAATTCTGTTTCTTTTTCCCTAGCTTGAAGAGCTAGAGAATGAAATCAGCCAAGAAAAACAAAGTCTTCAGAACAGTCAAAATTTGAGTAAAGATTTGATGAAAGAAAAAGCACAGCTTGAAAAGACACTTGAAGCACTTCGAGAAAACTCAGAACGACAAGTGAGTAGCAGAACCTTGAGTCTTAATGCTGCATTCTACTGTACTGTTCTCCTTCTGTAATTTTTTACAGGCATAAAGGGATTGTAAATGTAGCAGATTTGCCAAAAGGACATATCTGCAGCAGAACAGCTTGTCTGAGACCTGCAGCCAGTGAGAGACATGACTCATTTTTAGCTGAGGTTTTACTGTTAGTTTTAGAACTTTTTAGTGTTTTGTAACGCTCCCGTGGCTTTCGTGGGCTATGCATTTGCTATAGTTGCTTAGAGGGTGTAACTCTGCCAAAGTAGAAAATTGGGAACTTTGGAGTTAAGCCAGACACCTCTCAATGGAAGAAAACAGGTTCCAGACAGCGCGTCAGTGTTTTGATGTAGTATCGGAGTATTAATGAGAATTACAGCAACCTGTCCCTCAAAGGGACCTGACAGCCACCAGCGTAGCAGAGCTGGTCTGTTGCTCCGCTGCTGACTGTTTCTCCTGTGCTGCTCAGTCTTGTTTATCTGTGGTAGGAACCATCATACCCAGCTTCATAATATTCCCCTTTACTAGAATGTTTTCTAGCGGTGACTTGTAGGTGGATAGCAGAATTTATTTTTGGCTGTCAGAAACTGGCATCTGAGTCTTTGTAAAAGGCTTGAGTTGTATTTAGGAGGGTCCTGAATGTCACCGATGCATCTGTATCGAATGGGTGCTGGCACCTGCTAAAGGACTTTGCAGAACAATTCAGAGGACTTGTGGAAGGCAGCCACAAAGAAACAAGAGCTGTGGAAACTTCTGGAAATCTCATATTTAGTAATCAAGTCCTTCAGAATTAGAACTGTAGTTATTTTTTATAAATTCCACTGATACTTCCTGATGAGGTTGACATTTTCTAGTTTAATTTAAAAGTACAGTATTTTGGAATACAGAATATTGTATTTCAAAAATCGTGAAAATCTTGAGGCCCAATGTAATCAGTGAATGAAATTCCAGACTTAGAAAGAAAGAAAGAAAGAAAAAAAAAAAGGCAGCTGCTTGGCATTGAAGCTTTACTTTAAGTTAAAGAGAACAGTGACGATAATTTTAAAGAAAATAAGCCAGTTTGTCTTGTTTAGAAGTATTCATTGTTACAATAATTAATTTCTACGTTGTATTATAAGTTTACTCTAGGGGAAAAGTAATAAAACTTTCTGGAATAAGTCATAAATCCCAATTCAACCATCCTGTATTGTTTAAACATGTTGGATTAGGACTAACATTTCAGTGGGACTATTTCTGCTTAAAAATAATATACTTAGGAGCTGTGATGAGTTAGCAGCATCTTCCATGTCTTTTACAAATCCTGTGCTGAAACTTACTGGAGTTGACCATACAAGGATAATTTGACTTCATCAAAAATTATGGAGGCACTGATCATGATTTTTCGTGAAATTTGGAGTATAGGAGCAGAATTCATGGAAAGTAATTATGCATGTTCAGTAACGTACCAAGTTACATAAAGAAGCGTTAAAGTTGTGGTTTTAGACACCTGTTAATTAGTTTCTCATTAATCATTTCAGAACAGCTTGACATTGCTGGGAACAGAGCCGTAGATCCTGTAATTAATAGTTACATTTAGACTTAAACAGTCTGTAATTTTCACAGTCTGTTTTTCATTGCAACTAACACTTGCTTTTTGCCAAAACAGTTTATTGTTAAAACAGCCGTTGTGCTGTGTTATTAGTGTATTCTTAAATATTGATGTAAACAGTTTCATGCATTTTGCTGTCTGTTACTACACACCCAAGTAATTTCAAATTACATGGAGTAACTGAAAAAGTCAAGAAATAGTAAAAATTAAGATGTAAATACTGCCTTTATCCTTGAAGTAGATCTGGGAGTATGTTACCTAAGAAGATAATTTGGTTCTAATATGATTTACTTCTTCTGGAAGCTATTTTGGAACAGAATGTCCAAGGGTTATTTTTAACTCAAAAATTAATGTACCTGATGTGTTTCTTCCCAAAATGTTACTGACTGTGATCAGGATGTCCTCATATCCCACAGATCACCTCTATTTTTATTAAGTAAAGACACTTTTGCAGCTCCCACACCTCCATCGCAAATTTGTTTTAGAATCTCACTGCAGTTTTGTTCTTTGTGGATACATAATCTCTGGAAATTATGGTGGGTTTTTTTTTTTTTTTAAAGTAAATATGGGTAATCAGAAATGAAAACGAAATGATGCTAAGGAATAGATACAGCTTTGTATTGGTTTGTGCTTTGTTAGTTCTATTTTTATGTTACCTTCTACCATCCAAGAGGAAGATGCTTGAAGATTCACTTTGACTTATTTTGTTGTCAAACTTCCACCTGTGTACAAACATAGTGTTTGTAATGGTTCAAGTAAATACCAGTAGAGTAAGATAATTTTTTTAAAAAAACTTAAAAGGAAAATATGAAGTAATCATCTTACCCTAGTAGCTTTTACTTTATATATGAAAGTAATTACTTGTTGGCATGTTGTTCACGAGAGTTTACAATTTTTCCCCCCAAATCAGATTAAGCTATTAGAACAAGAAAATGAACATTTGAATCAAACTGTAGCTTCTCTAAGACAACGCTCACAAATCAGTGCTGAAGCGAGAATGAAAGAAATTGAAAAAGAAAATAAAATCCTCCATGAGTCCATTAAAGAGACCAGCAGTAAGTTAAACAAGATTGAATTTGAAAAAAAGCAAGTCAGGAAGGAACTGGAACACTATAAAGAGAAAGGGGAGAGAGCAGAAGAACTTGAGAATGAGCTACATCATCTGGAGAAGGAAAATGAATTATTACAGAAAAAGATTACTAACTTAAAAATTACTTGTGAGAAGATCGAGGCCTTAGAACAAGAAAACTCAGACCTAGAAATGGAAAACAGAAAACTGAAAAAAACTTTAGATAGCCTAAAAAATCTCACTTTTCAGTTAGAATCCTTAGAAAAGGAGAATTCACAGCTTGATGAAGAAAATTTAGAATTAAGAAGAACAATTGAATCCTTGAAGTGTACAAGTATTAAAGTGGCACAGTTGCAATTAGAAAATAAGGAACTGGAGAGTGAAAAGGAGCAACTTAAAAAAAGCCTTGAACTCATGAAAGCCTCGTTTAAAAAAACAGAACGCTTGGAAGTCAGCTACCAAGGCCTAGACACAGAAAACCAAAGGCTACAGAAAGCCCTTGAAAACAGCAACAAGAAGATTCAGCAATTAGAAAGTGAATTACAGGATTTAGAGTCTGAAAATCAGACTCTGCAAAAGAACTTAGAAGAGTTAAAAATCTCTAGTAAGCGCCTAGAGCAATTGGAAAAGGAGAATAAGTTGTTAGAACAAGAGACTTCTCAACTGGAAAAAGATAAGAAACAGCTAGAAAAAGAAAATAAAAGACTTCGACAACAAGCAGAAATTAAAGATAGTACTTTAGAAGAAAACAATGTAAAAATTAGTAATCTGGAAAAGGAAAATAAATCTCTGTTTAAAGAAATAGTTGTATATAAAGAGTCATGTGTACGCCTGAAAGAACTAGAAAAAGAAAATAAAGAACTCGTGAAAAGAGCTACCATTGATAAGAAAACTCTTGTCACTTTACGAGAGGTAAACAGAAATTAGTTACCATTCCCGTCATAATCTGTTTATAGTGTGGGGAAATTATATCTGTATTTTTGAAAAAAGTTCCTATTTTGTATTGTTTTATTCCTTAATCTGTATACTATTAGCATCTTTAATGGTTACAGTAGGGAAAGCGTTAGATAACCAAAATTTATGTAAACATAGTTATCAAACAGAATAGTATAACCATTTTACACTTAATTCGGTAAGGTTGCTTACAGAAGCCTTTGTCATGGAGCCTTTCTTAAATGAACGTGTGATTCTTTGTGTTAGTATTTTTTCTGGCTGAAACATTTCCGCTTCACTGTAATGTCCAAGACCAAATTTGAAAGGGAGCAAACAAGTACAGTGAAATCATGGTGTGGTTACAATGTTATGTCTGATATAGCTGAAAGCTAACAATTGGAATGAAAGGGGAGTTAACATTGAGTTATTCAAGCCATGTAGTGGTAAAAGACTCTTGCATCAGCAGTTCTAGAATTAAGACAACATAATTTTACTTACATGATAATACTGACTATAATTTTTTTCTGTGTAAGGACTTGGTGAATGAAAAATTGAAGGCTCAACAAATGAACAATGATCTAGAAAAACTTGCCCATGAACTTGAAAAAATAGGCCTAAACAAGGAGCGTCTCTTGCATGATGAACAGAGCAGCGATGACAGGTGAGAATGTCAGGGCCTACCTGAAACAATATAGAAATGAGGGTCTTTTTTACTCATAAAGATAAAATGGTTTTACAGACTGTTTTTGTGCATACTCTGAGATTTTTTAAGGCACACTAATAGATCCAAAATGGAACTTGCTATTCTTTTAATAAGGTAGTTGATGTACTTTCTTGTTCAGCTGTCTATGAAAGTGAATTGCCACCTTTTGTTACTAAGGAATATCGTGAAGTATGTCAGTAGATACAGTTGATGTATAATTAAAATGTTTTATGTTCTGGTTAGCAGCAGGAACAGGAGCAGTAAAAGATAATGGGCCCAAAGTGGTTTGGGGTTTTTTTGGTTGTTTGTTTTGTTTTGTTTCCCAATTTTGACTGCTTGACTGATAGAAGTGATTTTTATGCTTTTGTCACATAATGATTACCTTAAAATTTCTCTCTTTTTCCTTACAACTATTTCCTTCTAATTCTTCTTACCAAAAGGAAGGTGTTTACCTTCCCACTTACACATGCTGGGAATACTTGCGTGTCTCCAAAACTTTGTACTGGCTCTATCACTCTACAACACCTGCCATTACAAAGCAGCTGCTGTCCTGACATCTGTTGCATTTACTGTATGTTGTATTCTGTCTTCTCCTGCAGGGATTTAGGGAAAGTTTGTGACAGGAGAAAAGCAGACTAGTATGGGCTTCTAGCCAGTCTATTTCATGATGCTACTGGGTTGTGCAATTTAAAAAAAAAAAAAAAAAAATCTGCTGTCATATCTGGTATTCCAGCTGATTGTCACGAACATGTAGCATGATTTTGGGCCTTGTATATCAAAAGAAAACCAAATAACTTTGGGGTTTTTTTCTTTCAGTTTCCTTTTCTTTCTGTCTGTGCTCTATTACTGGTGTGGTGACAGAATCCTGTAGGGAGAATCTGTTACCACCTCCTGTTTTCTGCTGGTGGTGTTCATCTACCTTTCTCAGCTTACAGATAAGGAGTTCTTCTGTTAAGGAAAGTCCTCAGAACTTAAACTAGTGTGATTTCTTCCAATTTAAGCATTACTGTGTAGCATATAGTGCATAGTATGCATTTGGTTTGTCCTTACGGACAAACATACTCCTATATGGAATAGACCGTACAAAAAAGAACCAATCTTTGAGCTGAGGTGAAGGTTAAATTGCTTAGGTGAAGAAGTCCAAATTGAGCAACATTTTTCAAAAATACATTCTGGATTCCAAGTGATTGGAGTGAGCACTCCTGCAACGGGAGAGAATATTGTTCTGTAAAGGTGCTTTTGCAAATTATACTATATGAGAAGATTTATGAGTCTACTTCTACTTTCCAGACAATGGCATTTGTCCTTTACAAGTGCTTATCCTTCTAAAGATCAGACATGGGTTCACTTCTCATAGGTTAGTTGGTTTGTGACACTATGAATTATGACTTTGGGCCATACAATACTTGTGTTTCTTTGCATTTTACAGAATGATGTTATAATGGATCTATACATTGTAATTTGGAAGAAAATTTGGAGTTACATGTTTCCGTGGAATTTGGGATCTTTTATCTATTTTTCATTAAATTGTAATCTGTAAATGAACTTTTAACATACTTCTGGCACCTGTCATGACCTGTTTAACTTCTTCCTTTGCTTCTGCATTAGCTGTGTGGGGGAATTATACAAATAAGAAATATTCTTTTAATTCCCTCTACCTTCCCTTAGTGCTCTTCTAATGGGTATTCCTTTTTCAAGGCTTTTTGCTGTGTATACATTGTATAGTAAGGACACAGCCCAGAGAGCAGGCTTAAGCATTGCATACTGCTTAACCTGTGCTTGGCATATGTCTGCTGGTAGCCTTAGATCTCTTGTAATTTGATGCTGCTCAGCCACGCTGTTGTAAGAACAGCTCATGCTTAATTCTTTGCAGATTGTCTTGCAGCAGGAGATAATGCCTGTCTAAAAAGGTGTTTATGGCAAACTTGATTGTCCGGCACTGACCATGTGAAGGCACCACAAATGCAGATGGATTATTTGACGGTACAAGATATTTGGATATCAGGCTAGGTATGATGTGCCTATTGTAGCTGATCTGTGGGGAGGTGTGCAGTAAGCTTTAGAACTTGAAGCTTACCCAGAACGTTATCTAAAGCCTACTTCTGAGCTCAGGCTTGTGTCCAAATAGTTTTAGATGTGAAGGAATTTGGGATATGCTACTATTATGAGCTGCTTCTTAAACTAGAATGTAGACCTGTCTTTAACAACTTAATGTAGATCTGGATGATCGTGAATGGGGGATATTTGTTTTCAAAGGGATTGGTTTGAAATTGTGCTCTGCCACTGTCCTGCCTTTCCATTGTTCTCAACTTTTTCATTCATCAAAAAGGTACCTGGATTGCTTGCTTTATATTGTTACCTAGGTGAGGCATTAGCAACTATTCAGTAAGTCCTGGGGAAAGCTAGGTGTTCATTATGGCCACAAATACTTCTCAGTGTATTTTTGGTCTGTCTCTGTTATTTTGATGACGGAAATTAAAAATGCACAATTTTTCTCTCCCTGATTGGAGAGAGATACTTGTGGGTTTTCGTTGAAAGTTCTTGGTAGCACTTCACAGTCTTTCTATTGGGGCCTAAGATGACCATGTTTGAGTTAACTCTGAAGTGTGTTCCATTTTCTCTTGCCTTTTAAATGGCTGTTGTCTTTACACAAAAGATTTATGGATTTTGACCTTGAATGTGAAATACCCAGATCTCAGTGATACTAGAAAATTTGTACCATCTCTCATTATTAGGCATTCAAAAGAAATTGGAGATTGGGTCTCTGCTATTAGTCTTTTTCCTTCTTTGTTTTCTACATATTTGCATAACTTTTCAGTAACAGAAATTATTTGTAGCTGAATATATTCTTCAGCTCAAGAAGATAAAATGCCAACTATTCTACTAGTCATAGACTGCCTACTGTTTCTTAAGTCCTTGAGAATTACTTGTCATACCTTAAAATCTAGGATTCTTATCCTACTACATGATGCTAGTGGACAGCTTTATATTTATTGATTCTCTTGCCATTGGTCTTCTGCTCCAGTTCCTGACTAGATCTAATGCTGTTGTCCATTCAGGAGTCTCTTGCAATCTATTCCGTTCACTAAACTGAAGATTTTTCAGCAGTCGAGATTAAAAAGGGGGATATTAGTAGTGGTTTGTTTTATTTTATCCTGCTGTGGGAAGAACTAGGATGCTTTCCAGATTCTGAGCACATGTACAGCGACTGAACTGTTTAAAAGTGATTAATGAGTGTGGTTTTCAGTATTTTCTGAAAAGAAGATACTGTTATAAACTGATATATTCTAGATCTGACCACTGCTCTCCCAGATAGGTGGTTTGTGTTTTTTAGGTGCCTGAAAATATTTTAAATATGGTTAAAAATGGAAGCTTTATACATCAAGAGTGGTAACAGTCCTAAAATATCAGCAGCTGGGCTGAGTGAGCAATTTACACATTCATACATCAAATGAGTATGCACCTGCAAAGCACTGTGTTCCGTCCCCTTCCCTAGTGCCTCCTCTTTGTGAGCTGGCAGGAAATGGAAATTGATGAAAATCTTGCTCTCCAAATACTTCACATTCTAATTTAGTTCAGGTCCCCGCTGGATTCACTGGAGTGGAGCCAGAAGGAAGAGTGCTGTCATCACACACACTAATGATCCAAATAAAGCCAGCACCCTACTGGTGTCACTGAACGTGTGTTTTTGTGTGTCTGATATGTTTTAAAAGAGGGATTCAAAAATGCTTTTGACTACCATCTTCTATTTGTTTTAGATACAGAACTTGATATTAATACTGAGGTGTCTTCATGCTTTTGAATAGGGTCAGCATTCAAGCATTTTTGAATGGAGCTATGAGGCTGCTGTTTCAGAACGTTTTCAAATTTAAATACCTTAAATAATTTTTTGAAATACAGACTTTTTTGTGTGTGATGTCATTGATCAGTAGGTACAAGCTTTTGGAGTCAAAATTAGAATCCACACTTAAGAAGTCTCTCGAAATAAAAGAAGAAAAAATTGCTGCTTTGGAGGCTCGTTTAGAAGAATCAACAAATCTAAACCAGCAACTCCGTCAAGAGCTTAAAACAGTAAGGAGGATGACATTTTTTCTATAAGACTAAATTACTCCTACTCCAGCTATTGCTCTTTCTACACCTGACCTTTTGTGTAAGACAGCGAGATGGGCATTTTTCACGTAATGTAAAGCAGGACAAAGGTATCACTGCTTTTTAAGACTGCAGTAATACAAGCCCGGTGTTGAAATCACTTTAAAAGTTGTTGAGTTAATTCATAGATCATTGGATATGTGAGGTTGATAAATAATCTGAAGTTGATTTGATTTGAGATGCCAAAACTAGTAATTTTCAGCTACATGTTCTGATTTACCTTGAACAGCCTGAGTGGACTGGTTAAAAAAACTTAATACAATCTACTTGATTGTAGGACTTTGTTATAGAAGTTGGGGGATACATTTGAAAGCATTGAAATAAAATAAAAAATAGAGGTCTCTTTCTGTTAGACAAGTATTTGTTAGGGTTAAGCTATCCATATCCATAAATAATTTGTATGTCATCTCCTCAAACATGTACAAAAAGCACATGTACAAATACAGTAATGTAGCACTTTCTGTTCTTTGAGAAGTGATATTGTCATGTAATAAATTAGGATGTAGAAAATGGCAAATTCTGATCCTCATGTAAGTTGTCCTAAATAATTTCAGGTGAAAAAGAACTATGAAGCTCTCAAGCAAAGACAAGAAGAGGAAAGGATGGTTCAGAATTCTCCTCCAAGAAGTGGAGAAGACAACCAATCTGTCAATAAGTGGGAGAAAGAAAATCAGGAAACTACAAGAGAATTATTGAAAGTTAAAGATAGACTAATAGAAGTGGAAAGGAATGTAAGATGTGTTTTAAATATTATTCTGATTTCAGTTATTTGTTGTGAGCTGTCGCAGTAATACAAATGAGAGTACTGTTAAGAAAGTATGCAATTTATCACCTAGTTTACGTACCAAGCAGAATCTGAATTAAATATAATTTTGAAGCAGCTGGATTCTGCTCCGAGGGATATGCCAGAAAGCACGTCACCAGCATTTAAAAGGAAATGTGGAAACCTGAATTTGCCCTTTTGAATCCACAGATAGCTCTTAAATCCCTCTTATATAATCTCTACTTATGTGAGCCATGGAGTATTTTCTATTATTTTTCCATAGGTACAATATTAGTTACCCATTTTTTCAATCTTAACCTGTAGTGATAATATCGCTGTTTGTTACTTTGTTATATAAGGTGATTTACAGTTTGTTCCACCCTGTAAATCTCTGTGAAGTCATGCTGCTTTGTTTGTTTTGGAGAAACAGATTTTTTTCTTGAAGTTCAGTAAACAGATGTGAACTCAAATATTCTTTCTTTTTTTTTTTTTTTTTTTAAATGTTCAAAGAATGCTACACTGCAGGCGGAGAAGCAAGCACTGAAGACACAATTAAAGCAGCTTGAGACACAGAATAGCAATCTGCAGGCTCAGATTCTTGCACTTCAGAGACAGACTGTTTCGCTACAGGAACAAAATACAACTCTACAAACTCAAAATGCCAAGCTGCAGGTAGTATTTTCCTATTTTGCTTTCAAAAATAATTTTTTTTTCAAATGAAAGCTTTAAAGTTTTAAAGAGGCAGTAATGTATTGTAAATCACATTTCACTTCTGATAAAGACATGAAAAAAAGTCATGAGTAGATAATCTGCATTAAGAGCAGTCAAATAATATTCTGTTTGCTGATGAATAATAACATTTCTAGAAGTTGGTTTTAATCCTTCATGTTTGTCCAATTAAAACTCTTGACTCTATACTTAGGAGTGGAGTAGATTCTCCTACCCAATCTTCTAAGATAATTTGTTTGTTTGTTTGTTTGTTTCTTCTACTTCCAAATTAGGTCAGGGAAGTACTGTGTCCAAAGAGACTCTAACAAATTCAGTATTTTGTCTATTTTTATAAAGTTTAAGAAAAAAGAAAAGTAAAAGCCATGCCTAAAAGGAAAATTGTTAAAAAGTACAGAAGATCTGAAAAAAAACCTTTGAAAACTACATGAATATGTGAAGATTGAATTCAGATAATTCAGAGGCAAAAAACGGTAATGTGTGACCATAGAAATTAAAAAAATGGTTGCTCACAGTCTTGCAGCTCTGACAGCCAAAATCCAGATGTCGTTCTTCATACTTTAACAGAGTTATTAAATACATACCTTTTTTTCTCTCTGATAAATGAAATACTCTTGTTAATGGATCTAATGCTTTTTGGAGCTCTGAGAATCAGAACTACTTAACGAGGGAATACAAAGGCCACAATTCAGCAGAAATAGTGAACGGTGTCAGAAATGATGGAGGGTAAGTGGAAATCAAAGAGTGCAGGAGTCTTTAAATGAGTAAACAAATAATGCATTTTGTGAATGCCTCAAGTTATCATCCTGTCTCTTTCTGGAAAGCAGAACACAGTTGTACCACAGTTGCGCTTTCTGTCTATCACACTGGAATCTAATTAGTGCACAGTACTCCCCTTTGTGGCTAGCAAGCCCATGAACGAAACAGAATATTTGTGCACACACTGTCTCGTCTAGTCATTAAAAGTTAGTGGACATAGGCATGGAAATACACCATTTTAAACAGATGAGTATATATCTCTTGGATTTGTAACTGAGTATTTTGTAATACCATTTGTTAAAAAAATGGAAATATATATGTAGTTCCTTTCTTGCCTCATGAATTGCACAACAGCACAGGCCTTTCCTAGCGGGTAAACCTGGAGAATTAACTAACAGTAGATATTTGAAAGTATTGAGGCAGTGAATTGGGAGGAGGAAGCATTTTATGCCTTTAAATATTTTTTTTGTTTTAATTATGTTGTGGTGAAACTCACCAAGCAATGTAATTTTTGTTGCTGGAGATGACTGAATGATGTTATATCCAACAGGCTGAGAAAGGGAGTTATTCTTTGTTGAGAATTCAGCTATTTGCTCATAGCTTCAGGGAAGTTGTGAGACAACTCTGCATCAACTCTAAATCGAAATGAAAGGTGAAATATGTTCATGAAAATAAGGGCGATTAACTATTAGCTACATCTGAAGTAGAAACTAAGCTGGTCGACATGGGCTATGTCAAAACTGTTCTTAGGCAACTGTAATTCTACTATTCCTTCAGATACCCGTAAGAGAAAGGGTGTCTTAAAGGATAACTGGGAATTCTGAACTAAACCAAACTTGGAATTCAGTCTGGGAAGCTTCACAGCATACACTTGCCATCAGACATTACTTCATTTCCAGTGGAAGGTTCAGCTTTCTCATCTGTAACAAAGAATGCTGGATTTCCAACAGAAAGGGATTTGTTCCTTAGTAACAGCGTGCACTGGACTGATAGATTTCTTTTTTTATTTTTTTTTCCTTAATAGATACCCTGAGGGCATTAGAAGCCTCAGTAGTTTGTGGTTTTCATCTCTTGAATAGGAAAGGGAACTAGCTTAATACAGGTCAGATGACAAGCATGTTAGGAATCATCAATTTTTTAAGATATCCAAGGATTTAGGTTGGGTTAATCTTTCCAGAGACACACAAAATGAAGTTGCTGGTTTGTTTTGTTTTTTAGTCTGTCTAATGTTGAAAGCTTTAATGTATTAATAGGCATTAATACTGTTCTGACATAATTGTTGGAGACAGTTCCACCAGACCTTACAACACACACGCAAAGTGATCAACTGACATTACTGTTTTTGGAAGAGAACCATGAATGACAGTTCCTCAGTAAAACAGAATACGGGTAGTTGCTTCCAGGTGCTGCTATTCCATTTCCCTTTCTCTCTGTTAAATGGGTGCTACTGTTTGAAGTCACATTGTAAAGAATATGTGGGTACAATAAAGATTTTATGGTGACAATAGAGATTCTGTACAATAAAGATTTTTTTAAAAAATAAATAATGCCAATATGAAAGTTCATTTTATTTTAGTCATGTCACAGATTTGGTTTATGTGATACGAGGATCACTGGTGATCCATTTCTCTGAGATATGTTGCTAGAGCTGTCAGTGCGGAGAGGAAAATACGCTTCTCATCTAGATAGCGCTTTAACAGATATTTGAAGATAGATAATTTGATTTCCCCTGCCCCATCCCATGTTAATTTAAGCATATCCTTAAGTGTTTTCTTGCAATACTGCTATAAAAATATTCTTGGAATATTTTGAATTGAAAATGTATATTGGGATAGAAGAGAAGCTGTATTCCCATTAAAGACTGTGAGGTAGTGGAACAACTAAAAGGTTGCCAAGATGCTAAGGGTTAAATTCATAAATCTTTCAATAGGAAGAGATAGACAAGATAATCCAAATTATTAAATTAATTTGCAACTCTTGTCAAATGTTTATGACTGCAGGTTGAAAATTCCACCCTTAATTCTCAAAGCACATCTCTTATGAATCAGAATGCACAACTGTTGATCCAGCAGTCTGCTTTAGAAAATGAAAATGAATGTGTGCTCAAGGAACGTGAGGATCTGAAATCATTGTATGATTCACTTCTCAAAGACCATGAAAAATTGGAACATCTGCATGAACGCCAAGCTTCCGAGTATGAATCTCTGATTGCTAAACATGGAAGTCTTAAATCTGCACACAAAAATCTGGAGGTGGAGCATAAGGACTTAGAAGATAGGTAAATACTAATATGCATGAGTAAAATGAGAGTCTGCAATTCCTAAGCAAAAAGCAAAAAAAGCTATGTAACTAGTATGAATAAATTTAGTATTACTTAAATATTGCATTAAGATCTTAAAACTTTGAAAGATCATCTTTTCATAAAAATTCCATATTGTCATTCTGAAAAAAGAAACTTAAATATGATTTTTTTTTTTTTTTTTTTTTTTTCTGCAGGTACAATCAGTTGTTGAAACAGAAAGTGCAGCTGGAAGAATTGGAGAAAGTACTCAAGGTAGAACAGCAGAAAATGCTACAGCAAAATGAAAAACATGAAACTGTAGCAGCAGAGTATAAAAAACTTCGTGATGAAAATGAAAGGTAAAGCAAAAGTCTGATATGTGTACCAGTAGAGCTCTGAGCACTTGCCAGTACAGTCTAAATGAGTGTTGAGTCCTCTCACATTTCTTAATACCTGATGCTGCAATTCAGGACATTAACGATCCACACTTTATAGCAACTCCACTCCGTTAGTCTGCAAAACAGTCATTTTAGGAGGGGGAAAGGGAAAAAAATCACACACACGCGCAAACGCGCGCACACGCGCACACGCGCACACGCGCACACGCACACACGCACACACACGCACACACACACACACACATGCGCACACACACACATGCGCACACACACGCACACGCGCGCACACACGCACACACACACACACACACACACACACACACACACACACACACACACACACTCTGAATTCCACATAGCATCTTGAGGAATTCCAGGCCAGCACTGTGCAGCATGGTTGTGAGCTGTAGAGGGAGCAACTGAGGTACAGCTTGCCATAGGTAGTGGGGTATGGTAGTGTCTACATAGCATGATACTTGCCCTCTCAAGAAAAGGCATTAAGATCTGTTCATCTGGCATAGAGGCTCACAATTCCATGCCTCCTACCTTTGGTGGTGTGTGAGAAGGATGAGTAGGAACTGGAGTTTGATTTTGGAAAGGGATGTGGCAGGACACAGTAGGGACAAAGGGAGCCCAGGAATCAATATATGCAACCTCCAGAATTGCCAAAGTTTGGACCGTTGCTCTTTACTTACCATTTTGTGTTGGCAAGAAGCTCCAGCTGTTTTGTAAGATTCTTGTATTTTGTAGCATCTTAAAACTAGTTCCAATGTCCGCATTTAGAAATCCTGCTTTCTTTTTAAATATACAGAAAACCCAGAGCGTTTGGCTTAAAGGCAGAATACATACCTAGGAAAATTAGACTGGGATGACTTACCTACAGTATGTGATAGTAAGAAATCTTTATATGTATTCTGTGGAGTAGTGCAGAGCCTTGGAAATTCCATCTTTCAGAGGGAATGTGGGTAATAAATAAATTTTCTTTTATCCGCATGGATTCTTTGATGGTGTCTTTTAATTCCAGGCTTACTCATACTTACAGTCAACTCTTGAGAGAGAATGAAGTTCTCCAAACTGATCATAAGAATTTGAAAACATTATTGAACAATTCCAAACTAGAACAAACACGATTAGAAGCTGAATTTTCTAAACTAAAAGAACAGTACCAACAGCTGGATATTACCTCAACAAAACTAAATAATCAATGTGAGGTATGTGGAATTATGCTATTTTTCATGACTGGTATTATTGTAATAGTTATATAAGCGTATGTGTAGATTCATAAAATCATACGAAGTGCTTGAGAATTAGTCATTTGGTTTATAAATAATGAAGTGGGTCTGAAGATGAATTTGCTTGTTGTACAGACAATAAAAAAATTCAGGCTCATGTTAGGTAAATGTTATAAAGTTATATAAAGCATCAAAGAGGCTTTTATCAGTTGAGTCAATTTAGTTTTCTGTTTGATTTGACATCAGAATCCTTTGTATACCTAAATTTTCTTCATAATCTGTGTGTAAAATATGCTCACATATATATGCATGTACCATTTCATATATTTTAACAGCTGCTTAGCCAGCTTAAAGGAAATCTGGAGGAGGAAAACAGACATCTACTAGACCAAATTCAGACATTAATGCTACAGAATAGAACATTACTTGAGCAGAATATGGAAAGCAAAGATCTCTTCCACGTGGAGCAAAGGCAGTACATGTGAGTTTTTAAAACAATTATATTACTGTGATTAGGACAGTGACACTAATGCCTATATTTTTTTAAAAAAGCTTCTGTTTTATCTAGAAATTAACACGTGTGCTACTTCTGAAATACATCTCTTTTTAAAATAAAAATTTAAATTATGTATGAAAAGCAGATAACAGACTACAGACATATTTTTAGTTCTAAAGGATCGGTGCAACTGTGTTCATTACTGATGATGCAAATGAGGAGTAAAAATGTTATTCCTCATTCTACTACAAGCAACGTTTCTAGGTTTGTTTGTGAACTTTATTAGTGAATTTGAGAGAAGAGAAAATGTGCTTGTGTAAATGATTCTGTTAGAGCCTATATGTACTTTATTATTATTTAAAAAGGGGAAAAATACTGTTCTGTAATGAAGGCAAATGGAAATTTTTTCGATTTTATATCATAACATTAAACATAAGACTGCTTGTTTGCTGTATCTCTTTCTTGATTTTTCAATAAGAAACAAGTGTTATATAAGAACTCTTTGTGAAAAGTGACAACTTTCAGTTAACAGATATCTAAAGGAACATGCTGCTCACACATTATATATACATTTTTGAAGCATACATTATCATTAATTTCTGTTTACAGTGACAAGCTAAATGAATTAAGGCGACAGAAGGAGAAATTGGAGGAGAAGATAATGGATCAGTATAAATTTTATGAACCATCTCCACCAAGAAGGTACTGATGAATGTGGTATAAAAATAAACACAAATCTAAAACTTGACATACCTATTCTGTTCCTCCTGAAAATCAAGATTTCGTTAAACTTCAGGGGAGCAGAATCATGTCTGTGTTCTTGCGTACAAATTAGGAAAAGTCTGAAGGCATAAATAACGTATTATAAATGCAATAAACATACTGTATCATTGAACACAGAAGGGGTAACTGGATTACTCTGAAAATGAGGAAGCTGATAAAATCTAAGAAGGATGTTAATCGAGAACGTTTGAAGTCCGTGACCCTTACGCCTACCCGTTCAGAATCCAGTGAAGGATTTCTTCAGCTGCCCCACCAGGACAGTCAGGATAGTTCCTCTGTGGGCTCAAACTCTCTTGAAGATGGCCAGACCTTGGGGACCAAAAAGAGTAGTAGTGAGTACTGCAAAACATATTTTTCTTTTAATAATCCTTGGCTAAATGTCTTTATGATTAAAAATCAAGAGATGCTGGAAAAAGCTACGTGTGTTCAAGGATTTTTAAAGATAATTTTTAAAGTCTTTAGGAACAAAGTCTGAATTCATTTATTAATGACAGATTTATACTGATTTCTTGCAAAATCCTTGAGTGTTTGGGCAGGAGCTGATTTTTAGCATTCTGTAGCTCTGCATGTAAATGTTAAAATACATTTATAGTGCTTGGGTAGGATGAAGCAGGCACTGTTACTGGGTTAGACAAGGAGAGTTTTGGATGGAATGTCAGATGCCACCACTAGTGCCCTTTTTTGTTTCTCCCTCTTGTCCCAGCCTGAGTTTTTCCCCCTTTCTTGGAAGTACTTTCCAAGCTGTGGCTGTACTAACATCCTGTAGTTCCTAAAAAGGTGTTCTCTGTGAAGGTGTTCATCTAGCTTCTCACAAAACCAACGATGAAGAATTTTGCTAGTATTTGAGCATTCAGTAGGAAGAGATAATGTAGAGACGTAACCTCTTAAGATGATGTGAATTGTTACTGTTCCTAAAGATTATAATTAAGTGGCTGAGAGGGAGACCGAGGAGAGTGTTGATAGCTTGAAAATTCTAGACACAATTGGCTAACCTTGAAAGAGCCTGACAGCTGTTGTGTTAGGATGCCTGCAGTATAAAAGGCCAGATTCTATGCAGTATGTATATTTATTATATATATCTTTTGTTATCCACTATTGGCATGAATCCTAAACTGTCCAATTTCTTACAACTTAAGAGATGTTGCTACAGCCAACTTGTCAGGTTGTAATGATTCTATTCAATAATTATGCACCAAAAGCATTTTGGCTGTACATGTAAAAGCATCAGAATACAGGTGTATTAAAATTCACTTTAAATCTTTGCAATTCTTGTTTAAAATTTAATGTCTTGAGTTTCAAAAGACAGCAGATCGATATTCTGGGTTTTATACCAGGTATGAATTTGCTATGTTTGAAATTATTAAAGCTATTATGGTATATTCTTCTGTGCTTATTGCAGAAGCTCAGTCAAAGTTAAAAACATCTAAAAAAGGTATTTCAGGGAAACTTAAAATCAGATTTGTGGTTATTTTTTTTAATAACTGAAAAAATACTAAATTCAAGGGTACATTTTATCACTTCTGTTGCTAACTTGTGAATTTGAGAAGCGTAGCATTTTTCAGTGTAAGGGTCTGTTGAGGTTCAAAACATGTACTTTTGAATTTTTAGAAAAGCAACTGTTGCTTTTACATATAAACTGGAAGTCTTGTGGCATTCAGGAGTGACTGAAGCTATAGTGGACATGTTTGTGTGTTAGTTTGAATCAAGAGTGAGCGTGCTTTGGTTCAGACCATCCACATCTGTGTCAACAATTTCATGTTCTGGAAGGGTTCTTTTATGTGACAGTCGTCTTTGCATGATACTTGGGACCTTGTAGTGTGCAGTTACCCTCCTAGTGGAGCCATGGTTGAAGTTACGGTGGCTGATCCTCAAAAGAGGTTTGAAGTTGTTCAGACCTCATTAATTTTCTACTCCATGGACCTTGTTCATGTTCCCCTTAGTCCCAGTGTATTTATCCACAAACTGGAAGGGCTGATCTAATTCTGGATCCTAACCTTCTTCTATTACACGTCACCATGGAAACCACAGTTTTTGATAGAATTTGGATTAATTACGTGCCAATTCAATGCTGACAATCTTACTGAGAGAGTTTGTGTCTCACAAAGTTAAGAGAATATCTCAGTGTGAGAAGTACCGGTAATGGTGTGCATTTTCTAGTCCATTTATTCTGCTTTCAGAAATACTGTAAATCCTACATATCAGGATACTGTGGTTCCTTTCTTTCTGTAAGAAGTGGCTTAGCAATAGCGTCTTCCACTGAAAGAAGCTACAAGAAAGAAAACCTGTGAGTTGCCACCTGTCTGTGCAAACACTTGGGTATTGTAGCTTTCCACACTGGTTGAAGACAGTTTTGTGTACGGGAAGAGATAACTTGTGTTCCACCCTGAGCTCCTGTGTCTGGGAATGGGGAGGGAACGGCTGAGGTGAAATGTCCTGTGTGTCCTTCAGAAGGCAAGAGAAGGCAGCTTACATTCTCCATATTGCACACACTGGCACAGATGAGTGGTATCCTCAAAAGCTAGAGGACACAGTATCTGACAGAGATCTTTGAGATGTATAGCTTTCCTACACCATATACCCTGTCAGAGAAAGTGAGAGGAGATACTGATTCCAAAATGAATTATCCTGCAGCTACCACTACTGACAAACAGATTCACGATGTGAAATCTGTAGATTTTCTTCTTTTGAAGGTGCTAATGGAGACTGTTTTCCTAATATGGGACACTTTCTGAGGCAAATGTTTTCAAGAGACCTGTTCTGTTATAAAGATAGGTGATCTTGGTGCAAAAATCAGGTTACCCTGTCCTGCAGAGAAAACAGCATCTGAGGTCTCACAGAGTGCTTGAAGCCCTCATCTGATTCCAGAGGTCCTCTGGAAAGGAGGGGGTGCCTATAAGGCTCTTACTGCATGCAGCACAAGTTAAATCCTGCAAGTGGTGTGAATACTGTATGCTCCTCAGACCGCAGAGCTTCACTTTGCTTTTCATATCTCAAGCGTTTGAATCAGGTGAGTACCATAGATCTGACTTCGGCTTTGTGCAGAGCCGTTCTTCTCAGGGAGGGGTGGGATACCATTCTCAGATTTTGAGAAAAAGTTGGGTTATTTTTGAAAATCCGAAGCAGGCAAGTGGAAATGTTCATTTTTTTTCTGTGGAGAAAAACAGATTGCCTTTGCCAGCTTCCACTTTGGCCATTTCAGTTTATTAACAACATCCCAAGGAATTAAAGTAGTAAGCCTATCATCTTTAAATAGTAGTACCAGTAGCAGACATATTGTATCGTAGAGGAAGTAAAATAAGTATATTGGATTCCATTTTCTATTACCAAAACCTTTAGAAGATGTCTGCCTAACATCTTCTTATGTGCATTAACAAAATGATTTGAGGATTTTAATACTACACATGCAGAATTCCCCAGAATATTTCTGGCAAACAGTAGGAGGATTACAAAATGGGAGATTTCCTGATCAGTGGAAGAATTCTGCAATACTTATCGTTCATTCTCAGCTTAGAAAGCAAGGGTGTGTTCATAGAATACTGAAAAGAGGAAGAAAAGTTAATGCGTTGTAACTGGACTTCTTTGAGTGGATGATGACGAAGACCAAAATAGTTCTGCCAGCCCATTTTTAAAGTCTGTTGGAACAATGGTGTAAAGAGCTAAAGCTGCCTAAGCTAAACTTTGTGGTCTCCTGTTTGTTTCTGCTGTAGCTCTGCCATTCCAGTATTTTTTGCAGGACAGTTCTTAAGTCGTGTTCTATGCAGAAATTACTTATGCAATTCCTCCTCTCCAGGAGGTTGCATTTTGCCGAAGGACAGTGTTTTGATGTGCAATTTTCAGGACGTCAGTAGTTGCAGTGGAGTTTTCTGTTTGGTACAGTTGCTGAGAGCCATCAATCAGTCCTTTTGAAGGTGATCTGTGTTAATGAACAGGGATCACAGATAACTCCAAGGATTCTTGAACATCCTCTGGTTACTTTTTAATAAGATTAGAGTGGACGTTTTTAATTAAGATGGATCAGTTAGCTTGTCTATACAGGATTATAGAAGGATCGCTTATCTTGTCTATAAGGGGTTATAGAAGATACAAAAGAATTGTATTTCACTGTGGTGACAAAAAGTAGAAATAGAACAGAATTACCTCTTTGCTTGGATGGCATTAGTGCTAAAACTGTTTAGATATCTGTTAGAAAACTAGTCTGATACAGTGCCTTATCTTCCTTTGGCAGGGAGCTATTCAGAGATACATACTTTGATATACAATTGGATAGACAACATGCATGTCTCCTTTATGGGAGGTTTAGCAGCCTCGCTGCTTTTTTTGAGCCAGTCAGCATCTATGTTTATGTTGGTTTTGGTGTATTTTCTCAGGATCTACAAGACGAGAAATACTTTATTGAACTGGGGGAAAAAAAAACAAAACCAAAAAAACACAAAACAACTGGTTATTTTGAAGTACCTACAAGTATATGTACATAATAAATATCTGTGTACCTGTGTAGTGAGTAAATCAAAGGTGAACTTGTACTTAGTATACTCCTATCTTACATAGGTAGCACATGTGCCTTTCTTTTCTTCCCCACCCCATGTCATAAGGACTTGATAGAGGAGGGTGTTTGCTGTCCCTCTCTGGTCAAGATAGAGTTATATTTTGCAAGCGTGAAAACTTGTCTTTGTTTTGGACACTTCTGTCTGACAATCATGCACTCACTGGAAGTTGTAAAATGTATTTCATTGTAAACTTCTTGCTCTAAGTACAGACAGAATAATATGATGGAGAGGGAGGTATACTTCTCTTTCAGGGTAATTCATGTGCACTTGTAAATGCGTATGTATATATAAACTGCTGTGTAGCAAGCTGCTGGTTGAGCAGAAAACAAAAACAAATGACAAAGCATGTGTCCCAAAAGTGACTTCAGAAAGATAAAATAAGCAGATCTTGGGCTGACAGACTGGACTACAGTGCTTTCATATCTGAATAAATAAGAACTTTTTGGTAATTTCATTATGCATTTCTTTCTGGATCTTCACATGGCAGTTGTTTGCATGTGGCTCCTGTATGCTTGGCAGTCAGCTGACACATTTATCTGATGCTTCAAAATGCAGGTGTCTGCCAGTAATCAGTTACTAATGCAGAATAGCTGAATCTAAGGACAAGATTAACCTGTGATTTCCCCCTCCTCCATCTTTTAATACTGTTTGTAATTTTAACTCCTTCCTGATACTATGTATCTCAATTTTCTCTTAGCCCTCCCAGAATGTTACAGCAACACTCACCTTGGATTTTCTTTTGCTATTTTTCTTTAATCTTTGGTATTTTTTTTCAAGTAAAAAAGTTGGTGTATACCATTCCAGCCAATAAATCTTGATTTTATTTTTCTTATTACAGATTTGAAGTGGATTATTTCAGTAAAATATTAAAACCACTGCACACAAACAGTAGATTGAACATGAGGTCCATGTAATTTTTTACAAAACAGTAGATGACAAAAACTACTAACAAGCACAACATGTAACAAGTGAAGACTAATAATGGATTGTGTCCTACTAGAGATGCAGGGGAAAAAATTACAAAAGTTATTAATCTCAAATAATAATAATGTGAACATATTTCAAAATAGAAATTGTACTTAGAGTTGCTTTCATTTTAAGCTTTTTTTGCTTCACATTTTTCTTTATGTTCAAGAAGTGTTATTTTTAACAGTAAAAGTATGTAATTGTTAATTTCTGTAATCATCTGCGAAGAAGTTATATTTTTCAAAAGCTTGGCAGTTAGCAATTTCAAACTGAATTACACTCTTCACCATTGTTTTTGGTGCATTTCTGCGTATATTGAAGTTTTCATAGTGTAGTTTTCATATTTCAGTGTAGTTTTCATTTCATTATCACACAGAAGCATGGGAATGATAGTTTTTAGCATAGCATACATAGCTTAAACTCAGACATTCATTTCTGTCCTTAGTTTCAACATTTAACTTCCATCTGTTCTTCTCCCTTTTTTTCTTTCATTTCCCTGTTTCCGTTTTTCCTCATGCTATGACATAAAAGTGGTTGCACTGAAAAGACTGCCCTTTTTGAGGAACAGACCGAAGGAAAAAGACAAAATGAAGGCCTTCTACCGTCGCTCCATGTGTAAGACTTTATGACAGTTCAGCTTCTTTTAAATGGCTACACTGGCTTCCATTACTAATTTTTCACTAACCTCTCCCTGGACTGCGCTGTATTTTTCCTCCTATTTTGCAATGTGCAAGTCCTGCTACAATACAAGGAGCTGGAGCTTTTTTCCTTTTTTTTTTTTTTTTTTTAAACCTTGGCACTGAATACTTTATATATGTGCACATGTGCACACACGTACCCACACATTTACATGCACAAGCACACGCACATACATATATATATATTCAGTGCATTGTGATTGCATATATTTGTATACATAGTTGTCTATATACACTTCTCTATGTGTATATAAATTTACAGTGCACTGTGTTAACCAAAATAGTTCTAAATTACACGTCATAAGCCTTTTGTTAAGAAATCACTGTTAATTTTTTGTTTAAGGAAAGCGTAGAAAATAGCGCAAGGCTATATGGTGGTCTGTCACTCTTAAAATATTCATCAATTGTTGCCAAAATGTTGTATTGAATTATTTTATTTCATTTTAACTTATTTTATTTTATAATGAGGGGTGGACAATTTTCTCTAGCTTTGTGAAGTAAAGGTGAATATCATCAGATGTCATCTTTTTCAGATCCTTTTATTTGTTATGTAAAATACTGCAGTATCCCTGCAGTAACCTGCACTGTACAAGGATCCCGTATCATTGTTGACATTATATTGTATTAGCACCTTTGCCCATTTTATCCTTGTTCATTTCATTTTATCATTGCAAACAGAATATCAAAGCTTCTAACATACATATTGCATACCACTGCAGCACAAGCATGGCGATTATACCTAATAAAAGCAGTTTTAAGAACCACACTGAGCTACAGGAAATCTCTGACTTACAAACACTTCTCATTCATTGAGCTGATTGCATGTCATAACATGGATGATCTTGTGTTTATACCTTCCAGTGTTCAGTATGCTTTTTAGTGCTTAGAAAACTGTCAAGCATTTTGCAATACAAAATAAGAACCGAAGCAAATACATTGACCATGCTGATCATTTGCTTTCATTTGCATCCCAGCCATGAATGACCTGGTGCAGTCCATGGTCCTAGCAGGAGGACAATGGACAGGTAGTTCTGAGCATCTGGAGGGTCCTGATGATATATCTACGGGTAAAAGGAGGAAAGAATTGGGAGCTATGGCCTTCTCTACTACAGCTATCAACTTTGCAACTGTCAACTCTTCTACAGGCTTCAGATCCAAGCAGTTGCTAAATAATAAAGGTATAGGTGGAAGCTTTTTGCACCGTGATGTGACTATGTGTAGCAGCAATGTCATATAAATATTGGTCTTATATTTTAAGTTTTTCAGCAAAAAGCAACCTTAATAATTGAGTTGCAGTGCTAAGATACTGAATAGGTTTAATAACTGCAGTTATAAAATGTTTCAAGATTTTTCCTACAGAATGTTACCTAAGTAAAAATGGGTTTGTTTGAAAAATATTTCAGTATATTTTACAGTTTATAAGTATTTTGATAATATTTTTATTTTATTTTATTTTACATCATCTTTTATGTCTCTGTGTATAGATACTACATCCTTTGAAGATGTAAGTCCACAAGGTATTAGTGATGATTCTAGTACAGGATCAAGAGTTCATGGTAAGATGTGAATTTTAATTAAATGAATTAAGGATATATTATGTGAATGTTAACAAAGTTTGCAAAAAAAAAAAAAGGTGAATGGCATCATAACAAGTGAGCATGCTTTCTGTGATTTGCATATCTCTTGAATGTATAGTATCATTTCTTCCGATTATTCTTTTCTTTCTTAACTGCTACATCAGATATTCTGTATCTCTGGTAGAAAGTATGAAGTGCATCTGAACAGGATCAAAACATTTTCCCATTTAAAAATTTATTTTGAGTTAATAGTAAAATAAAAGAAGTTATAATTTCAGTCCTAAAAAAAACAAATCTGGCCTGATTTTCCAATGTTTTACTGTTCAGTGAAACCTAAATTTGTTATGTACTGCATTTTATAACATCATTACTTGTTCCTTCAAGCAAAGCTGTGAAGTGAAAGCTATAATAGATTATTTAGAAGTAAATTCTAGATCTAGTATAAACACTTAAAATTAGTACGAGCAACAAACATTTTTGAAGATAATAACAGTGCGTTTCCCTTGTATTGGATAGGAGTACAGGACATAATCTGTGCAGATGCTCTTGCTCCTCCTGTTCGTGGCATTTCAACAATGTGCAAGGTTCCTTGTCAAATCTGTTGTAAGTGACCTAATCAGAAGCAGCCTACTGCATGCCCATCATTTCATCCGTGAAATCCTGGTTTCCCACTAACCAGTCAGCTTCTATTCTAAACATAGACTCTATTTCTCTCTTCCTCTCCCCTATACCTTACTATTCCTGTAGTGCCCTTTTCTAAAGTGTCCTCTTGGACTGCCTGGAAATCCCTTCGCTTTCTGATCTGTAAGAAACCTCTTTGTTGACAGTGGGCATGCTCAGCCTGTGAGTTAGTGCATGATTCCTGCCTGTGAGCATTCTGTGATCAGAATGTAAAGGTACCGTGTCATCTGCTAAAATTCTGTTCATCATGGCATCTCCTAATTTTTGATTTAGCTTCCAGACCAGCCAGCCTTGATAGTGGCAGAACATCCACTAGCAATAGCAATAACAATGCTTCACTCCATGAAGTCAAAGGTATGCTGTAGGTGAATTTATGTACACACTTAATTTCCATTACTTTCTCTGTAAAATAATCTGTATAGGTTAAAAAAAAAAAAAAATCCCACAACACCACAGCATGCTTTGTTTGAAGCATTTTATAGCCTTCATTCCCCAAAATAGGAAAGGATGCAAGGATTAATAGAACTTAGGTTTTTAAAAAGTATTAAAAGGGTGATATTAGTATAGAAGTTTCAAACTATTTCAAACCAAACCTAACCCAAGTAATGATGTTACAGAATAAGAATTCCCCAAAAATTATTTTAAAATTGCTTATTTTTAAGCATAGAAGTTGCTTCATTTTTTTCTCCTGGCAAACTACGTGTGCACTGCTGCTGTAAAGCTGTATAGTGTACAACACAAACCAGACAAAATAACATATGTAATACCATCCTGTAAACTTCTGTATTTTGTTTTTAAAAGATCACTAACATTCTTGGATTTAACAATATTCCCTAAATTTCATATAATACAAGCTTTGATACATTTTTGTTTATAAGGACCATTCTGTCTGGAGACCATTGTACATACTAGACTAGAACACTGCCAACTCAAGACTTCATTTAATATTCATGGCTTGTATTTATTAAACAGTATCTCTTCAGAAATTTAGAGATGTGTACTAGATTAAGATTTTTACTAGTTTATTTTCTGTCTGTTTGATTGCTCCCTTCTGTAAAAGATTCTTTGAGGTAGTCCTCACCCCAGTTTCTATACAGTATTCTGTAAGAAACTTCTACTGTAAACCACTGATCTTTCTTCAAACTTAAGTTCATTTCTTAGGAGTAACATGGAGTATGAAATACTTGATTAGTCAACTCTATTTTGTAAGTATTTCACAATTATTGAAAAATGAAAAGAATTGGTGTTGTGGAATTTATTTTGCATTTAATGCCATATGCTTCCTTCAGGTCGCAATTGTAATAACCTAGAAGTAGCGGCAAAACTGTTGGAGAAGCAGCACTCCTAAATAGTTCTTTTGAAGAACTATGAAGAAAATACTTTCTTTCCACTCCATCCCTTGTATTTCCTTTAATGTAAAACTCACTAATACTATATTCGAGTGTGTGCCTCACAGTGATGCTGAGCAAGAATGGACGCATATCTTTAGCTTCTTGGAATATAGTATTATGTAGATGGAGGCCCAGATTATGAGTGAAAGGGTTGTGGGGTTTTTTTATTTAAAAGCTATCATGTCATGTTTAAAGCGCTGTAAGAGGTAAGTTAGGAGAGTGCAATTGTATTCAAAATCTATTTGGCTTGAGTAAAAAAGGACAACTGGTTTTTTAGTATTTTAAATAGAGTTATTGTTAACTGAATGTGATAATGTTCCAGATTTGAGTAAGGTTATACTGTTTAACAGCTTTTGTATATTTTTCTTATGGAAATACATAATACCATGTACCCCAAAAGCAGGTGCAGTTAACAATCAAAGCAGGCCGCAGAGTCACAGCAGCGGAGAATTTAGTCTGCTGCACGAACATGAGGCTTGGTCTAGCAGCAGCAGCAGTCCTATTCAGTATTTGAAAGGTCATACAAGGTCTAGTCCTGTGCTCCAGCAAAGAACGCCTGAAACACTGGATAGTCGTGGAAAACAGATCAAAACCAGTTCTCCTGGAAGTGAAGTTGTTACTCTGCAGCAGTTTTTAGAAGAAAGCAACAAGAGTACCTCAGGCGAGGTTAGTTGAAAAAAGTATTTTAACTATGTATTATCCCGTATATGGAGGCAGAATTAACGTAACACTTCTAGTGAGTAGAATTGTTTTAAAACTTTGTGGAGATACTGGTTACGCCTGCATCAAGTAGTGTGGCCTGTATCCTGATAAGCTGTACCTGTTGTATTACACACAAAATCATTTGGAATTTCCCAGCTTGACCCCTTCCAGGCTAATGCATTAGGTAAGAAAGTCTATCTCTACTGCACAAAATTGTCCAGTGTACTGCTGCATGGTATGCTCACTGGTGTTGAGATGGAAGGCCATAAATTCAAGGTAGATTTACTTTTCTTCTCCAGTTCAGCGCTTGTCTTCAGTAAGAGCTGTCTTACATCAACAGGAAGGAAGACCCTTTACTTCATTCCCTGAGGAGAGACTCTTGTCTGCTTCAATTTCATCTTTTTAACTCTACTGGGCAAAAAAAAAAATTACCTTGGAGCTCATTGAAAATCCAAGAGGAATAAGACAGAGTATTTTGGTAAAGCAGTGACAGTTTATTAGAAGCCCAAAATCACGTTGTCTCTGCTAGTGTTCTGATTTCTTGAGCAGATCTGTCCAAACTCCAGAAGTGCTCTAGGATAAAGCAAGGCAGTTATTGCGACTAGGGCCTATGAAGAATAAGGATCAGACTCCATCTATTTTTAATGACACAACTGAAATTGAAACATATATTCACAGATGAATTGATTGGGGTAGTCTGTGACTTGAGTCTGGACTGTGTTTCTGGATTTCTTGTTATTTAAAATGACCTCTCACCTATGGTCTCTCTGACAAGGATTTTTGGGTTTTAACCATTAGACAGTGCTCCTCTGGCAATAGAAATAAAAGAAGACACCTGAGTCATCAAGTCTAGTCCAGTGCTGTTCATGAATCACAGAATCCCTTTCATAGCATCACAGAATCATTCAGGTTGGAAGGGTATTCAGGAGGTCTCTTTCCAGTCTTCTGCTAGAGCATTTCCTTAATGCTTTTAGCTTAATTCTTTCCAATTTGTCTCTTTCACCATTTTGAAAAAGACTGCAGTCTTTCTCCACTGAGTCTGTGAATAGCATTCACCTAAACTTCCTTTTCTAGCTCTGAAGTCTTTTCTGAAAAAAAGAAAGAATTGGGAGCTGTCTGGTATAAATTTAGGCACCAAGGTTACCTAAAGGTTGTGTGCTTTGTATTACCTTCTGAGATTTCAGTCTTTATTATTTGAGCATATAGCGAATTTAAGCTTTTAGCTCCAGATGATCAGTATACGTTAAAATGGTAGCCTGTATGAAAGTGCTTAAGAAGTATTAATGAGTGATGGCAGAGGGCGAGTGAGAAGGTGAACTTGAAGTTTTGATTATCTGATTTGTTGAGTTAATCAGTTTTACAGGAACTAATTCCAGATAGTTGTGATCTGTCTGACATCTAGTTTTCAAAGTATTTTCTTACAAGCAGTAAACAGAAAACTCATCAGTATGTACCATAAACGTTTAATACCACTTTTAGTTCTATTAAAAAAAAACAACACAACTTTTTAGAATTTTTTGTTTTACATCCATAAAGATTGCTTAAGAAATGTCAAAATTATGATGTGCAAATGTATAAGATGTTTTATTTTTTTGACAGATGAAATCTGCAAGTGAAGAGAATCTTTTAGATGAAGTCATGAAAAGCTTATCCGAGTCTGTGGAGCTGACAGGAAAAGAAAAGTTAAGAAAACAGCCATCTGCCGGTTGTGGTATTGTGAGATCGTTAAGTGTGAAAAATACAATTGATTTCTCAGATGGACGATCCATTAGACCAGAACAGCTTGTAAGGCCCAGCCTTCGTAAAACTGAAGACACCTACTTTACTAGCTCTCCAATAAAATTTACATCAGGCACTCCAGGGAAGGCCAAATCAGTTAAAGAAAAGATACAGGCAACTGTATCACAGCGACAATCAAGAGATTGCAATCCTTATGCTACTTTACCTCGTGCAAGCAGCGTGATTTCTACAGCAGAAGGAACTACTCGAAGGACAAGCATTCATGATTTTTTGTCTAAGGACAGTAGGCAACCTGTATCAGTTGATCCAGCACCACCCACCGCTGACAGAAGTGTTCCATCAACCTCTAGTGAGTACTCAGCACACCAGTTATCCTCTAATTCTTTTCACTGTGTGGCTTACAGGGTAGATTGTGTTCCACAAAGCGATGCAGCTAATAGAGTTAAACCACGTAATTTAGGATGTAACTCTGATGTGCCTAAGGCTTCAAGGCTGGAAAGGTCAAATTTGCGTGAGAGAACTTTGCTAAGCACGAGTGTGTTTAATGATAAAGTCAGTATATCTGGTAATGACAGCACGGGATCATTTACAGTGGCTCAGCCGTTTTTATCCCTTAACACTGAATTAGTTAGTAATATAAGTGGATTGCCTCAAAGGTCTACATCCAAAACAACGGATCAGGCAAATGTGTCAGCATTTAGATCAGTACCGAAAAGTCAAGAACAGCCTTCTGCTAATCAGAAATCTGATCATAGTGACCTACGGTCAGCTCTAACTAGAGAATTTGTTCCTACCACCTGTGTAAACACTAATGAGGCTGAATCCCCACTGCTGGTTTCTGAAGATAATAAAACTGTGTGGTATGAGTATGGTTGTGTATAAGGAAGTTGTATTCTTAAATATATATATAAAGTCTAACATATAGGTGGTGTTCTCAGTGTCCACTGGGTTTAGAGAAATTTTCACTACAATGAAAAAGTAATTTCATGTTAGATCTGTGGGTGGTTGTTTTCCAAGAACAATGGCATAGGGCTCAGTTGTTTACTCTAGCATGTTTGAATGTAAAATTGTAACCTCACCAAAGTTTGCATGAAACTTTAATTGCACTGTATATATTTTGCATGCCTTTAAAAGTCTTTATAATACAAGCTATATTTTTATTTGTCATGCATTACAAATATTTTGGTTTTTTTCCTGTACATTACTGAATGCATGTTAAACCAATCGCATGCTGCATTGCCAAAAATGGCACAGTGAACAACATCATTTTCAGTACAAAGATGGTACTTTTCAGTTGTGCTTGTGCTTTCAAATGTATCAGTTATACACTGATTATGTATTTGGAGTAAAAATACTTTTTTCCTCCCTTCTTTCAAAAATGAGATACTAGTGAAAAGAAGCATTTAGAGAGATTTCAGTGTCTTGCCCTTTTCATTTATGCCATGTCCTGGCATAAATGCACTTTGCATAAGGAACAAGTTTAGCCCAATAATTCAGTGCCTCTAGCTTGCACAAGAAATATGAATTACTGTTCACAGTTATTAAAATATTTGGACATTAATAAATACAAAGACCATTCATAATCCCAAGTGTAAATGGTAATTCTTGTGAAGTGGTAATAAATAGTCACATGATGCGCAGCACTTGTAATGAAAAAATGACCCTTTCCACCTTTTCCCTTTTGTATGCTTTGTCTTTCCACGTCTGGTGTACAAATGTGGTGAATTGTACGGTTTTATTAGGAGTCAGATAACAGAGTCATATGAGACTCCTTGTGATGTGTGGTAATAAAAACCTGTATTGATTATGGTGGAAATTCATTTTTTCTTCTCAATAGAAATAACACTAATAGGATAGAAAACAAGGTGTGTAACAAAAATTACATAAGAACTGTTAAACTAACAGTTAAATAAAAGAAAAAGTAACAGGAAGTTTGCTTGCAAAATTACAGGAGTATAGGTACGTGTAAGCCAATAACTCATTAAATTCCAGATGATCAGCTATAGGGAATGTTGAAAAGTAATTACTTAATCTGTCACTGACTCTGCAATTTCTTGAAACTTCTTAATTGTAAATATAAACAGAGTTTAAAATTGCATCATCGTTAAACTACATTTACATGAAGCTTTAGACATAAGCATTTTCTTGCAAGAGGAAATAGTTACTGCCACTTATTGCAGTCCAAAATTACGTACACTATAAAAAAAAAAAAAAAAAAAAAAGAAAATACATCTAGAGGAAAAATATTTAAAATAAATATCAAAAATAATATAATATTCTGATTTTTACTATTTACTTTGCCAGCAGTTTGGTGGCAGTCATGGTACTGCTGTGTGGGTTGAACTTTAATTCTGTAGTGTTTAACTAGAAAGGAATAGTGCTGCAAATACACAGCTCCTCAAGGAAAAGCAACAGACGCCCCATAAATTAGTCTATAAGGTCTCTATTTCATACAGGAGAATTGGTAATAAAATGCAGAGATGGCCCTTTCCAGAGCTCCAGCTACATTTCAAGGTGGGGAAAAGGAGCAAGAGGAGAAGATGGGATGTTTCAAAGACATTCTGTGGAGGGCAAAATTACAGTTCCAAAATGTAAAGCAGCCATCCTTTACCATATCTGCAGGCATCCGTTATTATTGGGATGATAAATTTCTCTCTTCTCTTCCATGTTGTTCACAGCATGCTGTTAGTTACTGCTGTATTCCCTCTAGAATTGTCTCCCCATGAAAGAAAAATCCAAATCTGAAATACCTTAATTTCATACACACTCTCACACAGTGAGATCAGTGTTCTGATCTTGGGTTATGTCATTCAACTTCATTTCTATTAATCTATAGATGTGTTTGAATTAGCTTTGAGTTGAATAGTGCTGTTATCTGAAGTGACAAGTGCATAATAAATTTTGCAAGTTATTTAAGGAATTACAGAGAAAATCTTCTTAGCTCTGACAGTACTTACAAACTTACACTGTGCCACCAATATCTGTATTTTTCTTAACTGACTGCAAGCCTGTGTCTTCCAGTGAGACTGCTTGTTATGAGCAGAATAAGGTTTGTAGCTAGAGGTAGTATCTTCAGGTTTAGATCAACTGGTATTGTTGAAGAAATCGGATGAGCTTTCAGGCATGCTTATACCTCGTTTGCCAGCCTTGTCTTGCTTAGGTCCTTAGACTGTCACAGCTACAAAAAATACCATTATTGTCTCCCGATACGTTTATTACCAACTCTCCAGCATGACCAGTGAACCCTGATTGTAATCACGAGCAAGGCCAAGGCCTAGAGAGAAATTTTAAAGGTTACCCCTGCAGGGTGACGATAAAGCTTGCTAGCAAGTCGACAAAGAACATTTTTTTAGCCACTGCCCATGGGGCACTTCAGTTTGCATTGTTTCATTTCTTTTCACAGCACTAAGCTCACTAAGACTTCACATACAAACCCAGTCTGATAGTGAGTATTTATGCCCGATATTTAATGCCTTTTTATCCTGTGTTTTACCTTACCCCATTGGGGTCGGGGGACGACAGCATTAAAACAACTTCTCTCTTAAACACAAAGGGCCTCAGAATAACTGAGTGTCTTTGAACACTAGTGTCTCAGATCCTCTATGGGAGTTCTAGGCTGACCTTGTCCAGCTCAAGCTGCTATTTTGCATTGTTTTATAAATTTGTAATTAATTGCATTTTAGTTCTGAGGATAACCTTCTGTGCTTCAGTTTTTGCTCCACTGAGTTCAGCTGGAACAGCGAAAGCATGCTGCTAGAGACTTTTTCATGTCTGTGAAAAATGAATTGTCAACATTTCTTTACTACATATGAAAGAAAACAAGTGTTTTCATGTACAGAAGGAATATATTTTTTTTCCACTTTTTGGTCTTTAGGGTTTAACAATACCTACATCATGGATGCCTCTTTCAGTCCATGCTGAACTAGTGGAAGGGTCTGTGAAATTCCTTTGAGACCCAGTCACTGTTGCTCCTTGGCAGTTCACATGGCTGACTGTAAAACACACAGTGCACCTGCTTGTTCCTGGGTCCCTGCTGCCTTTAAAAATGATAAGTTAGGGATTTGCATGGTAATTATAAACACTAAATACGTGGCTGCTGGCCAAAAAAAGGTTTTGTTGTTCAGGCTCAATAATTTGCTTGCAGTTAAAGGTTTGCTTGATGCTTTGCTTTAAGTGAACAGTACATTAAGATACTGCATTTTGCACGTTCAAGCTGTTGCATGCAAAGATAATTTTCTGTTTTACAGAACTGAATGTGAACATTTCTGTCAATGTGTAGCTGGTAAAAAGACAAAGATGAGTTAAGTTCTCTGCTAGGATCTGTCAACCTTGATTACATCTGATTTATTTTTCCCCTTTTCATACAGGCAGAAATTTAGGGTTAATATATCTAAAAGTTAAGTATATCTGGTTGTTCCTTTGAAAATAATAACTGATTATTCTAAATTCTAAGATGAGTTTTAGTGAGTGTAGTTGAGGAGGCATTTCCAGTGAGTTTCTTCTATCCCTATCCTCTTGTCTTTTCCTCTTAAAAAAAAAAAAAAAAAAAAAAAAAGTTTATGTATCCTTTTGCTCTACTAATAAGTAGAATGTATTTTAATGCATGAGGGTTTTTTTCATGTCCTGATCAACACAATGAATAACATGAAATGCTTTTCTCTGCAGATGTGGAAGCTATCCCAGAAAGCAGAAATTCAAAAAGCAGGTCTAGGGAGCAACAAAGCTCCTAATTCTATTACCCACTACATGAGATGTGGGCCAAGTGGTGAGTTTCCTGCCCAAAATGTAAATGAGATTAATTTCATTTACAACAAACTAACAGCATTACATATAAGAACAACTGCACATTGCATTAACCGGATGTAAATACTGCTTGCTTCACTGGCTTCTGTCTTGCTTATTAGTTAAGCCAGAACAGGTTGTTTTACAGCAGTTATTTTGCCTGTGTAGGCAGGGAACTTCATTCCATTTAGCCTTTTGCCTGTAAAAATTCCATTGGCTTTTATTTTTCTAATCTCCTGAAAGTTCAGAGAGATCACATTAAGAAGTAATATTGAAGTCGGTTCTTAGAAAGGGACAGATAAATCTAAAATAACAGTTTAATATAAAGTATTCTATACTAGAAGGAAACTGCCTTTTTATAAAGCTTGTCTTTGGCATTCTGTCCTTCTCTAGACTTCATTAAAACATCTTTGATGCATGCTATTAGTGCTGTTAGTTCTGTTAGTGACTTAACTCTGTTTTTTATACTTCTACACTTTAAGCTTTTCTTACGTTCTTTTCTCTTTCTACCTTTCAACTGAACACAGAGAGAAAAGTGTCCTTCAGTATCTCAGTATGAAGCCTTTATATCTGAAGTAACAAGACAGCGACTGTAGGAATCTAATAAAAATTAAGGGAATTTTTTACATTCTTCGTGACTAGAGCAGGCAAGAAATAAAAACCTACCTACCTTTCTTCCTTCCTTGAATCAAGGAGCTCTACTGGAGTCTACTGCCGAAAATTTGTAGATGGTCTTAGGAATTATTGCACATTGCACTGTTAAGATCTACTGAATAAAGGACAGTTCTCATCTCCCTAAGGACCAAGAATTTTAAGGTCTCAAGAATTACTCCAGGGAAAACAAAATACTTCTTTCATCTTCTGTTTATGAAATTAGCCACTGATTTGCTTAAGCTTCTGCTAATAGTTAGCCAAAAACCCCCATAACTAGCAGTTTGTATTTACTTCTGTAAATCTAAAATAAATGCTGTAGTATTTTGTTGAAATTGACTGTATATACAGATACAAAAACCTCACAGCTTACTGGCACTTCACTGCCTTATTTGATTAGAATAATCTGCATGAAATTGCTCTTAAAAAGGTTTATGCTGATTTTTGTTGCATACTGCAAGAGAAAAATTTGTTTACATACATGAAAAAGTTCGATAACTAACAAAAGTGGGAGTCATGGGATAATCGTATTATATAGAAATTGTTTGTCATTTGTGTTTTTCACATTCCCAAGTTATTCTGCATATATATGTTCATATGTTTCTGACAGGAAATTGTCAGGTATGATTTTTCTATAACTTTTATTTTAATGTAAGGCTGTTTTCAACAAATGGCATTTCCAGGATAAGACTGTCTTACAGTGTTTGTGTATTGACTAATTTTTTTTTGTTTGTCTTTTGACATGAGTTGGTCGTGGCTTAGGAGGTTTCTTGATGGCAAAAAGAAATGTAAATAATATCATATGCATTTTACAATCAGTTCCCCTTAAGGTTATCTTTTACTAGTAAGATACATTTTGTTCATTATTGGTTTATATTAAAGTCAACAAATGTTACTGGTACGTTCAGTAGTTGCATACATTTGTTGTTGTGAAAGCATTTGCAGAGAGCTCATAGGAAGTGTACATGAACTTACAAGCAGATCCAAAATGAATTATCATAATTGTATTTTATTACAAACCAGTAAGGACATTCATATCCCTGTTCTAAAGGGCTAACCGTGTAACCTCCTGGTGTCCCCCAGGTAACTTTCACTCCCAGCCATCTCCATTTGGGTACCTGTGAGGAGTCATGCTGCTGCTCAGACCGTGTGGGAGAGCCACTACAGCTTCCTCACCTTCAGAACAGCTCGTTTTCTGAGGCTTTTACAGGTTTTATCATTTCCAAAGTCTGCAGTTGTCAGGGACAGTTGGAACAAACAGAATCACTTTTCACTGGAGAGATACTGCAGTTCAACAGATTCAAAAGCATGCTGACAAGTCATTTTTTTATTTTACTGAAATTTTGTCAAAAAGGGGGGGAAAAAAAAGGAGGAAAATTCAATAAGCTTTAGAAGGGCAAATTTTCTTGGTGTGGTTTTTTTTTTGTTTGTTTTTTTTTCTTTTTCCCGAAAGTGACTTCCTTCTGCAATACTTTTTAGGATAAAATGTGCTAAAAGATCTAGATCTAAATAGAATATTTTGTTTTTACAATATAAATACTTGGTTCAGCCTGGGATTGTTTTCACAGAGTTTAAACATTTTTGGTTGTGTTTCTTAAGAGAAAATATGACCTATTTTGCAGCTTGCCACCGTATAGAATTTCCAGTCTTCCCCTGAAGACGTTTCTGGTATTTCATTAAAATCTGGTATTTTCATAAAATTTAAAATTAATTAAAATTGATTACCAACTCACACTAGCATCCATTTCTGGTCCCTTATTCTCAGTGTCAAGATTTGCACAGATTTCAGTGGCAGCATGGTGAGTTTTGCAGAATATCAACATAAACTAGCCATCTCAGGAGTGATCTGAAGCCCAGAGCACTCCTGAAATCCAGCTCCACCGTGGTTTTGTAGGCAGCCTGAGCTCAGTTGCATTTGGAATAATTTCCTGCGCTGTAACTGATACCGTGTTGGTTTTGAGAAGGAATCGGGGCATTCCGGGCCGCGCAGTGACAGCTACGAGATGTCACCAGAGGGGCGGGTGGGATGGATGGCAGCGGCCAGAAGAGGAGCCGTGTGCCAGAGCCTGTGTACAGGTAATTTGTGTGTTCTGCGGAGCACTCAGAGCTCGGGGCACGGCCAAGTTTCTCCCCCAGGACCGGGTGAGACAGCCGCAGCCCTGGCGTGCTCTAAGCAGTAAGAATCTGGTGCCACTCCTGTGCTGCAATATCGGCAGAGCTGTAGAGATTGAGGGAAGAGTTCCATTTACAGAATTCCAAGGCAGAGGCACAAAATCTGGAATGCTGGCAGCTCTTACTAAAGGCACAGCTGTTATGAAAGAGGATATGAAATACCATAACATTAGGAAAATATCTCCTGATTCTAAATTGCAATATTTTCAAGCTCATTTCAGGATCTGATTGTGACTGGACTCTATCTGACAACAGAGGATTTTTGGTGCATTTCAAGCTATTGAACCCAAGCCATTTATTTAGTAGCGTTACTATTTTTAGAAGAACATACGTGTCTTGAATTAACAGATTTAAATTGTAGTGCCAAATGCTGTTTGTATTCACAGAATCCGAGCAGTTGTGTGTGTGTCTTCAGGTAGATCCTCCGAGACCCTGGGCCTTAGGCAAGAGTGGCGTATTGCCGTGGCTGCGTGGCGAGGAGCGCTGCTGGGCACGTGTAACCTGCCCTCGCCGCACATGGCCGTGTCGCCTCTGTCACGGGGGCGTCCCCTGGCGATTCATTTCTTAGCTCAGCTCTTTTCCGTGTTTGTTAAGCTGGCCAGGATTACCTGTCACAACTTCTGTGCAGGCTTTTTGCATGTTATTGCACCCTCCTAAAGCATCTGTGCAATCACAGCCAGGGTTTGCATTTAAGACATCAGAACCTACTTCTCCCAGCACGTTCTTTCGCAAAGAAGTTTCAGAACAGAAGAGCAGGCAGGAGGTTCTCCGTGCTCTGATGACTTTTAAATTATTTTCTTTTTCCTTTCTTATTCTTTCCAGTCTGTGCCCTTAAAATAAAATAAAACCAGAAAATGAATTTGGGAGCCACTTCATATTTTCTCAAACACGAACTCCCAGGGGAAGAACGCAGCCACTGTTGCACAGCATACAAGGAGAGTACACAGCTTTTTACCGCAGGAGGTGCCAAATCTGTCACTGCTAGTTCAAGATCACAAAAGAGGTTGTAGTACTACACTATGTATAATTTTAATTTACTTTTCTGATAGTCTGCTAAAGGTTTCATAACATTCCCAACACATATTCTTTCTAAGTTTTTTCAAAGACGTGAGGCAGCCTCAACAAAGGAGCTCATGTATGATTTTTAGATTTAGATGATAATGTATATGTAAATAATGCTTTGATATTAATAAAACTGCCTTAAAGGAATGTACCTAGGTGTGAAACAAAACTTAAAAAACTCTTATTTAAAACTGTAATTTCCTTTACATACTGATTTTTTTTAATGTTTGCCATTGTATACATTTGTTAATGATGTTATTAAAATGCCAAACCAAATAATTTTTATTCTTATTTTGTGTGTACATTTATACACACTTTTTTTCTGGAAACTGATGTTACTAGAAGGATATTGGTGTTAAGTAATGGCGTTGTGGTCAGTTGGTGATGTGTTCAGTATTTCTTCCAGAAGGAAACCGATAAAAACTGTAGCAGAATTTTTCTGGATAATGTGTAGTTTGTTTCGTGTTGTTTATTTGTGTAGACCTGTGTAGCTTTTAATTATATGCTATTTTGATATTAAAAAAAAAAAAAGACTAATTTCATAAGTAAATACAAAAAGAAATCATTATAGATTTGCCAAATGTAGTAGTATTTGAAGCTTTGATTTTGCTTGGTTGTTATTTTTGCTGAGACAAGTCTCAGCATCTCTTCTGAGGACAAAGGTGGCTAAATTTTAGGTATTACAGATTTTAAGATTTGTGAAGCATAGTAAACTGTTACTGGGCACGTCCTGAAAACAGGTTTTCACATGTAAAGCTTTCTAGATTAAAAAAGACCTCGGCAAGTCAAATTTAATATTTTTTTTTAAGTGATAAAGGATTTGGGGGTACTACAAAGAAAGGTTAAAGGAGAAGGAGAGTGAGTGGCAGGCAGAGGGTAAGATAAATTTTACTTGTAAAGACACATAAGACTGTATCTTAATATCTAGCTAATTTAGTAACGCATTTGTCAATCGAGTTCATTAATCAACCCACTATTCCCAAACGCCAGATGTTCCTTTTTCATCTTTTATTTAACTTCATCTTAACATACGAAGTCCCATATATCTGGACATCTTTCTAGTGACTCTGCCCAGAGCTCCAACGTTTTCAGGTCACTTCTTTCCTGTTTGAGATGACTGCCATGATAGATGGGGGGTTGGTTTGTGTCTTTCAAAGGTGGAGAGGAGAATTTAAACTGCTGTGTCATGAAGTACTCTGTTGTTAAGTTCACACCTCAGAACAGGTGCCAAATCCTTCAGAAACGAAGCATGAGGATGTTTGTGAAGTAACTTGCCTTGCCCTAGAAGCTGCTTTTTCTTACTTCGTTAATGGGAGTTGTTCATTCTGTAGAACTAAAGATTGCACTTCCTTACAGGGAAAAGTAAAACCCAATACATAAATGTTTATGATGGTCTCTGCTCATGGTCTTGACCATCTAGAATGAAACAGAGTCAGATTGGCTGGTTTCTGCCTTGTGTTTCTTTTGAAGTGTTTCCCTGTATTGTTAGCATTGCGTCCTGTAGGGTGATGCAGCAGCAAGTAGTCATTGAAGATGGCAAGTCCTTTGATGTGTTTTTTCTTCACTCTTCTGTAATCTTTATTTCTGTTCCGTTTCAACTTCTGTTGACACTACCACTTGCTTTTTGACATAGTTTGGACATGACATTTTTGTTAGGCTTCACTGAAAAGCCCTTTTCCCCCTCATACTCAGATTTTGTCTCTTGCTTCCACTACTCCTGTCTTTGGGTTTTGGGGGGGCGGTGCTTGTTGCCACAGTATTACTGCACGGAGTTTCTGCTGCTTCAGTCTTCAACACACAGCCTGTTAGAAGGGGGTCTTACTCATTTAGGTGGGAGAGAGGATGAGAAAAAAATAGATTAGAAATTTAATGGTGAGAATGTACTGGTCTTGTTCTTGTGATACTTTTCTATACTATATATCACCCAGTGAAAGCCAAATCAGCCTCTCCTTAGCCTCTTTAACACAGCTGTTTGTACGTGCCATCCCCTTCTCTTGGAGAAGCTCGAATACAGCCACTCGTACTATTCTTCCCACTTCTGTAGGTGCTGGTTAAGGGCGCAGCGGAGCAGAGAAGACAGGCATTCTCCACGGGTTCGTGACTCTCTAGAAATTGTGCACAAAATTTAATACAGTTCAGGGCTGTATTAACTTCCAGGTGTCACCAGGACATAGGACACTGGGTCAGGAATCTGCATTAACGTTCCTCCCGGGAGCTGCGGCTGGTACCGGGGTGTCCCCCAGCCCCCCCCCCCGGGTGGGGGGGGCTCTGGAAATGGGCACACTCCTGTCATCCCAGGGCAATTAGCAGGCTTAGTCCCACAGGGAGGAGACTGTGAGAGTGAAAATGCAACTAAAAACGTAGACAATCAAATGTGGTTTCTGTAGTGTAGGTAAGTTGTCTTTTTCTAGGTAAAAATTATAGAACGAAAGCAACGTGTAGCAGGGGATAAATGGGTACAGGTACACAATCTAGGCATCTCTGTCCTGTGTTTACTGACAACTTTAAGAAATGTTAATTTGTTATTTCTTAATTATGTTGTTTGAAGTTTAAACCTTCAAGGCCAGTACCATGCACAGAAAGTTCCAGTTTTATCTGTTTTATTAATAAGCACTGTAACATTCTTTAACACGTTGTCTACTTACTGGTTACTTACACGTCTTTTAATGAATATTCTGTAAAACTTCAGATACCCCAAAGATAGTATTTTTTTCTCACCAGATTATACAATATAAACTTACACAATTGAAAAAAAAGTAAAAACATATTATTGGCACTTTTAATCATGATATAAAGACAAAACTTCGCAAATTTTATTTGTAATGAGACTTTTACCGGTTTTGCTCTCTTACTCTACACAATCTATGCCTAGTACTAGAAAAGTGAACTTCATCTACTTCGTGTCTTCATCAAAATGTATGATGATTGGATCGTGGCCTGTTGATCTCACAAACTTCAGAAAGTCGTCAGGGCTTAAGCCCATTGTTGCAGAATTTGTCATTGGATGAAAATACACCTTTTCATGGCCACCTTCCAGAAAGGCAGCATCCAGCACAAACTTCACCTCGCCTGGGTCACAGAAGAGGGCGAGGGGTGTCGCACAGCCTTGGCCCACTTTTAGTTTTTCCACCATGGCATTTTCATCAGCAAACCTTAGGTTTCCACTTCCGACACCCAGTTTTTTAGCAAGATCATTTAAATTGATTTGCCTGTCGTGCAGAACAGTCACCAGCCAGAACCCTTTCTTCTTTTTGTCTTTAAGGAAAAGGTTTTTACTGTGCCCTCCTTTCAGGTGTTGAACATGGGGCATCATTTCTTCAACAGTAAACACCTGGAAAATATCATCAGTGTAGCATAAGACTCTATAGCCCATTAGACTTACAGTTGCATACTGGCAGGTATCTTGTCAAGTACTCAGAAAATGTTACACTCAGCCTAAAAACTGTACCCTTTTATGAAGAAATTATAAAAGAACACAAATAAAATGTGACATATTGTTCCTGCACACTCTCTGAATCTTTTCTGTCTCATGTATACAGCACTATCACACTTTAAAAATGCAGAAAAGCAACCCTGCTCCCTTTCGTGGCTCCACCGCAGACAGACTGGCATGATGCGGCATGTGCACTTTTAACCGGGAGAGAGAAAAAGCAGCCCAGGCACTGGTGTCTTCACGGTGAAGAAGCGGATGGCCCGTAGCTCCTGCAACGGCCGGGGAACGGGAGGGGAAGAGGGGGATCTCGGGGACAGAAACAGAGGGGAAACAACCCGGCGGCTGCGCTCAAAACGGGGGAAAAAAAAAAAAACAAAAAAAAAAAAAAAAAAACAAAAAAAAAACCTGAAACGTTCTGCTAGGCCCAGCGTCTGCAGGTCCATTTGGCGAGAAATTCCACAGTGATAATTATGCTAAAAAATCACGTACAGGACCTAAATCCGCGCTGTAGCCTGCTTTGTCCTCTCCGTACGTGTAATTTTATCTCCCTCCCCACACCCGGCTCAGAAGGGGCCGGGGCAGCGCCAAGGCCCGCGGGGAGAGGCGGAGGCCGCCCCTGCCCCTACCTGGGGGTGCTCGGCGGTGACCGTGGCGATGCCCAAATCCCGCAGCCGCTGCGCCAGCTCCCCCCTCAGCTCCGCCGCCATGGCCGCGCCGCCTGGGCCGCCCCTGCCCGCGGGCAGCCCTAAAATGGCGGCTGCCCCGGCGGCGGGAGCGCGCGGTCGAGGGGGAGCTGCCCCGGCCCGGGTGGGCTCCTCGGCCGCCGGGTCAGCCCTGGTGAAGAGCGCAGGGCAGGGCCGGCCGCTGAACGAGGTCCGAGAGCAGGTTTTGAGGATACATTTGCAGTAAGTTTTGATAAGGGGAAAATCCTCTAAGCTTCTGACCTGGATAGAATGGCTGAACGCGCTGTTGCTGTAACACTTTTAATTTTGAAATTGGGTTTTGGGTTGTTGGTTTTTTTGTTTGTTTGTTTGTTTGTTTGTTTTCTTTGTTCCTATGTTAGACCTGAAGTGTGTGAACACAGAGCGCACTTCAAAAAACGAGCAGCCTTGGCCATCAGGTCAAACGGGAAGCAGGGCGATACGGAGCCGGTTGCGGAGGCCGTTGCTGTAAAACCGAATGCTGGGGTCAGATGCCCAGAGAAGCTGCGAAGCCTCCACCTGTGGAGATACTCCCAACCCGACGGGATGCGATCCCGGGCAGCCGGCTCGCTTCGACCCTGCTTGAGCCAGGGGTTGTGACAGTCTCCACAGCTTCCCCCTTCCACACATCCATAACCCTGTAACACAGCTGAAGCCAGAGCTTGCCATCTCCTTCGGAGCAGAAAAACCCGGCTGCCACTCCCATCTTACAGCTCCATGGGCCTCCTGCTGCCCTCCTTCAGCCTCACCTGGCTGGAGAACAAAGTTCTCCATAACACTTCTCCATACAACTCCCTGTATCTCCCTTCCCGCACAATTCAGTTTATTTCATGTTCCTTAAAACAATCTCCTTGTCAAACAATCTCCTTGTCAAATAGTGACATTAGAACAATACATTGCTTTGACATACACCAGGTTTTCCCATTCAATGTGAACTGCATTTGGTTCCAATATTGTTTTCAGAACATGTTATTTGTCCCAAATACGTACCAATTAAATTGTTCGTGTATGTGCTTACTGTAATTTCACATGCCTACTTTGCTGAAAATGTTGCTGCTAAATAAGGAAGTGAAAAATTCAAAGCTAGAAAAATCAAAATGAGGTAAACTAATTAATGATATGCACTAAAGATGAGACTTGCATAATCAATTTTTTTTTTTTAAGGGCAACCAATAATAATCAAGAATTACAACTAGGGGACAAAGACAAGCATTAACTGCCACATAGTTAAGTGGAAAATGTTTCTACAACTCAAACCATCGTCCTGACCTATGACATCAGAAATTATTTGTTTCCAGTTTGCCCTTCAGAAAAATAGGCAATCTATAATAAAACTTTAAATTAAACCAGTATGAATCTGTGGTTAAGAGACATGTGGATAAAGTATGATCCCACGCTAATTCCCAGAGCCTTAGTGCAGCATATAGAAATATTTCCAGGCAGCATCCAACAGATCAACTCAGAAAGCAGATTTGCAGTAAACTCTGGTAACTGTTTTGCATGCTAAATTCATCTTTCAAATAAAACATTTTTCAAGTCAATCGCAGGCTCACCAGACAGTCCCATTGCGTGAAGGATGCATTGTCCTCCGCATGTGGGCTGGCAGCTCTGAAGTATCCGTGTGCTTTCGCTGTCTTTCTGCCTGGTTTGTCTTCCTGTGCAGTAACACAGACTGCATTTGTACAACTTTTGATATTTCAGCTTTTATTACCACGGTTTGTTTTTGAGATTATTTTTCCTGCTTTACCTTTGGAGAAAACCCTCAAGAGTCCTATGCATTTTAAGGTTATCAGTTAGTATCTGGCACATTCATCAGCAAATGATGCCTTTGAAAGACACCTTTTTTTGTCAATACTCAGCATCATAAATGAGCAAATACTTTCAGCAGTGAGATACTGAGGGCAGCAAAACACATAGCTACTACCTGTTGCAAGTACATGTAAAACCACCTGTGGGTACTACCCCAAGTCCCACATTAGAGGCAAAACATCTAAAATACACAGCTCAAAGGTAATGACCGTTATTAATTGCAGCACACAATTTGCAGCTGCCTGATGGAGATCATAGTAGAAGCACTGCTGTCCCGTGCACACCTCAAAGCTAAAGGATGTCGTAGGATGGAACTTGGGATCATCTCTGCCTTGTACAAACAGCATTAACGAACATTCAAAAACCACTTACAGAGCTTCCCCTTCGATTTTTTTTTCCCCTAGTCTATTAAGTGATACTATTTTAGAGATGCCAAATTAGCACTTTAAAAAACCTGTCATGTTAAAGCGTTAGATTGGAGATGGATAGGAGGACATTGCAAAGAAAAGCGACTATATCCTGCTAGGCAAGGAAAAAAAACCAAATTTAAGCGTATATATTTTAATAAAAACCAACCAACCAAACAACCAAACAAATCCCCAACGCTACGGCGAAGGCACGGCGGCCCGTAAGGAGCTCTCCCGCCGCCTGTGAGGGGAGGGAAGCTCCACCCCCGCCCCGGGAGCCGGGCGGTGCGCCGGCGCGCTGCCCTCGCGCCCGCCGGCGCCTGCGCAGAGCGTGGCTCTCCCCACGCCGGGAGGGGAGCGGGAGCCGCCATCTGCGGTCAGCGCCGTCCCGGGGCGGGGGAAGGGTGTGAGGGAGGTGGCGGCCGCGGCCGGCGGGAGGGTGGGAAGGAAAGAAACAAAGAAAGAAGGAGGGAAGGAAGGTGGGAGGGAGGTCGGGCGGGCTGGCTGGCTGCAGCTGGCAGGAGGTCTCGGGAGTTGGGCGGCCTCGCAGCTGGGCGTCACTGCGGTGTAGTCCCGCTCGCCGCAGGGTGAGGGTGTTTCTGAGGGGCGCGCGAGCCCCGGGAGAGCCAGGAGTGGTTCCTTTGCAGTGCGCAACCTCGCGGGGGTTTCTCCTTTGTGAGCTTGGCCAGTCTTGCCTTGACCTTTTGTTAGTTTTTGGTGTATGCAGCGTTTTGTGGCAGCTTCTGCAGTTTGATCGGTTTTACCGATTCTGCCCCTTTAAACTTCTCTTTAGGGGGGAAAAAAAAAACCAAACCAAAACAAAAACCTAACCCACAAACCTACACTTGGTTTTAGTTGGTTCGTTTGTCATCTGCTCACTTCCTGCAGGACTCCGGATACAAGGGAGTTTTTAAAGGGACCGCAGTCATTTTGTGAGGAACTGATACCATTTTACTCATTTAGAGCTGCTTGGAAGATGTTACAAAGCCACCTTTGAGAGAAGACAGGGAAGATACAGAGAAAGGCATTACTGAGCAGAAGGACAAAACGGGCAACTCCAAACAAGAAGAAAAGTTCGTATAGGAGATTGTTGTATAGGATAGTTAGCAGAATGACTCAAAACAAAGTTAAGGTGGTTGAAACAAGATGTAGGATGATCTGACAGAAGCGTTTTGGAAAGCTTATTGGTTAAGCCAGGGCTTAGTCTCTAAGGACGTCTCTGTCCGTGTGACAACACTGGTATTACTACAGTGCTATGGTCTTTTAGTGGTGGTATATGCTCCTGTAAGCAGCATTTTGCAAATGTGTTTTACTGGCTTAGAGAAGTAGGTTGCACCTGGATAACTCTTACCGGTATAGCATGAAGAGTGCAAATGTCCCTTTTTTCTAGGTAGTGTCAACCTGAAATGGGGACTTTGGTAGTTTTGATTAAAGGTGATAGGAGATAGGTGAAAGACTTGTAAGCTGTGGTGGCATTCGTAGATCTGTGTGTCTGCAGCAGGATAGTGGAGAAGGGTGAAGCACTTAAGGAGACTGAAAACCTGGAAGAGTTAATAGTTCAGCTTTTTGATCATTAAAAAGCCAATTTTGAAACATAACATTTGTGCCTCGTGTTCCTGTCTGTATTATCATAGAAAAGAGTATCTTTCCGCTTTGAGACTGATTTCAATGTGTCTTTTGTATTTTCAGTGAGGAAATGAATCGAGGATTGATGCTAAAGTTTGAAAATCTGGTCCAGTTATGTGGTGCACGCCGGCAGATGTGTACTCTCTCCCACAGAAAAGTTTACAGAGCACAATGGAAGCCTGTGCAGTCATCTGCACATCCCATGTGGTCTGTTCCCCTGCATCCGCAGTTCTGGCAAAAAGACAAATTAATCCCTGTTGCCTTATCGCAATGCAGACATCTAGCTACAAAGGAGGTAGTTAACAAACTGCAGTAATCGCATTTACATGAAATTTCAAAGTACAAGAGTTCACTTTGAGCATTTTAATTTAGAAAGAAAAAAGCTTTAGTAATGAATATAGAGAAGTTATTATAAATTTATAAGACAAAATGTATTTAATGTATAACGGTATTGTGAATCCCTCTCAAATATTGACTTAAAGTGCTTATACCAGCAGTATCATGAACCTTGCAGAGGCAGGAGGAAATTATTACAGACAAAATTAGAATTTTGTTGGGGTTTTTTTCATGTTTTGAAAAATTATTAATGAAAAAGAATTAAGTGCAGTATGCTATACATTTTAAATATTCATTATGTTGTGTTAAGTCATTTATTGTTATTCGTTACTGTTGTGATAAAAAAAGATATGTTTACACACATGACTTGAGACCACTGTCTTTTTAATATTGTTTTTATTATTTCTTAATTTATGCCAGCTATGTGTTCCTATATACGTGTCTAATTCCATGTAGGAGACAAAAAACAAGAAAAAGAAGACACCACTGACAAAAGGTGAAGTAGAGATAAGGCAGAAGATGACTATTGAGGAACTTGCACGAGCTATGGGTAAAGATGTAGGTGAGAGCCTGCTCTGTTATTTGAGATAGATCTCTTTGTCTTTACCACTTACAAAAGTGGCAGGATTGAATGACATGCAACAGTTAAGATCTATGATGGCCTTAGTTAGTGGTTGCTAATCCCTCACTTAGCAAGGTGGATTGTACTCATACCAAAGAAAATGTTGGTATAGGCACAATAGCAGACTAAGGAGAAAAAAAGTTGGGCCATCCATATTACCAGGCAAGACACTAATGTGAAGAAGCCAGGACTCTTCTGTCTCCAGCAGAAATGCTTCAGATCCACGCAGGGTGTTCTTTATGAGTGTTTCCCAAGTGCTAAATTATTCTGGAGGGAAAAACGTTGCACCTTGGTTTGTCAAAGCTGGACCCCTGTGAGGAAAGAATTCACGGCTAAAGAGAGAAGGTGCCAAAGAGCTTCAGCCCATAATCCAACCCTGGGACCAGGAATCTTAGATTCAGGAGCAGTATATATTTCATTGAAACAGTCATTTTATTCAGTGGGAGTGAGCAGGACTTGTCTGGAAACACTTCCCTTTAGGTGGCTGTTCTAACAACTGGGTTGTAGAAGCAGGCTTGTGCTTTTAATCCCATGAACTATTCCTCGTTGCATAGTGGCTCAGCTTGACCAGTTTTCAGTGATGTTTTAGAGGGGATATTAGCATGTTTTGACTATTGACATTTGAAATAATTCCATACCTGTATAATATCAGTTTCCAATATCTTTTTATCCAGCTGAGTACTTTTTCTGGCAAACTTCCTTCTCGGTGATGAGGTGGGAAAGAGAAAAGTCTATCATGTCTTGCTGTACATTTCTGAGATAGATTTGTAATGGTACTTAGGTCAGCGCGTAACAATTTTTGACTACTGCAGTATGTTCTATATTTCTACTACCAAAGAAAGTGGCGTACGAACAGATTTATCAAATTTCCTTCCTTGAGTCACTTCTTAGCTGTTTGGTTTAAAAGAGTTTCAGTTGTTTTGTTCTTGGGGGTTAATGGGAAAGTAGGCTGTAAAAATCTGAGTGAAAAATAAAATTGTAGCATCTAGTGAGGCAGTCATTTTCAGTAAAACTTTCTGAATCAAGTTCTCTGCAAGTATGTAGTGTAACAGGAACTTGTAGACAAATCTAACTAAAGGAAAAATGCTTGGTGAATGAAACTTACAAGTATGATATAAACTAATAATGAAGAAGCCTTAAACTGTATGAAGCGGGGTATTTTTTTATCCCACATGCTTTTGTGGAGGTAATTGTTAAATGTCTTTATCTTTTCTGCAGATCATATTTTTGAAGCGCTGCTGTACACAGACATTGACCTTGATTCACTAGAACCGGATTCCATCTTAGATGAGGACCATATCAAGCTAATTGTTAAAAAATCAGGAATGAAGTATAAATCAGCAAAACTGAAAGAGGAAAAAGAAAGAGAAAACACAGATGCTGTCAAAAGGTGAGCTGTGAACTGTTCTTTTGGGCTCTTTTTATGCTATTTGTTTCTGCAAGTGTTTTTCACATACTGTATTTTCCTTGTTTTGACAGTATGTTGATAATACCTGATGTAGTCATAATCTAATAATATTTTTAGGTATTTTTATTTCTTTGCCCATAAGACTGATACTCAGATTTGATTTGTTTTAGGTGAGCTTTTTCTATGTCCTTTTCTGAAGAAAAGTCAATTCTTTGATGCACAGAGCTGCTGTATTAATTGATGTAGCAGTAAGACTTAAGGTGCTAACTGTGTGGTGCAGCTTGGGGTTCTGATCAATATGGGGAGAAGCTAGCCTCACCTGTTCATCACTGAGTTCTGGTAAATGGCTTTTTGTTAGCCATAGTAGGCATGCGTGTTGCTCAGTGAACTTTTTTGGTATTTACAAAACACATTTTGGTTTTACTCGCAGGCCTCCTGCAGACCCAGCAGTACTAACCCCACGGCCCCCGGTTGTTACTATCTTGGGCCACGTTGATCATGGGAAAACAACCTTACTTGACAGTCTACGAAAAACTCAGGTGGCATCGATGGAAGCAGGAGGCATTACACAACACATTGGGGCTTTTCTTGGTACGATTCACGTGTACATGCTTGTGTATAAAACAGTTTACTCTATCCGGCATAACAGGTGGACTTGCTGCCAGTTCATTGGGGAAAAATGCTGCACCATAAACAATTTATATGTAAGCAGTGAAAAAGGAAATCATAAATTGTGATAACTGTTGTAACTATGTGGATGGCACTCTGAAGTGGATTGTCTGTGCAGCTGAAATGATATTTGTGCTATTTTGGGTTATGAACGATGCGAGGACGCTTTTATTTTTCCTCAGGAGTTAAAACCACTTTTGACCTCCATGCCAACAGTTACCTGTCTGCCTAAAATATATTGCCATTATTTAAAAAGTTCTCAAATGAGTGGTGCTTGATTTACAATAGGTCAAATAAGCCTGATTTTAAATGCTGATTTTAAAATGTCCCGTATACATTTGTTCACAGTGCATTTGCCTTCTGGGGAGAAGATAACTTTTCTCGATACTCCCGGACATGCAGCTTTTTCAGCCATGCGAGCAAGAGGTACCCATGTTACTGACATCGTCATACTAGTTGTAGCAGCAGAAGATGGAGTAATGCAACAAACGATAGAATGCATTCAACACGCTAAAAATGCAGGAGGTACAGTGCTTAACTTGTTAATATTACATTTCCAAGTGAGTGGCAAGCCATAAACCAAAGTTGTTACGCAAGGCGTGTGTTACTATGCGTTTCAAATAATAAGTGCTTTGCAAATATTTATTCATCTCTCAAAAGAAACTCCTTGAACTGGAACCCACAGAACTTGGGAAGTAACTGTCGTAGTCCTGTTCCTTCTCCCCAGGAAAGGTGTTTGAAGATACAGTGAATGTTGCAGTAATATATGAAGATATTAAAATACTAATAGTTTTTCAGGATTTGCAGGTTTGAGAGAAAAGCACTTCTAAGATGGGGGAGTGGTGGTGGTGTTACTGTTTGTTTTTTTTTTTTCCCCCTTCCCTACTAGGGTAACTCCTCCAGCTTACTCATGGTAGCTTGGATCTCAACGACTGCTCAGGGAATGGGCACCAAGTGAGATGATTTGTTCTAAGTGGTCATAACCTGCTCTAACATTTTATTGCAATTGTGCTAGTAGCAGCAAGTTTTGGTTAGGTTGGTAATGAGTTAGTTTTCTTTTTAGTTCCTCTTATCCTCGCCATTAATAAATGCGACAAACCTGAAGCTGATCCTGAAAGAGTAAAGAAGGAATTACTGGCTTACGACGTGGTCTGTGAAGAGTTTGGAGGTGATGTTCAAGCTGTAAATATTTCTGCACTCAAGGTAAAGTTCTGGTGCAAAAAATGGTGGTAATCATGGGTGTTTAATACACGTACACAGCTGCGTTTTTATGTGGCAGCTGGACAATAAAATGCTTATCTTCCCGGTATTTGACACCTTACCATGAGCTCAATGCTGCTGACTCTTACCAGAATTATTTGAAACATATTCCTATTGTATTTTGAGGCTTAGAGCTTTAGTGAGCAATAGTATCTCATTTTTCTTATGAGAATTCAGTGGATATTTTCAGGTTAATCCTGATTGCTATTTCTTCATATATTTACTCATTGTATGAAGTCAGTGTGAAATCAAGGTTGGTGATAATGCTGTGTATGAAGAGAAGAAATTCAAATGAGAGTAAATAAATATTTTCCTAACACATGCTTAGTCACAGGAACATAGTTTTGTAGCAGTCTGACAAGTATTACCATCTTCTCCTTGCAAACAACAGATAGCTAAAAACCATACTAAAATCTGAAGTTTAGTTTTGTGGTGGCCAAAGCAACTTTGTCCAGACTGATACAGTAGTATCTTAGCCTTATTGCTGTCTTTCTAAATGCATCCTAAGTAATTTTCTAAAATTTCAGGCAAGTTCAAGACCTTTTGAAATCATGCCCTTACACTTTGAAATAGGCGTAGATAAAAATGGCTTCTCCATTTACCTCTGTAGCACACAGTTGTCCTAAATCTTGTAGTGCATTGTATCTGTTCTCAAAAATAACATGTAATTAGAACAAAGGTATAAACAAAAACAAACCAACCAGACCATCAGTTTTGTCTTTGATGTCCTGGAGTCCTGACTGGGTGGTAGATGTCCTCAAGTTTCAATCTGGATGTTTAGGTGTTTTGTTTGTTTGTTTTGATTTGTATTCCTGATATACTTGTAGCAGAACATTGTAAGGTCTTTTTCTGCATCCTTAGCCTGGATGCTGTGATCAGAGAAGCAAGGAAATAGTCCTTCCTAGTGTTTTGTGCATTCTGGATTTTGTGCAACAGTCAGAATAGTTCATTCTTTTAGTGCCATCTTGCCTTGAAGGCAAAGAGATCTGTGCTGTTGGACTGTATTGCATTGTTAGAAGTTCTGAATTAAATTGAGGAATTTGGCACTAAGATATTGACTCCCGATCTTACTTAAATTAGGCACTTCCTTTATATATTTTTTTTGTGTGTATGGTTTTATACAGGGTGAAAACCTGATGGTTTTAGCAGAAGCAACTGTCGCTTTAGCAGAGATGTTAGAACTGAAGGCAGATTCCACAGGTCTGGTAGAGGGGACTGTAATTGAGTCTCGCAAAGACAAAGGGAAAGGGTAAGTAAGTACATCTACCACCGCTGCAACTTTAATGAAGTAATTTGTAATAGTGCAGAGATACTGTTCAGGTGGTTTGTACCTCAATATTTATGTTTAACATTGAACTTTTTGTTGATGGTGTTAAACTGTAACAGTTTCTTTGCAGTGTTTGTAACTAAAGCATGGAAATGTTACTCTACAGCATAAGAACCAGAAAAAGAAGTTATAAACTGGTAGGGCAAAATTCATCATGTCATTGAAATTAAATCCTGTAAGCACATGAAGTAGATTAAAATGTTAGAACAGGTGTATTTTTTTTAAATGTCACTTAAAAAGTAGGAATTATGAAGTTAATAGTCATCATAGCATACATATACAGTTTTTGGTGGATTGTGTGTAACATGGTATTTTACTCATAAGTATCGTGGTCCTTTTGCAGGTTCTCTGTAAACAAGGTGTGTTCTGCCCTCTTTAAAAATTAACTGCATTCTAGAAAGTTGTTGGGGTTTGGAGGGTTTTTTTGGCTGTCACTTAATGTGTAAAATCAGTCTTGCTGATCCCACAAATGCTGCGTTTTGTATTGATCTGCAGAAATGAAGAGTACAGTACAGGTTTGGGGCTTTTCGCAAGTCACTTCAAAATTTTATTAATGCTCTAATAAAACGTGTCACAGGGATGTTCTGCCTGTGATTGATCACAAGTATGTTCTGTTTTGTGTTTGCTCACCTACACTAACTGTGAAAACAGGGAGAAGAGTCACTTTAATTTTTTTTTTCTGTTATTTTTCTCCTCTGCTTTTTACAAGTCCAATTACCACAGCCATAGTCCAAAGAGGAACTCTGAGAAAAGGCTGTGTTCTGGTTGCAGGGAAGACGTGGGCAAAAGTGCGTCACATGTTTGATGAGAATGGCAAAGCTATAGATGCAGCCTCTCCAGGCATCCCAGTGGAAATCATGGGCTGGAAGGAAGTTCCTTCGGCGGGAGATGAAATCCTTGAAGTAGAATCTGAGGTACAGAAAGAATTGTTTAATGGAAAGCTTACACTGCAGTAAGGTAGATGGGAGGGAGCTGAGTAAAACATAAGTGATAGCTTTCATTATAAATAAACTGGATAATCTGATGAAAAACAAAGGCTGAGCATGGATATTAAGAGACCAGAGCTAGGTGTTGTGTAAGAGGAATGAGGATTTGAATATTGCCTCTTTATTTTCCACTACCCCTACCTTTCCCCAGCTGGACTATCCCTTCCTCATCTCCGTGCATCCAGATTAACCTACCTTGCAATCCCATGAAGAAAGCAGGCTGTCTCTGGAGTTAAAGACGAGTCACCTTTTTGCTTTTGCCTCTCATTGTCATCCTGCTTTCCTCCATGCTTGCTTTGCAGTTACTGCAGTCCTCAGTGGCTTCTGCTGGGGTCATCTGAGATATCTTCTAACGTCTTCCCTTTCTAAAGGCACAGAAGACTTTTATATGATCATGCTATCACCTTACCTGGAGAACAGTCCAGTACTTAATGGTATCAGTGTTTTAACTTTAGAATGAGAGAACTAGTTGCTGACAAAATAATACACATAAAATATAGCTTGAAATGGGTGTTGTGAGATCTGGACAAATACCACATGAAAGAATGAACAATAATTTATTCACTTCTGCAATGCAGAGACACTGTAAAAATGGCCCTCGAGTCATGTTGTTGTATCCCAGGGAGGAAGCTATTCTCATTCTCTGCCATCCTTGCAGCAAAATCTGTTGTTAAATGTGAAAGACAATGGGTGAGCTTGTAGAGAAGATGCAAAAGTATGAAACTGCACTAATGTGGAGTTTTGTGATGCAGTGCTTTGAAGGGTAATGTTTCTGTCTTCCTGCCCAGCAAAGGGCGCATGAGGTTGTGGCTTGGAGAACCTATGTCGAACAACAGGAGAAGATGAAAAGGGATGTCAAAGCTATTGAAGCAAAGCAAAAGGAACACAGGATGGAATATGAGGAAAAGCAACAGAAGCTAGCCCATCTGACCTGGAGACAGAGGAAGACAGCACTGTACAAGGCCAATAAGCATCTAATGTTTTCAAAACCTAAAGAGAGAACAGAGATGGACAAAAATGTGCTATCGGTAATTGTTAAAGGTGCTGTCCTATTCTGTTTACTGCTCCACTGTTCTTGTGCTTCTGCAAATGCTTGGCCTGAAGCGTAGCTCTAAACTGTTAACAGAAGTTTTATCCGTTTAAAACCAAACAGGTTAATGAACCTCTCTCAGTAAGAGATGGGGCATCAGAAAACATCTGGTAGTCAGGAGGGTGCGCTTCCAGCAGGGCCAGTGCAACGGAAAGATTTGAGCCCAACCCCCTTAACCCAGGAACTCCTGAATAAAACCCATACAAGTGTGTGTGTGTGTGTGTGTGTGTGTGTGTGTGTATAAATGTTAAAATGTATATTAACAAAAAAAACAAGCTATATAAGCAGAAGCACTGCATCACCAAAATGGAGGACAAGAACAATTAATTATTAGTTCAAGTGGGACAGGAGGGACTTAGGAACTTGGTTTGACCTCACATTTAGTGATATCTAAGGAGTGATAGTAGTAGCTGAAAAACTGTACAAACTTGACCTGGAAATTACAGTAGAGGTGGAGCCTTTGGTCCTATTATATTTATTCAGTTCATTTTTGGAATTAAGAGACTTACTAGATGTGTTAACGTACTACTGAAAATATAGTACGAATTCTAGGCATTGAAAGACTTACGTTGCCTAGTGTGGAGTTGTCATTCCCTTAGTTCTACTTCAGTGTTTCTTTGATGTATACAAAGTCAGAAGTACTTCCATTTACCACACAGGTGATGTGGATGGATCTGTTGAAGCTGTTTTGAACATTCTGGACAGCTATGATGCTGACAATGAGTGTAAATTGGATATCATTCATTTTGGAATGGGAGATATCAGTGAAACCGATATAAGTCTTGCTGAAGCATTTAATGGTGAGTATGTGTTTAAAAATCAGCTTACAGTTAGTACCAACTTTATTGAAATGGGTGGGTCTCGTTCTGGTTTTGTTTTCTCAATAATAATTAGCATCAATAAAGTAAACTTGTTTGATGTTAAACATTTTTAAGATACATACAGTGGGGAGAGCTAAAAATGTCATGAAAACGGCAGGATTCTTAACAAGCTGCTGCCAGTAGTTGAATTGTTAAGGTTAAACTACTCTTCACTCAGGTTGCTTTATGATGCTCAAACAGGGCAAAGCTAGAAAAGTAGGTTACACAAGGAATTTCTTGTGCTCTGGGATGTAATTGGGAAGACTGTGTCAGTAGTTGTTCCAGTTCATACCCTGTAATTCTCACCTGCTGCGGAGGGGGTGGGGTCACTGGACCTGCCATAGCCCACAGTTGGATAATGATTTAGAGTTCATGTCCAGCTTCAGTGGAACAGCCATGCTGCTTTTCCAGCCTGAAAGCAGGAGGTCCTGGTGAGCTGTCTGTAATTGTTAGATTCTGCTTTGATACCTCCAGTTCTGTCATCAGGGAACTTTCAATGAGGGCTTTTTGAGCCATTTGTTTTGGTACAAGGTTAGCAGCAGTTGATGTGAGCAGTGGGGGAGGTAAATGGTCCCCCCCTTAAAAGGGAAGCAGTAGTAAAATGCTGTTTCTTGGTTTGCTGACCACTAATTCTAGCCTGTGCTACAGGTTCAACACTGCAGAAGAGACAGCAGATGCTTTCACTACTTTTTTAAAGAGTGATCTCCTGTAGTTACTGCTTGCCAATTGTTTTATTTACCAGGTGTTATATTTGGATTCAACGTGAAAGCCAATGAAAGTATTAAAAAGCTGGCTGCTAAAAAGGGAATAAAAATTAAACTTCAGAACATAATCTACAAACTTATTGATGACTTGAAAGATGAGCTAAATAGCAGATTACCCCCATCTGTGGTGGAGAATACAATAGGTGAGTTTCCACTGACTTGTTAAATTTTTGCTTCACCCTGCGGCCTAAACTTTTTTCTCCAATGCAGTGCTATTGTATCAAATATTTTATATTTCACTGTAGCTGCTTTTTTGTTTTGATATAGAGCTTGGTAAGTGGAAGAGCTTCTACTTCTTGCCAGTTTGTTGTTCTTGTGTACTTCATATAACTTTTTTCTTTTAGGGGAAGCTTCTATTCTCAACATCTTCTCTGTGACAGTAGGAAAAAACAAAATCCCAGTAGCTGGATGCAGAGTACAGAAGGGGCTGCTAGACAAAAACTTAAATTTCAAGTTAATCCATAATGGCGATGTTATTTGGAAAGGTAAGCGTAATTGCCACAAAAACATGTGCCTGCTAGTTCCTGGTAAAGTCAGTGCAAAACGCATGCATCTGATCACAGGGCAGTCCCCTATGCTCTTTAGGAGGGAGTTGCTCCAACTAGAGAGAAGCTTCAAAATGCCACTGTGCTGTTACCCAGACCTTTTTCTAACCCCCAACTCCGGTAGGAAAGCAGTAGCATCACAGGATCTACCTGCTGAAAAGGACTGATGTCTGACTTCCATTAGCTGCATGTGTTCACAATCCCTATCATTTATTGTTTTCATTTTGCTAGAAGGCAAAACATTGATTCTGTAAAGGCAAACCAAAACCCTTCTCTGTTCCGGTGTTAGCAGTCTCATTGACATACTTTCTCATTGTAGGATCTTTATCATCACTGAAGCATCATAAAGATGATGTCCAGGTAATAAAAGCAGGTATGGATTGTGGATTGAGTTTGGACAAGTATCTAGAATTTAATATTGGAGATGAAATTATCTGCTACGAAGAAAAAGAAGTTCAACAGACAACTTCCTGGGATCCAGGATTTTAAAATACATTGGAATACGTTAACACCAAAGGACATGTATTATTCCTGGCTGGCCTTCAACTCAACATTAAATGAACTGCCAGAGATGCACATGAGCTTCTTGCTATCTGATGTTTATCTAACAATGGTCTGCTTTCAAATCTTGTCAAGCAAGCCCCTTACCTCATTGGACCCTGGGATAAACTACACCAATTACTTGCAAGCTCTTACGGTGTGTAAAACCATCACAATATAAATATTTCTGATGAATATTTAATAGCTGAGACAACTCAGTGCTGCTGTACCATTTTTCAGTATGTAGCCTGCACTGGGTTAAGGAGGGCCCTGCTCCCCTTCTCTCTAGCACCGACCCCCTTCTAGGCATGACTTCAGCCCTCCTGACCTCTTCTTTTTCCAGATTAGCAGTACTGTACTGTCCCCATCTCATGTTCAAGGAGACCATGGCTAAGGTTAGCTAGAGTGTTGGGTTTGGTTTTTTTTTTTCCCTCTCTGCCCTTGCCACCCATTATTTCCTTTGAAGGAGACTTAACCAACCAAAGCCCTTCTTTTTCTCACTTATCAGCAGAAGAAACACAGTGCCCCGTGACGTAGAAATAAATCCTTGAACAGTACAGAACTTCAGATTTTTATTGTCTAGTACATTTACTTGTCTTCTGGTTTATTGAAGCAGTATGTCAGACAGCACTTGCCACAGTAGTGTCTGTCGAAGTGACTAGCCATGAAGACTCCAGCTCCACACTCCTCAGAGGGGCACTCCCGGCGCAGACGACTGATCTTGCCGTTCTCATCCACCTGGGAAGGGCAAAGAATCCACATTTCATATATACTTGCCACCTTTTAGCACCAAGGATAGCTTTGAGTATTTTTCTTTGGCAAAGTAGTTTTTGTGACAACTTCTTGAAGCTAAGTTCAGAAGTACCCACTTGCAACAGTCAGTTTCTCTTCCAGTGAACGGTGGGATAATTGCAAACAGAATGCCAGGCTACAAGCAGACTAGTTACAGGCTTCCTGTCCTTTTTCCCCAAGAGTGAAGTTTTTATCAAGTTTCTCCTAGAGTTAGTTCTACATACCTTGTAGTACTTAAGCACTGCAAGCTTAACCTTCTTTCTCTTATGCTTGTTCTTCTTGGGGGTAGTGTAAGACTTCTTCTTTCTTTTCTTGGCACCACCACGAAGTCTCAGCACAAGGTGAAGAGTTGATTCCTATTTGTAAAACACATAGAGACTCAAAATGCCTTTTCAAGACATGAATATAAGTTAAGCAGGCTTTTTCTTTTATCTACATAAAGTGGATCTTGAGCACCAGGTACTTAAGAAAGCTCTAAAAGGATTATTTCGTATTAAATCCACAAATCAACAGACTCCAGAAAATGGTGGTTGCTGCATCCCCAACCCCAGAAAGTTCAATTACTGTAAATCTGTTGTGACTACATTTCTCAGTTCTACCTGCAATTGCAAAAGAGTTTCATGATGCAGCTAAGCCAAACTGACAAAGCTCCTCCTTTCTAGTGACGCTCTCTGGCCTTGCTGTCAGGTTCATCTGGCAGAAGCGAGTAGGATTTTTCGCATTAGCCCCTTAAAGCAGCTTACCACAGCATGCCCTGTGCCAGGGCTGACAAACAGGAAGCACTGGAAGTGGAAGCTGTTTGAAATATTTTCTTCTGACCTGAAACTATAGACTAGGCTGCAACAGCTGTCAGTTCTAGTCCTAGCATCAGTACTTCCCCAGTCAGAAGTGCTACCCAACCCTAAATCAATTGATTTGGTTGAATATATTTGAAACATTTCTTACATTCAGCAGCAAAGGTCAGTCTGCTCCAACAGTCCCAGCTAGTTGGTACTACAACACTCTGTTCAGCCTTTCCTACTCACTTTTTGAATGTTGTAGTCAGATAGCGTGCGTCCATCTTCTAACTGCTTACCAGCAAAAATCAGTCGCTGCTGATCAGGAGGAATGCCTAATGGTGGCATAAATCAAGATTAAACAAGGAACGTGAACTATGGCATTCTATAATAACATAATAGATTGCTGCAGACAATCACATCTGCCTCAGATATACAACACAGAACAGTAAGTGCATCTTGAACTTACCCTCCTTATCCTGGATCTTAGCTTTTACATTTTCTATAGTATCAGAAGGTTCAACCTATTACAAAACAAAGCAACGAGTGAAAATGCACTCTGCCTTTTAATTAGCCCTGAAAAGCAGAAGAACCATGAGGAGCTTTAGCCACACCACCGGTGCTACCACGACGCAGCCAGCTGAAGGCAGGCCCGGCAAGCGGGCTGCCCAAACGCCGCGGGAAGCCGCAGGGCCGGCGTTTTCCCCTTCATCCTTAAGTTTTGGTGCGGCAGGAGGCACCGGCTGGCCCGCGGCCCCCCTTGGCCCGGCCCCAGCCACGCCGCAGGGAACGGGGTGGCCCGGAAAGCCCGAGGAGGGCAGGCGCGGCCCTGCTGCCGCATGGGGCCGGGCGGCGGGGAGGCTTTGCCGGCCCGCACCGCTCCGGGCCCGGGGGTCGCGCCTCCGCGGGGTAACCCCCACCCCGCCGCCCCAGACCCCCGCTCCCGCCTCCCCCTCGCCCGCCGGGGCAGTGCGGTGAGGGGGACCGCGGTGGCTCACCTCGAGGGTGATGGTTTTCCCCGTGAGGGTCTTCACGAAGATCTGCATGGCGAGGCCGGCACCTGCTGGGGGGGGAGGGGGCGGCGTGGAGCGGAACGGGACGCGGCCACGCGTGCGGCCGCGGAGCGAGAACTCACCCGCGCCCTGCTCGCGGAATGGCGGCTGCCCGAGAGGGCGCCGCCCCGCCCCGCACGGGGTTTCCACCCGCGCCGGAAATGGGGCGGGCGGTGGAGGGTGACTACGGCTCCCAGCGCGCCTCGCCGCCGCCTGCCGCGCTGTGGCCTGCTGGGAGTCGTAGTCCTGCCCGCGGGGCGCCCTGGGAGGTGTAGTCATGGGGCGGGAACTGCTGCTCCCACAATGCGCTGCGGCGGCGCCGTGAGGGTGCCGGTCCTGCAGCCCGTCTCACGGCTGAGGGTGCCGGCGCGGGGCCGGGGTGTGTACCCGTACAGGGAAGCGTTCTGTGCAGTGTGGCTGCTCGTGGTTTGGGGGATGGCGGGCTTTTCCACGCAGCTACATTTCCACAGGTCTGCGCTGCAGCGTGAAATCCCAGAAATCGGTGTCCTCCTCCTCAGTTCAGCCCTGTGGAGGCAGTTTAAGAACATCCTGCGGCCACTAGCAGATGCGCCGAGATCAATGCGAAGTTCATCTGGGTGTGTAGGGCATATGGTTTTAGAACTAGGAAAGTCGTAGGTAAGTTAAGAATGGAGGAACAGTGAGAGTCAAGTTAATTTGGAAATTACTTATTAGGTGGTTTTCTGCTTACAAATTCGATATATGAAGGGTTAAAGCAGAACAAAGACTTGCTTCAATACATGAGTATCAGCTGATACCGTTTTAACAATTTCAACTCTTAGGTTTTGGTCTGAAGTAGTTGTTCAACAAAGGAGAAAACAAGTTCAGACTTTGTGTAAGAAAGGTGCTAGGTTGCTATGCCAAACCATTGCATCTGAGCAGAGAAACATTCTGTCCTCACTTCCATTGTTCTTCAGAAGGACATGAGATTTCTGGAGAGCAAACAAACGTATATATTGACAGAAACTGAGAAAGTGGGTTGTGCTGGGCAAGGACCATCTGAGGAGTGTGACATGATATACAGTAATGCATTTGACAAGGTAGCAAATATTTTTCAGGTACATGAGCAATGAACGATAATAAGTAATAAGTGGTTTGCTGTTTCTTTGTTTTCTGGGGGAAAAGGGTATAAGCAGACTGATTATGACCTGTTGGTGTTGTTACAGAAATCAAGGATTTGTATCTTCTCAGCTGTCTTTTGCACCCATGTATACACTGCAGTCAAACAGAAGGCACTCCAATGAGTTTGTACTACCAGAAGTTACAGTAGGGTTCGTGCTTGATAACTACTTTTCTTAGGCCACTTTTGAAATTATGAAGCATTATAAAGCTGTCCTAAGCCAGGAGAAGGTCTACATAACTAGAAAGACCCACGACATATATCCCATATGCCCTGTATTAGCACAAATGGTTCTTCAGTTCGGCTGAAAGGTTACTGCTGAAGTGCCTGAAGGACTCCTGCCTCCTGCAGATTGCATCTGCTTCTTTCAGATAGTGACTGAAATGTGAGATGCCAAGAATAAATAAAGATTCTTGGTTTTCCAGATGAATAGGAATAAGGGTTACTAGGGCTGCTTTTAAATCTTGATTTGGACTGGTATTTTAAGACATTAAAATGCACAGCCCCTGCTCCTTTGCTTTTTCACACCCTTTAATTGTGCCCATGAGGAGAGGTGCATCCTGTATTACTGTTACCAGCCAGCTTTACTGCCAACAGTTGGAAGGTCATGAAAAGCATTTCCTTCTCCCACAGGCCAGAATGTAGAATCACTTAGCTTGGATTCTCTTTCAAAACATCTCACTCAGTTAGACAGATGGATGCTGGAATTGAAAAAAGAAAGGGGGAAAAAAAATATATGCCTTGGCAGAAAAAGACTAAGAACAAGAACTTCTGCACTTGCTGGCCTTACGAGATACAGCTGAAGCAATGAGAGAAAAGCTGCAGCTCAGGTTCAAATCCATATCTGCAAATCTTTTTAATTTAGTTGTGTTCCTCATGTCTTATAGACTTACTATTTTTGTCTTACAGATTGAGGTTCTGTACATTGATCAATTATTAACAGATAGTCTTGATACTATGATGCAGATTTATTGATTTGGATAACTGTGCTGATCACATACATATTTCCCTCTAACTATCCACAGATATGCTAGAATTTTGTTAGTTGCAAATGCTATTTCTGCCTGGGCATAATCAGACAAGATTGTCACTCTACAAGATCTCTTTTCTCAGATCATGAAAAATAAAAAAGGCGAAAGAAGTGAAGTCATTAAAAATGAAATGTCAGAACAATCAAGGATGAGAGTATAAGGCTAGACAATCAGCAATAGTGGACCAAGAGTTTGGTTTTCAAGATGGTATTTTTTTATTCCTGCCTGGTAACTTTTGAGGGCACTGGCAGGAAAACTGAGTTTAACTGATGATGTAAAAGGTGTTTCCTAAACAATCATCTGCTTAAGGGGATTGTTTCAGTTAGTTAAAAAAACAAATAAAATTATTTTTCAGTATGTTTTCATATAAATGTATCAGCTGATAAAGCTTGTGGTTGGTTGTTTTGTTGTTTGAGTTTTGTGGTTTTTTGAATGCTTTAACACTTTTAACTCTGATTTGCCTGTTGAAATTTACACTGCCATGTTTTGTATTTCAGCTCTTGATGTCCCTAGTAAAATGGCTGAAGATTCACTTGAGTACTTTCAGAGGTAAAAAGAACATGGTTATTCTGCTCTGCATTAACAGTTTGTAATACCATAGTTAATACATCTTATTGAATGCAGTCCTTCCAGGACACAATCTTTTTGTGACCCTTTTGGTGTTTGTAAAAAGTGCTGGTGTTGCAGCTATGTATGTTAAGTCAATTGTTAATCCGTTTTCAGAGGTGGTTCTTCGGCCCTTTTTCTAGAGGAACTAAAATTGAAGAGGCCAGCTGTTCCATGTGTTGTGAAAATTGACAAGATAGTCTTAAATATATTTCTGTGCATACAGGTGAAAATGTACAACTTAAGGGTTTTTCAAAAGTGTCCAGATGCCCAAAGGAAATTGAACATTAAATGCTTTTGAAAATCCCAGTAATGCAACTGATGCCTGGATCTCATTGCTAATATAATACCTTGATAGAAAAAGTAGTTCATCAACTTATCTAATATAGCTTGCTGTATAACTGTTACGCAGAAGTAGCTCTCTGCTGTTTCTGGCTGTTGATTAATTTAGGTTAGTCCTTCCAAAATCACAGTCTCTTACAAGACAAATATTAAAATATAGTTCATTTCTCTTTCCCGTGGCCCATAGATAACTAACTCCCTCCTTGGTTTCTCAGAGTTTTCATTAAGGATACTGTCAGAAGCACTAGCTAGTGTGGCAGAAGAGATGTAACTGGATGTGTGGAAACAACGTTGCTGCTTCACACTGGAAAATGGTGTGAAGATATAGTAGGTTTAAATATATATATATTTTAAAGCTGTGTATTCTCAATGTTTGGGCTTCTTGACTAGATTGCTATAACATCAGCTAACCATTTTATGTATGTATCTGTGTATTTTTTTTAGTGTTTGTGTATAATCTGTTTGGGTTTTTTTACTTCCCTTTCCTAGTTTCAGTGAATTACTTTCAAGTGGTCAGTATGATGCTGCAGCGATTTATAGTCTAAACTCTCCTAGGGGAATTCTCTGTAATGAAGAAGCTCTGAAGTATCTTAAATGTAAGAACTTGATAATTTGGTCCATTCTTACAGTATGTTAGTTGATGTCAGTCTAGTCATTTCAGTGCTTAGGAATTTGGGATTTATCAAATGAGAATTGTTTGTGTGGGTTTGAAGCTTATGTTTAATATTTCAAACTGAAGATAAGAAAAGCTGTAAGGCTTTTATTTTTTTTCTACTTTGTTGTATATTAAGGATATGCCCTCAGAGGTAGGAGGGGAGGTAGGTAACTCACCACCACTGCTTTCCTTGCTGTTGGTGAGGTGCTGGGTTCAGCAGTGATCTTAAGGTCCCGTGTAAAGCTGTTCCTAATGCCATGCTGAAACTCTTTTTCAGCTGATAAACTATATGTAATAGACGAGAGCAAAGGTCTAGCTGCTAGTTTGAAAATCCAGTCCTTACTGTTATCTGTGTTAATTACTGAAGCTCAGTCTTTTGAGATATAAAGCATTCTTTTAGTTAGATTCATTAAAATTAATTTCTGAAATCTAGGGTGTATAAAAAACGATGATTTTCAGTATCCCAGAGAAATGCAAAATAGTCTTTATAATTTTGTCTTCCTCTCAATGTTTTTGTTTGCATTTGGAAACAGCAAATTCAGTGATACTGATGATGTCAGAGACTGAAGCAGTCAAGTATTTTGTTCTTCCTTTGGAAGGAGCCATAGGGGCGTTGCTGAACTTTACAAGATCAATGTTGAGTTTTTTCTCTGCATATTTTATTGTCTTTTGTTCAAGTTTTAAAGGCAATAACTGAGAGAAAAACTGCGATAAGCTAGTCCTAAGGATCTGAATTACAAAATGTATAGTCTTCTCAGCAGATGTTATACTTTCTGCACTCTCAATTGAAAACCTGTATGTTTTAAAGACCCCACAAGCCCTCCAAGTTTTATCCATTGCTTGTCAATGGTAAAATACTGCCATGAATCCTCTGCCTTCAGTTTTGAGCAATCTTCCTTTGGAGTAAGTAACAAAGCATCTGATATGACTCAACCTCACAAAACATTTAGAATTTTATCAGAGGCATTCGGTGGGTATCAGCAAATAAAGTCTAAAAGTTGAGCAGTCTTAAACATGGAAAGATACTTTTCTGGGTGCGCAGCCAATGACTCACTTTAATCCCTTTGGCTGTTAGCTGCCTTAAAGGAAGAAATATCCCTTTGCTGAAGTATTGTAATACTCTGATAAACTCAAGTGCTGCAGCTGGACACGTTCCAAATTCAACTGTAACTCTGGAAGCATTCAAATGTGCGTTGTCTGAAAAGCAATTAAATTTAGTAACACATTGGGTTGAACAGCAAAGGTAAATGGCTCTTCTGCACGGAGATTCACGGAGGGGTGTGCCGTCCCCTGTTACTTTCCAAGTCATGAACTTTGCCTTTTCTTCAGAGTAAATCCTTTCAAACAAAAAACGACAACAAATACAGTAATGTTTTTTTTTATTATTATTATTTTATTAAATCCTAAAGTCAATACAAGTGTAGACCAAATGCAGTATCAACAGCTCCTTCTGGAGGATGCATTTTGTTTTGGTTTCTGTCAGCCTTTCTTGCAGCTTTGTAGACTTCAGTTTTGTTTGAAATTCTTTTCTCTTACACTGTACTTAAAAAATATATGGATATAATATTTTCAGAGCCTTCTGTGGATTAAAAAAAAAAATAATTACTAGGATATTTATTTATTTCATTTTGTTGTTGATGTCAGTACCAGATCCACAGTTTCAAACACAATTACACTAAAAACATGTTTAAACAGTAGACCCTATACTTGTAGTTGACCTCTCTTTTTCCATTTATGGGGATAGGATACAATCATATTTGAATTTCTAGAAATGCATCTGTTTCTGCATTTCTGATTTGGATAAGACATTAAGCTGTCAGAGATACTTTTTCCTAATCCGATGTAGATTTGTTTGAAATGGTAAAAAGCCTACTAGAACAGTCTGGTATTAAATCAACTATAATGGTTGCATCTCTGCTAAAACATTCCTGTGAAGAGCAACAGCATTATTGAACGCTAGCCCATATTTTAGTTTCGAGTTGAGATTCTAAACCACCTTGTCTCAGTATCAAAATACCACTACTTTGTTTCAGTCCTAACCCATAATCTATCCTATTAATGCAAAAAACCCTTTACGGCCTGACCTAGCTAGTTACGTCATCGCGCTGAAACTGTGTTTCTCAAGCCATGCTTTATGGCCACCTTGGAAATCATAAAATATTACTAAATGCAATGTTAGTTAGCAGATGACAGCTTAGTTGCTTCAGGGTGGAAGAGTGAAAAATAACTGTAGTTTCTAGTTTCAAGTATTACAGATGTTTACAGTAGTCAGGGATCTGCAAATTGCTTTTAATCAGTTGCTGAAGAAGCCTGCTGAAAAATACTCTGTTACTTAAACATAATGATGCCTTGTTTGTGTGGGTAAATGGGAGATTTACCTCCTGTTCCAAAACTAAAAAGTTCTGTACTGACAACAGGCTTTTGCAAATAGTAAAAAGAAATAACTGAATCCTAAACCATTTAGATGGTGGGCAAACCTGGTAGCAACATGTGTAGCAGGCAAGTTATATAACACTTGACAGTTTAAATCCCTGTAATCACCATGCTATTTTGCTGCACTATTATTATACAATAATTGCCACGGTATTGTGCCACTCTAGGTGTGGCAAAATTTTATCTATTTCCCATTCCTGTGTTCTTAGGTAGAATTTCTTAGGAAAGTGTTAAAGCCAGCTGAGCTACTCCTGAGGATCATACTATAAAATGGCTTTTGTTAATATGACAAAATTTCCTTCAGTCTTTCTTTGAATCTTCTTTGTACTTTGGAGAAAATGTGAATTGAATAGCAAGCTAAATGGCTCTGGGTGTTGCCATTTTCTAGTTTTCTAATACTCCCTGGAAATCTGACTAGGCTTCAAAAACTCACTTTTTTTGGTTGTGTTCCTCTGAGTTTATTGTGAGACTAACAACAAAAATTACAAATACTGCTGGTACTGAATAGACCAACTTCTACAGGCCGTGCTGTGGAACAGGCAGCAATGGTTGCTCTCCTCCATCACAGCTTGGGAGCAGCACAAGCATTTCCTTTTTCCCTGAAACAAGCCTTGAATCTCCCATGTGCAGGAATGCTGTAAGGCTGCAGTTTTTCCTCCCAACTGCCAGGGATTGGAATTGTGGTAATCCCTGGAAGAAATGTCCCATCGCTTCCTATTGCTTTCAGTGCTCTTAGAGCCCTCAGCTGCAGTTGGGAGATTAAAGAAGGAAGAGGCTACTTACTCAAATATAGAGAATTAAGGCTGCAAGAGGGGCAGAAGAGCTGAAAGGGGTACAGTTTAATACTTGCACAGGCAGAAATATGCCCATCTACATAATCTACATGTTGTAGCTTGTTTTGAAATATTCCAAAGTATCCTGGTTTTGGCTCAGAGAGAGTTAATTTTCTTCCTAGTAGCTGGTGCAGTGCCGTGTTTTGGATTTAGGATGAGGATAATGTTGATAACACTGATGTTTTAGTTGTTGCTAAGTAGTGTTTATACTAAACCAGGGACTTCTCAGCTTCTTATGCTGCCCTGCCAGCCCAGGCTGGGGGGCACAAGAAGCCGGGAGGGGACACAGCCAGGAGAGCTGACCCAAACTGGCCAAAGGGGTATTACATACCACATGGCATCATGGCCAATATATAAACTAAGGGGAAAGCTGGCCAGGGGCTGCTGCTCAGGAAGCTGCTGCTGCTTGGTGTTGAGCAATTGTTTTTCATTTGCATCACTTGTTTTTCTTGGGTTTTATTTATCTCTATTTATGTTATTTTCCTTTTTGTTATGTTATTAATATTTTTACTTCAATTATTAAACTGTTCTTATCGCAACCCACGAGTTTTCTTACTTCTACCCTTCTAATTCTGTCCCCCATCCCACCTGGGGGGGATGGTTGAGTGAGTGGCTGCATGATATTTAGTTGCTGGCTGGGGTTAAACCATGACACAAAGTTACAGAACACATTGTAATACTGGTTTATTTTATGACCTTGTCTTCTTCAGGTTAACCTTTTCTAAGGCAGTAGGAGATATTATTTATGACTACAGGAAAGTAGAACCAATCCACAAGTCAAGATGCCTGGCTTTGGCTCAGGTTGCATATGGTCAGTCTGCCACACACAAAAAAGTTGCTCTGTGCCAGTGTATACAGGGCCAAACTTCAGGAGCAATGGATTATATTCAGCAGCTTGAGAATTTTTCTTTACGTAAATGATAAGTCACTTGTATTGCCTTTCATGATTGTTCTGCAAGATATTTATTTCAGGTTTAACTGTGATGTTTTTGACCACACTTGTATAGAAAGCGTTTGAAGTCAATACAAATATCTGAACTTCTGTCATTGTGTTTACTGAGATGTCAAGAGCTCTGTTAAATGTTGCTATGTATTTTACCATAATATCAATATATGCGTGCTTTGATGAAATAAGGAATTACTTTTTGTACACCTTTTGTTAGAAAATCTCCACAGCATTTTGGCAAGGAGCTCAGCAGGAGGCTGGGGGCTTCTCATAGCCTACAGTTCCAAACCCAAGGTTGATTTGGCTCTCTCTGGTGGATCATGAGTTTGTTAATCCAATTATGAAAGGAAAGAAAGGGTGCTCTGTGTTCTTTCTTAGGTTCCTTTCTACTTAGCTGCCTTCTGGCAGCGTCCTTTTTTCTTCTATATGTATTCTTGTTTAGACTGTTGCTCAGTTAACTTAGAATTTTTCATTCTTATTTTATTTCCTGGCCATATTTCATATAATTTTAAGGAGGATTTTCAGGTTATCATATCTTCTAGGGTTTGTTGATTTTCTCATTCTATGAGATTTCTAAAATAATTACAGGGGAAAACATTTTTTTTTTTTTTTCCAAGTAAAAGGTTAGATTTTAATGTCACCACTAGCTTTTCCACACTGTTCAGGGGAAGCAGTCAAGACCATTGTGGGGTTTTATGGTGAGGAAAGGAAGAGCTAACCATATGCAAATACATAATGATCTTGGTATTTGGTTTTTCAGATGATTACTTCTTTCTCTTGGAAAACGGATCTAGCACTGCATTAATTTGCTGTCTCAGTCAACAATGGATTAGAAAACCACCATTTTCATCTGTGGGGGCTGCAATCCTCTCTTTTATTTCAGCCAATCACAAAAAGCATGGGTTTGAGCTATTAGAGGAAATGAGCAAGAAAAGTAAGCACAGCAAAATTTTAGTAACAAACTTTCAAGCTTGGAACTTTAATTCAACTTCCATTTCAGCCTGTAAATTACTTTGGATTCAGTGCTCTCTAGTTTATAATGTGACCTTGAATAAAAGCTTTTCCTTCACAGTGAGTTGAGCTGTGCATTCTCGTGTCTTCCAGAGATCCCACAGGGATGAGGGTCACTGTGTCAGACTTGAGGGCCCCTCCTGCTTGCACTCATACACAGGTTCAGTCTGTGCCATTGCACAGAGCACCCCTTGGAGCAGCCCTGCCACTGAAATAACTGGGAAATAACTGTTAGTAATAAGCAGGCTTCTACCAGAGCCTCTATAGGCTGGCTCTTGGACAGCTTGAAACATCAGTGCTTCCTGCTTAGGACACAAAAAAATTAAACAAAATCCTATTTTGTTGTAAGGCCTGCAAGTTTTCAGAGGCGCTTTTTTTGACACTGCCGGGTAGCATGAACTGAAGCCGAGGGTGGCAGTTGCAACAAAGCACATGGGCAGCAAATGCCAGGTCCTGAAATTACTTTGCCGGCAAACTAATACTTATATTCTTGGACTAAGCTAAAGGAAGTGCTTAAATTTAAAGATAATATTTCTGAAAATTAGTTTTTCTGCATCCATGGACGGTTATTTGCATCTATTGTGCTTACTGTGTTTTGTTCCAATAAACTGCCAGTGCCTGCAACTCTCCTGTCATTCTATTGCTCTTCAGGGTTTCAGAAGTGATTTTCAGTGCAATTGGGGATTTTGGCCTTTCAGCATTTTCAATTAAAATAAACACTGCTTTTCTTATGGATCTTTAATTTCATCAGCTTTTATTTTTTTAAAAAAACTCAGTTTTAGGATTTATAATCCATCTGGAAAAACAGTGAATGATTTGTGCAGTATGCTTAATATGAATAGTACAAAGTTGACTAGGACAAATGCAGGATCTGTAAATGCGGTTGGTTTTTTTCTTAGATGCATTGGAACAGGTTATTCTGAATTATACTGTCTGTACTTTGGAAGACTGGAGTAAGATAGCATTTCCTTGTGCAGATAATAAGCATGAAAAGTTATCTCAGAAAGTCGTGTCGATTCTCACCTCACAGGATGGAGTGTGTGAAAATTCACCGCTTGAAGATGAGGAAGATGCAAGGATAATGGAACATATTTTCTGGTATTTTTTCTGAGTAACAACAGAGGGAGCTCTTACAGCAGTCAAGGGAAGAATCCTTTTAGCTCTTTGTATGAACCGCGGTAAACACTAAGCATGCAGAAACAGTGCCGGGAGTTATTTTACCATCAAGTATCAGTTGTTTGTCCCTTTTAATATGTCCGTGAGAGACTGTGTGCATGTTTGTATTTTGTTTAATCGAAAATGCATTCTCAGCGTAGAAGAAAGTTGGCATATTGTGCTCTGGAATGGTATGGTATGGTAATGGTATGCATATACTCACCACCCTGTTCTCAGCTTCAGTGTGTCATGGCTGTCCTTTACTGCAGGAGGAAGATACTGCATAGGGTTTAGAATCAGCGTGGGTAAGGGAAACTGCTCTGGTTGCATCGTTCTGAGGAAGCTGGACAAAGGGACAGCAGCGTAGACATAACCTTGGTCTTTTTTTTCTTTTCCCCTGAGACAGCCATCACTGGATTATCAAGATAATCTAACCAATCCTGTCAAAATACAACAAATGTCTCTGTAGAACAAATGTCGGCTTCAGTTACATGTATCCTCCTTGGGTTGCTGTGGGAATTGTGTGTTTTGTGGACTGTATTACATGGTATGGGAACTTAGCTTAGACTGAGGAGATGGGTAATTCAGTTTTAGGGGAAGGAATATGTCCAACTGCAGTCTTGCGCCAGCAGATTCACTGGGTGCATGTTGGCAGAGCCTCTTTTTAGCTCTCGGCCCACAGCCAGTATGAACGGGAAGAATACTGAACATCATTTGCTGTTGTCACTGTGCTACATGTTCCCAAATAAGAGATATCTCTATAATTAAGCTAGCTGTAACTACTGCTGTTTTGTTTCAGTTTTAATATGTTTTGGCACTTTTTAAAAGGTGCTGGGCCATATTTATTATACAGCTAAATCTGCAGAGGTAGGGTTCATAAGAGAACTTCATTTAAAAGAGAATAATTCCAAGTCTACAGACATTGTAAGCATTGTGTGGATGAGGAACAGGGAAAGGTATGCAAATTCATTTTTCAACATGTAGAATAATATGTCCTGTAAATATAACCCTTAAGTTAAATATATACATGTAGAGATATTTTCTCAAATAAATTAGTGTTAAATATTTTTTCTAGTAATGCCTGCTACTTACTAGTGTCTTTCCGAATGCTTGTGAATTATTGCTGTTGTGAAGAGCTTGTAATTGATGCAGTCCTTATTAGGGATACAGTCTTTGCAATGAGCATTAGAAATTCTACCTCGAGAGTGGTTCAAACCTGTCAAAGACTGGCCAGTTTAATGACACTTGAAGTGTGTTCAACGCTGTAGAAAAAGGTAAATTCTGTAACCCTGGGAAGTTTGGCCTCGCCATGTTGCTTTTGTAATTGTCTTAGCTGATCACATCTTTTCCTAGGTGAGATTTTTTTTAATCTGATAAAGCATTTTCTGTACTCTATCTGCTATGCTGAGAAGGAATTTCTAGCATTTTTAAAAGTCAAAGGGCAGTTGATATGATCCTATTTGCAGGAGAGGGGGGAGAAAGAGGTAATACTGTCAAAAGAATGTGAGAACCGAGATTTAAAATATTTATTAAAGCCTCAGTTTAAAGAACATATTCAGGAATAGATTACTTAGGTGATATCTACTTTACATATTGTTGCAGCTGAATTCTGACTAATGTTCGAGTACATTTCCCCAGAGTTACTCAGGGTGAGCTACAAATTAAGGATGTCATTTTCTCTTTCAGTGCTTCTTGCTATTCATGTTATTGAAATTAAGGTGATCCTGCCATCACAAACATATATGCTGATGCAGATACTCCAGGAGCAGTCAGGTGACAAGGTCAGTGCTGGCGGCTTCTGTGGGATTTCTGGACACAGCACATCTACAGAATGGAGCCCTGAGCAAATGCTTATGATTGGGAAAAAGTATTGCACACTGTTTACAAATACAGGCTGGTATACTTTGGCGACTGCTTGGTTACATAAGAAATGCATAGAGCATGAAATGTTTATTTTCCAAACTGAGATTGTTTTAGCTGTCCAGGATGTTATTTCTATAGCAGAACTAGAGCATTCATTACTGACACCTGATTTTTTCCTTAACTCAGCTTGATACCACCTGAGTGACTGCAGGCTTTTGTACCTTTTGATTATGAAATGCAGAGCAGTTGAATTCCACATGAGAGCTTTTTCCGGAGTCTGGTATCATCACACATGATGAATGCAGAGATCAATAGCCATTTCTCTTCCCACTTGTAGAATTTAATTTAGTTATGAAGTTGTAGAATTTTACTTGTGACCAACTTGCATTATGAAGCTCAAGCCTGAAGTATAATTAAATACCAGGCATAAGCAAGGGATCAGAAAGAATGGCCAAATATATCTTGTATGACAGGAAAGGAGAGCAGGTGTAAACTCAGAAGTTGTAATACACCTTCATGGCAAAAAAAAATGGACAGTCCTTGCTAGATTAAAATTGATTTGTTATTATACATTGCTATGCCTACTGAAACTTCAGGTTCAATTTTCTCATTTCATTTTATGCTGGTGGATGTATATTAATTTTAATGGTGCTATTTCTTAGTTATGTAATCAGTGACAAAAGACCACTATCTGATTAGTTGTAACACTGATTATGAGATAAGATGGAGTGTTTGACCTCAAATACACTGTATATATTATAACTCGATTTACAGTGTAACATACATTGAATTTTGACCAGAAGGATGAAAACAATTAATAAAAAGATCACCAACATTCTTACTACACAAAAGCTGACATCATACAAGAAGGCAGTGCAGATGTAACTGCAATGTTCCCCAGACTGATTTCATGGTTCTTGTTTAATGTTTGCAGCAGCTGAAAACTGAAAGTGTTTTAAATCAAAGACGACAGTGATGGGCTAAACCATAAAGTTTTATTCTTTTTCTTTATAGCCATTTTCACTGTGCTGAAGTGATTTCTGGAAGGGATACAGGATCAGACGGAAGGCCTGAGGTATGTGCTCCTTCAGTTGGCCTATTTACTTGCTAGCGCCTTTGTATTAAGCATTCTCTGGAAGTTTTAGAAATCATGCTACATAAGAAAAACAGAGCAAGTGCAGTGTCAAATGTATACTCTCTAGAGCAAACACAACTGTTAGTGGGGAGGACTGGACTGGTGTTGCCTTATTATCCTTCAGACCCACCTTGGTGCCTCCAAATCCAGGAGTTGGTTGCTAATCATCTGTTGGGATTTAAAGTGATTTAGAACTATGTGTTTTATTCAGCAACCTCAAGAATTGTCAGTCACTTTATTATGAAAAAAATATAAACAATCTTAAAAGTTGTATTTAGCAAGGTGACAATATACTTTTTACCCAAAGCATCCTTAAAAGCCAAGTAGTATTTTAGTAATATTCAAACACACAAAGTTACATATAAATAAGAGATGGAATTTCAAAAAACTAGACATCTGTAAATGCCCAAGCAAGTTTAGAAGTCCATTCCTTACAAAACTTTGTCCCCAGCTTCAGATGTTATTTTGAAGAAGAGTTATCCAGTTTCACAGATGGAAAAGTAGGAGACCTGTCTTGTCACCTCGCTGGCAAAGAAAGATTCTGAAACATTTTGGATACTGGCAGTACTCACATTTATTTTTTTTCTCTTATTTATTACTCAAACTCATAATTTATTGTTTTCCCAGTGTTTGATAGACTTTGACTTGGATAAAACAGTCTGGTCAAAATATAATAAAGTGGTTGGGAGTTTTAAAAGTATCTCAAGAATGAATGAAATGTACAGGTACACAATATCATGGTCCTCTGCAATTTACTATTGCCAAGCTCTGACTAGCTCTACTTGCCTGGTGTGCTGCACTCACCACCTTCAAATGCAAACTTCATAAAGGTCAGCCACAGATCTACGCTTTGATTTAATTTAGAATTTAGGCTCTTAGAAGTTAGGGGCTGAATGGGAGATTAAAGATACCAGAATGAGAGGAAATGTGAGTTTGGTTATGTAGCCTAGTGCCCAGGACACTTACCGGAAGGAGGAAATCGTAACCTGTGCTTCCTGCTTCATGGAATTCTTCTGTCTTACAATTCGTTCATTATTCATCTTCTGTCTTTAAAATAATAAAGTATTCACTGGAAACAGCACAAAGCATATCCAAGATCTACCTCCCAGGTGGGTGCCCTTACCACATATAACGTGGTTTTGCTCCACCCCCACTAAGAAATTTAATTAGAGCTTAAATAAATTCTGGTAGTATTTTTATTGTCTCTGTGAGATGGGGGTTTTTATGTTACTCTGGTAAGTTTTATGGAGAGGAGGAGATAGCTGTAACTTAGCTTTTTGCATGCTCTAGTCACAGAACTCTTATGTGACGTGAGAGGTTTTTCTAAAGTCATCAAAAGCAAAATAAAATTTTGTGATACAGCTTCACCAAATGCAAATCACAGGTCAAAGGTTATCAGTATAAAAGAGTTTGTATTGATAAGAGCCCATCAGAAATATTCATTAAGACCTTTTAGGGAAAATTAAACTTTTTTTTTTTTCCCCTCATGTTTCTCCAGGCTCTTCCCATTATTTCACTTTCTTTTTTTTTTCCTAGCTTTCTTGTATCCCTGTGGGCCAGCTATCCTCATACTTTAAATCATGGAATGGTAGAGAGCAATCTTTCACTGACAGAAGATTAACGATATTAGCATGGTGACCAAATACAGTAAGTGTGGTCTATTTTCATCTTTCTGTAATCCCACTGAAATCCATGAGTCACCCTAAGGATGTTTGACCTTATGCCTTTTCCTTCACTAAATTTTATAACTCTGAGCCTCCCTTCTGTTTTTGAAAGCTGTAAATATAGTCACCTGATTTGCATCATGGCTGAAGCCATTAGTCAGAAAGAACTCTTGAAGAGGCAGCACTGGATGTACCTGACCAATTAACTAAGGTCTCCTAAGCACAGTTACTTCTGTCTTCGCTGTATTAACATTGTTTTGACAGATGGTTTTGAAACTTCCAGATACATTGAGAAATCTTGATAGTTTTATTCCAAATGAATTGATGGAATCAGTTATCTAGTCACAGTGCTCCAGACTTCATTAATTAAAGCTTCTCACTGAATTTAGTAAACCAGAAATTCTGGACTGTATTTTACTCCAGTGATATTCACTCTGGCTATTCTGCCCAATAGCCTAAAGTGAAAGTATGTTATCTCTGAAGATAACAGAGCAAAAACTCAAGTATTAGTTTCTGAGCTGTTGTGGTTGGGTTCTTCAAGCTTAAACTCCAGTTGTTCACTATTTTATGCTCAACAAAAATAAACATAGTCTAAAAACTAAATTTAAAAGTTCTATAAATACAGTGCAGGGGACAAAAATGGAAACCATGCATATGCTGAAGACAGATTTGATAAGCTGGAGTAAATTAATTTTGAATGAAGCTCACACTGATATGAAATTTAAAACACCAGGTAATTTTCCAGTAACTTATCATTAAACTGATGTAACTGGAACGTCTAACTAACCATGTGTTTCTACTTTGGAAGGAAAAACTAAATAACAATAATAGAGTGAAGTGTCATAGTAGCTACACTGATTTAGGTCTGAAATCCTTGATGTTTATTTTATTTTAACAAGACTGGTCCTATATCTGTTAAGAAGTATCAACACAGACATTACCATGCTTTATATTCAAAGTGATACTTTGCTCAAATGCAGGAAAAACTGCACAGCCCTCCTTCTTGCCATCAGCAGAGCAGCAAGTAGTCAATTACAGTAATTTTGATCATAAACCATTGTGGGAGGGGGGAGGCAAACCCTAGTGTTTCATATACTGTAGGAACACAAAGCCTTATAAGCAGAATGCTATTTTTTAAAAAGGAAAAGTATTTTTTTCAATAAAGCAATATTAGAAAAGAAATCTATGCTTGATATCTTGCAGAGGTTATTATTTCTTGTACAGTGATAGCACCGAGACTACATTCTCTTTTTACTAGATATTGTTCAAATACCAAGAGGCGGCAAAGATGAAAAGAAAGCAAAGTACAAATACTGAAGTGGACCTGGAAAGGTCATTGATAGATGCTGTTATTCTGGTTACTTTTCTGAATTCTGAAATGGAAAATTAAAAGAGTAAAGGGAGAGACACACACATCATCATAATCTGAAAATTCTAGAGTGTATTATTCTGATTCTAGGGATTAATTGCCAGTTAATTTGTACTTCTAAATTCTATTAGGGCCAGAATTGAAGTGTAACAAATGTGGCTGCTTTGTGACTATAATCTGGGTCTGTGGATAAGCTCAATGACGACTTGTTTGACAGTCTTGAGTATTAGGCCTTTT